ATTGGCCAAGCGCTGTAGTCCATGCTCTTTGACTGTTTTGAGACCCTCCAATACCTGTGCTTCCCGTTCTGAGGCTTTCCGGATACGATCCTCTAAGGGGTTCTGTAGGATCGAAGCTGCAATTTTTACGAAGTGGCCGGGTTTAAGGACTGTCTGTTGCCGGTTATCATCGCTGTCCAATACATGATGAACTGCCATGCGGGAGAGAGCATCAGCTTGGGTGTTTACTCTGCCAGGGCGGTGGATCATATGAAAGTCAAACCGTGACAGATAGAGGGCCCATCGGGCTTGTCGGCGGGTGAGGTCTTGTGCAGTGCGCCAGAATTCGAGGTTCGAATGGTCCGTAATGATGTCGAATGGTTGAGGGAGTCCTTCTAGAAAGTTCCTCCAATCCTTCAGTGCTTCAATGATAGCAAGCATCTCTCGATCATAGATTTCGTAGTTCCGTTCCGCTGGCTGCATGGATGCCGATCTGAAGGCTACCGGATGCCATTGGCCGTCGTCTTGCTTCTGCATAAGGGCGCCTCCCATGGCAAAGCCTGATGCGTCTACCTCAATTCGAGTAGGCCTGTCTGGTGTCCATAGAGCAAGGATCGGTGCGGAGATGAAGGCTTCTCGAAGGGTGTCAAATGTGTTCTGTCGAGTGTCGGTCCAGGTAAAGCTGGTGTCTTTCTTCGTCAGGTCGTTCAAAGGTCGTGCTATTTTGGCGAAGTTCCGGATAAAGCGTTGGTAGAAGTTTGCAAATCCCAAGAACCCTCGTAGTTCCTGAAGATTAGTAGGGACTGGCCAGTCACGAACAGCCGCTACTTTTACCGGATCCATTCTCACCTCCCCTTCTGAGATGATGAGTCCGAGGTATTCAATCTGTTGTTGTTCAAATTCGCATTTTTCGGGTCGTAGGTAGAGGTCATGCTTTTCTAACCGAGTTAATACTTCCCGTACCATTCGTCGGTGTTCCTCGAGATCGTTACTGAAGATAAGGATGTCATCTAGGTAGACTGCCACCTTGCCAGCTGCAATGAGATCAGCAAATATAGCATTCATAAGTGCTTGGAACGTGGCAGGGGAATTTGTGAGACCAAAGAACATGACCTTAGGCTCGAACAAGCCTCGGGTTGTTGCAAATGCGCCTTTCCATTCATGCCCCTTCTTAATCCGTATGTTATTATAACCCCAGCGGACATCAAACTTCGTGAAATATCTTGCTCCCTGAAGTCGGCTAATGATGTCAGCAACTAATGGGAGAGGGTATTGGTTCTTCACAGTGTACTCGTTCAGTTTCCGGTAATCTTGTACAAAACGGAGTTTCCCATCCTTCTTTTTTACGAAGAAGACCGGTGATGAGATTGGTGATTTTGAGGGGATGATATAGCCTTTTCGTAGGTTTTCTTCTAGGAAACGATCCAACTCCTCCTGCTCGTTTAGGGACATGGGATAAATCTTGGTACGCATGGTTGCTGGTGCTCCAGGTACGAGATCAATTGCATGGTCCCAAGGTTGGTGGGCAGGTAATCGTTCGGAGGCGGATTCTGAGAAAACCTTCTTGAAATCACGATACTGCTCAGGGACCATTTCTTCGAAGGTTTTAACGGGTTTGTCTCGGTTGGCTTCCTCTGCTAGCTGCTGGGAGTAAGTGAATCCTGCGGCGCACCAGACTTCCTCCGTCTGTTCCTCTAGAATTCCTGCTTTTACCCATGCGCGGCGAGTTTTATGATTGGCTCGAATTCGGTGTATTGGTGGTTCTTCAACCGCTACTGATTCGCTCTGTTCAAGGGTCGCTTCTGGTGGCACCTCAATGTGGGGGTTTTCTGCGGGAGATTCCGGTTCCGGGAGTTCGAGGATCGGGCTTTCTGTGTGAGTGGCGGCTAGATTAGAGTACGAGATCTCCTCGTCTGGGACTTCTTCTATCGTTACTCGAGGAGGCTTTACTGAGAGTCTTCCTTTCTCCCAATCAATCTCCGGGTTTACCTTCCGTAGCCAGGGGAGTCCAAGGATGATGTCTTCACCCCCTAGGTTGGTGATCAGAAAGTCCATCCATCGCTCTTGATTATCCACTGTGAGTGCTAGACGCGCAAAATGGGTTATCCGTCCAGCTCGGTTAGGTGTTCCATCGATATTAAAAACATTGATTGGTTTATGGAGGGGTGCACATCTTACATGGTTCCGGGTGACAAAGTCTTGGTTTAAAAACAGGGCGGTAGCTCCACAGTCTACCATGGCTGCAGTTGTTATACTGTGATTCCTTCCTCTTAGTCTCGCATGAATTCGGAAATGTGGGGAAGTGGAGTTTAATTCCCGGATCAACGATATTGTACATGATGGGTGCGAGTCATACGAAGAAGTAGCGAACATAACAAACTGATTACGGGGTACTCTCAGTGCAGCCGAAGCGGGTACCCTCTTTAAAAACCCTGTTGAAAGCCAGAGGACGAGGAGGACATAGCGTTAGCACGATCAAGTAATTCCCTTATTTGACCAATCTGATTGGAAAAGTCCTGGTTAGGAGGGCTCGGAGTAGCAGCTACGGGTGCAGGAGCAGATGTTGGGGTCGAGGACGTGATTTGGACGGATTCGTTTGGGAATAGGGAGAATGGTGCGGGTCCCGTAGCAGATATCTGTTGGCGTCGAGGTTGCTGGCGTCGGCCTCGGTCTCGTCCGAGTCCCATGAATTTGTCTTGGCAGACTGCTTCCAGATGTCCTCGGCGTCCACAGTAGCGGCAGGTGGTTTCTCGGTGTGGGCAGTTTTGCTTGACATGACCTTGGGCACCGCAGCCGAAGCATCGTCCTCGCATGCGAGCTAGGAATGCCTCCCTAGTATTCCCATTACTGGTGTGGGTTGCATCAATGTCCATAGCGTGGGGGTCAGCAGGGGTAGTATGAGTGGTATGCGTGGGAGGGTATCCAGAGTTCCGGCCAGTCATGGTGGGGTCGTGCAGGTAGACATCCACCGATATGGCCCGTTTGATTGCCTCCTTCAGAGTCGGAGCAATTCCTTGGGCAATGTTTACGGTGATGAGGTGTTGTCGGATCTCTGGGAGTAATGCAGTGAAGAAACGTTCCTGCAAGTCAATATCAGACATTTCAGTCCGATCTCCGATATCCTTGAACTTCTGAGCGAATTCCGCAACTGTCTGTCCTTTACTTTGCCTGAGATTCTTGATCTCGCTACGGGCTTCCATACCTGGGTCCATTGGTTCAAACCGTTGGCTAAATTCCTTCAGAAATGCCTCCCAATTTCCTCCGAAAGGGGGATTTTCCGCATTGAAATGTAGCAGATGGGGAGTTGCCCAATCTCCGGCACTTTCTGTGAAGAAGCCCAAGGCGGACTTGATGAGTTTTACTTGGCTTTTGGAGAGATCCGGTTGTTCTGACACCCAATTCTGGAACTGAGCCATGAAGCGACGGGCTTCAGCACCATCTTTACCCTTGAAAACCTCGGGTTTATTCATGCTTGACTTGGAGGATGAGCGTTCCTCCATAGCTGTAGCAAGGTTAGCTACTTGTCTGATGAGCTGAGCCATGAGATCCTCCGCAGAGGTGTTTGGGGCAGGCGGGACAGGAGTTGACATGATGGGAGTAGGCAATCGGAGCTGGGGAATCGGCAGGAAGGTTATATTGCTCACAGTGAGTGGCTCTTGGATTGAGTTCGAAAGGGCGTTGGGGCAAGGTTGAGACTGGCAATCGCGCCAAGTATTGTCGTTGTTATGGGCGTGAGCTTGGTCTCTGGGGTCAAGTGCGTGCGGGAGTGCGGAGCAGTCTATACTGGCAACAGGTGTTTCAGAGTCGGGCGGAACTGGGGAAGACGTGGTGTCTATAGACCCTGCAAGGACAACCTTATCGGTAGGCTGTCAGTGCAGTAATGGATCTTGACCTAATGTCACAAAGCGGCGGAGGCGGAGTGACTAACGGAGCGGGAAAGCGGAGCGACTAAGCAGAACGGCGAGGCGGAGCAACTGAACAAGGCAACAAGGCGGAGCGACTAAGCAGAACGGCGGCAGGCTGGTCCCAGATAATGACAGAGATATATTGAGTATCGTAGTCATAGGTAATAATAAGTAAGCACATACCTGGTCCCAGATAATGACAGAGAGGTCAAGATAAGGGACCAGGCTGTGGAGGGTTGGCTATATATACATAATCCGGTCTGCAAGAAACAACGATGTAATACTGTACAGTTTAGGAACAAGGAAGGTGGTGGAAGCCAGTAGAAGGAGAAGATGGGTCAGGTGGATCAGTAATCGATGGGGGTTTGACAGTGATGGGATGATGTATTGTACAAGTAAAGGCGTCGAGACGGTGAGAAAAGGAAAATGCTAGGGGCTGCGTACTTTATGACAGAATCTAAGTCGATAATTAAACTGAGGAACTACAGTAGCGTACAGGCAGTATTTATATCTACGGAACGGCGCATCGGTGCGGAGCGCCAGACTAACTACTAGGAGCTATACGAGTAGTACCTGCAGGGTAGAGTAAAAGACATTAAGGAGAGACTAGAACGAAAGAGTAAAAGACAATAATGAGAGACTAGAACGAAAGGATATGTGTAGCGAGAAAGAACAATAGGAAGAGAATACAATAAGGAATGGATCTTCGGAATCCCGAGCGGCGGAATGGAGGCCCGCGGCATGGACTTGACATCTACAAAGCACCAACGTGTGCATGCCCCAGTAGCTTTTAAATTTGTTCTACGTTTACCTCACTGTATTGGTCAGCTGGTCATCGCGTTTGACGCTCTTACCTCCTCTCAACAGTCCCACCATTACTGTCAACCCAAGGATGACTCAAAATGAACTGCCCACCTCAAAGCTGGGTACGGCCTGAGATATGGCATGGCGCGTCCGGTTCCATTTTAGAGGAGTCCTGTTGTTTGAACATTGACTGTCGTCTCTACTCCTTCACTGTCACTACACTTTTCCACGAGGCCATCTCTGTGTCGTCGCTTGGGCCTTCAGCCGAAGTATAGCGACCGAGTCATAGTCGGACTGCGAGCGGATGCTTCTAAATGTCTCATGGCAAGAGTAATTTCCAATGCTCATGATGTAAATTTTCACCTGCACTGCCCTTGCACCGTCCTCTTACACTTTAATAACCAGACCTCTGTCTCGATCCGGTTACTCCCCACCATGGACCTCCCGTCTACACAAAGTATCACCGGATCTCCCTCCCCCTCCATGCCCTCTCCGGGTCATCCAACCCCTCTCACTTCACTTGCTCCATTGGCGCGGTCTCAGGCTCAGAACACGTCCCCAAATACTGGGGCAAGTGTAACATCTTCTCACCAAAATGCACCTACTGCAACTACCACACGCCAACCGGATATCCCAATTCCAACTACGAATGTCCGTAGCCTACAACGCCAGTCCAGTCGGACGTTCTCTACAGTTACTGCATCACCCAAAGGCAAGGAACCTGCTGAACCACACCCTGAGGCATGCTCTAGCTCATCACCTGCTATCGAGCCTGCTGAAAAAGAGGCCTTTGAGTCCCTCAATCTCACTCCTCCGCCCCCATCCGAAACTGCCACCCAAGCACGAAATCGGACCAACGACAACGTCGCTCGTCTGGCTGTTTTTATTCATCACATGCGCCAGGGTGCTGAAAGCGAACGTCGACTTGTTGTTGACAACATGCAGGACCTAGCAGCGGTTCAAGCCTCCCTCCGTGAAGCCTTCGATACTCGCATGAATGAGTCGGGGATGTGCTCAGATGTTCCAGTCTCTCAAGCACCAACAATGCCTCCCACTCTCGCAGTCTTTGACGAGTGGAAGGACATGCATGAGGCAGTTCACACTATTATGGAGGTCAATCGTGAACATTCCAATGTGACGAACCTACTCCAGTTACAAATGGGGGAAGTTCGGGATCGTGTTCCTGAACTGGAGAAAGAAATTGCAGAGTTACGTGGTCGCCTATCTCAAGCAACGCTGCACTCGCCGCCACCGCCGCTGCAACCCCTCCCTCCTCTTGCTTCCAATCTGATCCCTGCTGCTTCACTCTTTACATCCCCCTATTCAGCGATGCCTAAACATGCTACAGTGGACTTTGCCCAGCCTGCGGCTAAGCGTGCTCGCCACGATCCTGCATACACGGACGTCTTGGTAGAGGGGGTCAAGTCTGACGAAGGCACTGCTAGCCTTGTCAGGAAGATACTTAATGCGACAAACACTGCCTTTCCCACTGTGATCGCAGGGTATCGTATGAACGACCCGAGTCTACCGCCTCATGTCGTCGTTCGTTTCAAGGCAGCAGATTCTGCTTCCCAATTTGTGTGGATTGTCACCGAGCGCTGCCCAAGAGGCCTTCAAGGCTGTCGTGTTTCACTTATGCAGCGTCCCTCTCCTCAGTCTACGCACTCTTATGAGTTCCTTCAGCCCAAGAATAGTGGTGTTGGCAATCAACAAAGCATACGAGCCCCCGGTTATGGTCCTCCGGATGATATTTCCGGACTGGGATCTGGTCCCATGGGATGGTGAGGCAAATGATGTGTTATTGAATACCATTTGTCCTTACTATCACACCTAAAATGTAGTGACTCTTGTGAACACCTTAACGACGGTACTACTACCTTTTCCTCTTCTACCACTCACCCGCAGTTGTAAGCGGTCTTTCTGATCCTTTATAAAGACTATTCCAAGCTAACTACGTTAAAAGTATTACGGTAGTTGGTTGGAATATACATGGCCGGCTTATCTTGAAGCTACATGATCCCGTCTTCCTGCAATATATTGAGAAGTTCGATATTGTTATGGTGGAAGAAACATGGCTCCGACCGGGTCAAGAGGACTCACTACCTCTCCCCAAAGGCTACGATATTATATCATCCCCACGCCCTGACCGACTTCAGCTGAAACGTGCTGGAGGTGGTGTTGCCGCTATCTTTCGCTCAAGTCTGGATATTGATGCTCGTCCTGATCTCTCTGCTCCGGATGTTGTGGTGGTGGAAACCCCCGATTACTTTCTTATCGGTGGGTACCTGCTACCCTCCGGCTCGCCATATGGTGATTGGTCAGAAATTGACCCAAAGGAGTCTATGGCGAGTGTTATAACTCGATGCTGTTCCAGCTCAAAGCCGGTCTTTGTACTTGCTGACTTAAATGGCCGCACCGGTAACCACATATGCTGCGCAGACAGTCCACCCAGGTCATCACTGGATACTGTCTCGAATGCAAGAGGTAACTGGATTCTGCAACTTGGCGCAGACAATGGGCTCCATATACTCAATGGAACTTCCTTTGAAAGCTCTTCCCCGGGCCAACTCACATCGTTTCAGCCAATGGGTGCATCAGTAATTGACTATGTGCTGGCATCCACAGTAGACAATCTCCGTCCTGGTGCCATGAGTATTTCAAAATCCCTGCTCTCAGACCACGCCGCACTTGAGTTAACTATCCCCTACCACCCTCATGTCACACAGCCTGTTTTGGGGAACCCAGTCAGTGAGCCCCCAGCCTCTCATCACCTCCCTCCTACGAGCCTCGATACCCTGGTCCAGGATGCATTGGCGGTGATCCCAACAACTGCTCAGGCCATTGACAACTTATATGGCCCAACCTTTGCAGATAATGGGACACTGACAGTGTACCTTGCTGCTTCTTGCTCACGCTGCAGAGATGGTGCAACACAAGCTGCCCTCTCCTCCTACTGGGGTGTGAACAACAGCCACAATGCCTGTTATCATATCTCAGCAACTCCTAAACCCACTGCAAACCGCGCTATTCTCTGTGCAACTATACTGGCTCTTCAGGCTGCTGCTCAGAGGCCAGAGAAACATCTTCTCCTCTATACTTCCTCGGAGTATCTCATCCACTCTTTCTGCTTCTGGGCTGCGGATAACGCGGAGCATGCCTGGGATTGTGCTCATAGTGATGTCATAAAGCTGGCTGTCTCCCTCCTACGCAGTCGCATTGCTCCTGTTGAATTCCGCAAGGCAACTGGCAAGCTGAATGGTCATCTATGTAAAGCTCTTGAGTTAGCCTCAAAAGCAGCAAAGGATGCGGGAGCCTCTACTTGGGTATTACCTGCAGATCATCCTCTGTCACAGCCCACCCTGGGTTATCCTGGTGTGGAAAGGTCCGGTACAAGAAAAGTGTCCACTAACCTACCTGAGCATGCGCCAGTGAACGCCAAGTCAATTGGGGCCCCCCATGACCCGGATCGAGAGGAGGATGATGCCCCCACTAGGGAGTCCCATAGGGGTAGAGATCGTGAGCGTGAACACCAACGTGCAAACATGTCCAGGTTGATTTCATGCAATAGTGCTCATTCCTTCTGGGGTTATGTGAGGGAGTGGACTGATGCAAAGAAACGGCCTGTCCGTGTCACTGCCTCCCAACTTCACGACGTGTTTAAAGCACGACTGAACCCCCTTCCTGACCCCCCCCAACACTTTGACAACAACATCCGGCAGCTGAATGCTGCACTCTCTGATTCCATTCCACGAACCACTTTGGACCATACAAATGGTCAGTTCTTCTCGAGACCTATTTTGGAAGGCGATGTTGCCCAGTGCAAGAAGAAACTTAGGCACCGTAGTACAAAGAGTGCACGGGGCGTTGATACTATATCATACCAACAAATTGAAAAGATCCCCAATACTACTCTCGCTGCCCTGTTCAACCGATGCATCTTCGATATCGACGCGCCACAGCAGTGGTTTACAACTGTGCTGGTGGGGATACTAAAAGTTGGCCTGAATGCGACTGAGCCTGACAGCTACCGAATTATTGGCTTGGAGTCTTGTCTACTGAAGATGCTAACCCTAATCATTGACCACCAAGTACGTGAGTGGGCTGAGGAAATGGATGTGTTACCAAGGTCCCAGAATGGTTTTCGGGAGGGGTACCGTACACACAATAACTCCTTTATCCTGCGATGTGCTATCGAAGAAGCGCGCGCACAGGGAAAGTGCCTATATGTTGCATTTATTGACTTGAAGAATGCCTTCCCATCTACCGATATCCCAACGCTATGGAGGAAACTCTTCAGCTTAGGTATGTCTGGCCCTTTGTTTGACTGGCTTCAGATGCTGTATGCTCGTATGACCTACGTGGTGCAGCATGGGGACCAGGTATCATCAGCTTTCCGAAGCCTCATCGGAGTCCTGACAGGCGACACCCTCTCCCCAATGCTGTGGAACATCTATTTCTCTGACCTTGACATCCCTATACACAACGACGATGTACTCTTTAACGGCCTACCAGTCTCACATGTGGAGCAGGCAGACGATGTTGCTATCTGGTCCATGTCCCCTGAGGGCCTTCAAGTTAAACTCAATGCATTCTTCTTGTGGTGCCGACGAAACTCCATGGTTATCAGTATCAAGAAAACCAAGTGGATGCTGTTTGGATGTTTACCACGGACTCTACCAGTCTTTCTCATTGATAGTAAACCTATCGAACTGGTCGACTCCTACAAGTATGTTGGTCTCCAGTTCATCTCGACACATCGGTACATCCTGCAGACAGTCTATAACATCAAAGCATCCAAAGCGCGAAATATCACTCGCGCCACGTTTGCACTGGAATTGGCAATTGGTTGCCTCCCACCACGAGAAGGCATAATCCTCTATATGGCACGGGTTGACCCCCACCTCATATTTGGCTGCGAGATCGTTTTGGACATCGACCTCTCCCTCCTTGGAGATCTTGAACAGGCCCAATGTCAATACCTACGGCGACTGCTCGGAATTAGCAAGCGGTCCATGCGTGCCATTCTCTTCACTGAGCTGGGGATTGAACCCATACGGTACCGGCGTCTGGGCCTTGCACTCGGCTATCTCCAGTCCCTCCTGATTCAGCCTGACCACCGTGTGGTCCGGGATGCATTCACTCACTCGCTCCACCTGGCACGATCTGGTCATGCTACATGGGTGAATGATCTGCGATCTACACTGTCAAAGCTACCAATCCCTGTCCACTGCACTGTAGATGAGCTTACTGATGCAGATAATCTTGCGCGGCTCCGGAAGGATATCAGGCAGTCCTGCGAGCAATCTCTAACCAGCGACATCCAAGCATCTGTGCGTGTTCACCTTCTACATAATCGACTGGAATTCCGGGAGGATGGTCAGCAACTCCACACCTCCCCAATAATTACTCTGCGTGCCTACTTGGACGTGATCAAAGTTCCCAAACATCGACACGCTTTCACTCGACTGATCACTTCCAGCCACGCACTGAGCATCGAGCGCCTGCGGTATGAGGAGCGGTATCGCTCTCCAATTCCTCGGGAGTGGAGACTCTGCCGTTTTTGTAGAGGGGCTGTTGAGGATGAATGTCATGCACTGATGGTATGTGAGGCACAACTCACTCTGGTATGCCTGCGTGAACAGTACTGGATGGAAATGGACCGAACAGCACCGGACATTGTTCTGATGCAGCACCAACTCTCAAGTTATGCCCTTTTACAACGTGTACTATTTGACCGACGTGTTCTTACTCTGACTGCTAAATATGTCTATGATGTACTTGCTGTCTTTGCAGGGCGCGAACCATACATACCAGAGTCTCACCTGTACACTGATGCTTAATGAATGTCTCAAATACACATCACAAATTCCGGTGCGCAGTACTTGTAGTCTGTCGTGTGCTTAACCGATGATTGTGCGACAGTGCTAACCCACTGATCACAGCATTGTTGGTTATGTACATCCATGTCACACATCTAGCGCAGTGTGTGTAGCATGGGCCCCGGCTGTTCCTCAATGGGACCGTGTCGGTTTTCCTTTCCTTTCCTCTGATTCGTCCCGAAAAAAGATTATCCGCAGCGAAAAGAACTCAAATCAGAAATCTTAAACAAAGATATCAGCATGCCGGAAGATGAGGTTGAGGGTTGATTACAGCACCAACTTCCACTTTACAAAGGGAGGTGGACTCCGAGGAAGAGGACCAGCGTTCAAATTCCTCAAAATCCCATGAGTATTTTGTGTATTGAGGTATTTATGTAAGGATTGTGAAAATGGACATCATGATTGAGGTATCTTATTTGGCGAACATCAATAACCCACAAGCAAATGCGTCTGGGAACGAACTATGTAGTACGGATCTCAGTTGTCGTTACCAGGAGGCGCCGTGTAGACTGGAAGTGTGATAGATGCAATGGTCCAGGTTTGACCGCCGTCTGTCGTCTCCATGGGAGTATGCACAACTCCTGCACCGACACCGAGTGTATTTGGGAAGTTTTCGTCGGGTTCAGAGAGGTAAATCACGGAGTTCAGGTATTGCTATTCGAGAACAAAAGTATGAGTGAGTTCAAACCATCGGGAACATGGCGGTCGTTTACCTGCACACTGGCGGTTCCTAGAATATAGAAAAGGGATTTATATCAAATCCTATCTTGTCTTCAATCATGCATCTCACCTTTGCAGTTCTGTTGACATTCAGTCCCGGTTCCCCATCCGCCTTCAATAAGGGGTCCGTCCTCTGGAAACATATGAGAGAGGTACATGTCAATTGAGTGAAGCAGGAAGTACCGCTAGTCAGTGTTGAGACAACTTTGCCAGCTACAGTGACAGTTTGAGTCCAGGTTTGCCCGCTGAGCTAGAGAAACAATTCATCGCTAGTTGGTTCGAAAGTCAAATCACTAACTGTGTAGGCGATGCCTATTTCAGTGCTCCCACTAACGGCGACATAGGGTCCATCGAATTGTCCACCGATACTAGTGACACAAGTCAATTCTGCCCACGCCTGGAACTACGCTTGACTTACCCGAAATAACTCGCACTGAGGCACCACTCTGTAGCGGAAGCGCCACAGCTAGATGAAGATGAGTTGTTGAAACTTGCTGCAGAAACGCAGGACTTACTAAGAATTGTCCGCGTCTTGATCGACACCGGCTTGGATGAGCCCGCTGGTACCGTTGCTGATGCCAATCCAGAGGTAAAGACCACTATTGTAACAAACATCAGTAAAAAAAAATAGAGGCTCTTGTCATGCAAGACCTACGTTTCAGCTTCCGCCGGAGGGGTTCCGGGGATGAACGTAGTGGTGGTTCCGATGACTGCTCCCTTTGTTGGACCCAAGGAGAATGCGGGTCCCCACGTATCAGCAGCAGCGTGAGAGACCAGGCCTGCAACGACGCAGACAGAGGCGATGAACTTTCCAAAGGTTGTGTGCATTCTGTAGTGGAATTGGTGGTTAGCGGTAGATGGTTGAAGTTTATATACGTATGAGTGAATGAAATTTTTACTCAAGCATTCTAGGCACGGACGGGGCCCTCTTTCATGAAATCAATTTTGCGTTGCATCTCGGAAAAATAACATTTTGTATGCGGGGTTTTTTTGGCCGCGTTACCAAGGACAATTCTGCAAAATAGAAGAGAGTTAAGAAACCGGACCCGTCACATATCATTCTTATTTCGCCGAACAAACGTACGGCAGGCTTTATTTAGACTGCAAAACTTATGTTCATAGTCTCATCTGATACAAGAGATGTGAGCTTCATTAGTTGAATGTTCTTCGAGGTAACAGATGTGCGGACCGCTTACAGTTCAACTGCTCGGACCGCTCTGTGCATTACAAGCCATTTCGCCGCAATTTGGAGGCCCGCGACACAAAAGAAGTAGACAACTGATATTCAACGCGTACCCAATGGATAGTACAGTTAGGAACAACTATTTGCCGCATTTATCCTATCCTCCTGCGGTATGCGATCGCTGAGAACATCAAATATCATAGCCATACCTGAGCGGAAAAAAACTATCAGAGAATCACTGAAGTGCACATGCATTTTCACAAACCTGACTGTAAGTGCACCAGCACATGACAATGGACTGCAAGTTACCATTTGCATCAGAAAATTATCACCGCCATGAAAAACTGCACTTACACAACCACATCCCAGGGGTATCGAATCTCACCCTGAATATTGCATATCCTCTGGCTGGGACGACGAAAGTATCCCTCAAAGCTGGAGCAGTCGTAGGTAAAGTAGGCGGTCGTTCCCATTTGTATGAACCCGCCCCCATTACCGCTTCATATGTGTACAAAGGCCAGAAATGGTGTCCGTGCTGATCACGAAATAAGTCAAAGCATCATACGGAAAACCAGGCGATTACGCACCAAGTGAAAAGGATGGGGGCCGTCTTCGAGGTTGTTCACGATGATGTCCAGAACAATGGAGTTCGACGTGTTTCCGACATTGACAGGAACGATGAGTTCTTTTGAGGAAGAAACGAACTCGTTTCTTGCCAAAACGGGATTTGTTAGATTTGGTTTCCATGTGGTTTGGTTGACGTATCCAAAGGGTCTATTCCCCGTCGCAGTTCGAATCATTGTCGTCACATACATCATCAAGGTCTCGTCCGCAGGAGGGAGCACGCGAGCTATCTGATCCAGAGGTTGGAGTGACAATGGATCGAGACGTTCTTCAGCCTTGATGTCGGACCAACTTTGGCTGCTAGGTAAGTTCAAGTCCCGACGAGGGCCGTACGTCACGATGGACTTCGACTCGAGGTCCAAAGCAACATTCCTGGGAGGAATAATAGGTTTGATCAAAAATTAGATACATACGAAATACATACGGATACTTGAAATCCTCGTAGTTCACCCGTTGTCTCAGCCAAAATCGATCATACTTGCCCTCATCAGCGCGGATAACTTCGAGCGCGTATCGCTGACCAGGGGCGATGGTTATTTCCTTGACGATCACAGGCTGAATTTGGGTCCCATCAGCTTCAATCACACGGAAAAGATGGAAATCAAGAGATATGTGAATTTCTGCTATAGAGCTACAATGACTATCAGGGACATTGTGCATGAAATGAATATACTGACTTCTCTTACCCGGGATTGATGAGACGTATGATGTTTTGGTGCTGAGGGTGTAAACGGAACGTTGGGGTACGACCTTGCTTGGGATCGCAGATGATTTTGGCGATACTCTTAGAGCAGTTGAAAACTTGAAGCCCGTTGTTGAGAATGGCATCCGGGACTGGCTCTATAGCATTGATATCCTCAATAAACCGATCCGAATGAGCAAGGTGTTAAAGCTTACCATTGCCATGCGAGCGCAGACTTTGATACCAATCCAAAACTTCCTTCCCTGAGCGATGGTACCAATCACCAACAAGCATGACTTGGTCCAAGACACTGGATGACTGAGACGTTCTACGGTATCTGAGAGATCGTTCACTTCTGAGCTCATCCTGATGAGGTCGTGCTTTTTCGGCAAGAGAAGCAGGGGGGTGAATAATCAATGCTCCGAAAAGTCCGTCTGATAATTGAGTAGACTGGTGGGAGTGATACCTGATAAGTCGTTACGAAATTGAAAATCTAAATGGTGTCCAGTCGAAGTATTCACCAGAAGGTTCCATATTGTTCCGACGAAAGGTATACACGATAGGTGTGATTTGCACCAGGAGGTATTGGACATTGGGTTACGCCCGCAGCCCCATCTTGCGAGTTGTTTCCTGAAGTCGGGAGTTTAGCAAGTGTAACGGGACATGGGGGTGGTAGACGGACCAGCTGGATGTCTGATACCGTGCCAGTGTAAACTGGTAGCCTCGGATAATTTGTTGTATACGTTCACTACAAGCAAATCACCGGATCTGACTTCTATCGTGGGTCCAGGAAAGAGACCTAAAAATGATGAGGTTCGTTCAAGTCACTGAACCGAAATGAGACTGACCATTGACCGTAAGCACTGTCTTTTGCACTCCATTAGGCGATAACAATTCTTCAGCCAGCGTAAAGTTGTATGTCCTTGTGGTTTCTGAGCGCAAATTATGGCTTGATGGGAACAGATGAAATCTTGAAACTTCCTCTGATGAGAAGAAGACTGAAAGAGGTTTTTTGAGGATCAGGTTGGATGGGGAGATAAGCGCGACAAGGATTAAAGCTGGTATAGCTGCATATTTCCAGGTAGACAGCCTTGTGCCCATGATTGCTTGCCAAATGAAGAGTACATTGCTAGTTCAAGTTGTAGAGTCAGAACGTGCGAGGAACGCCCCCCAGCGAACGCCTGCGTGGGATGAAAAGAAGGCATTGATTTATTGCGGGGAAGATTGCCGGACTGAGGCGGCAGTTCGGTTGAGAATTTTCCATCTTGTCGTCGTCGTTCCTTGTTCTATGAATAACTTGCTCTGGCTTTGGTGAAGCCTTGAAAGCTTACATACCAACTTTTCGAACGTGCTGTGAAAGCCATATGCTACTGCTTCACTTATCATTGGAACTGCAGCGTGACCTCGCACAAATTTACTAGAAAGCTACACAAAAGTCAAAGAAGCCTTCGCGATTGTGTATATAATGGATATGAGTAACATGGTTAGGCTTGGGTTCAAGAAGCTAGGCTTTCCTAGAGAATGATTTCTCTTTTGAACACCATCCTCGTTACCTTTTGGGTCTCTTATGCTTTTGCAGACAGTTTGGCCGAGGTCGAACACATCGTTCTCTTCATGCAGGAAAACAGAGCGTTCGACCATTACTTCGTAAGTCATTCCATCTTCTTTGCCTCATGAAATAGAGCCTATCAATCTGCAAAGGGCACTATGGCAGGAGTTCGAGGGTTCAAAGATCCAAAGTGAGTTGACGATCACTCTGTTTTGTGTAACCGTGACTGAATGAACAGCGGTATCAACTCAGTGTCCAGGTCGATCCTGATGGTCGCTCCGTGTTTTTTCAAAGCGTCAACTCATTTCTATCAAACGATACCGACTTCCTTCTCCCGTGGTACTTAGCTGCTGAAGGCGGACAATTCATCAATGGTACACAATGCATGACAGCTGGATCGAACGGCTGGGCAGAAAATCATGCTGCGTTGGCTTCTGGACAAAATGCAAGCACCTTCAACATATCGGATGCACATTGCTTGGCTAACATTCATCTATCTCCCAGGATCTTTGGGTCGAAGCAAACATGCCGCAGTCATGGGGTCACTTCAGGCGGTCAGATCTTCCTGTCCATTTTGCTATTGCCGAAGGATGGACTGTAGGGGATATGTACCAACAGGGGGTTATCGCAGTAAGTTAGATAGTTCTATTTAAGCAACCTGTGTTCTCATCGTATTTTTCTTACAGTCAACTAACCCTAATCGTGTTATATGGCAAACTGGCAGCATTGCGTATGCGTTACAATTATGATATTGATATTGCTCTGACAGCGTTTGTGTGTTAGTGTACCGGGAGGGAATGTGAACACTACGCAGGGCCCCGTCTTGGACAATAATGAGACCCCGGGATGCTCCAGTCTCACGCAGAGGCTTGAAAACGGTACAGAAATTGATTCGCCCAAAAATTATACCTGGTGCGGTTCTGTTTCCCTTTCAGATGACTTCAGGTCACTAATTTAGGTTGCGCTATAGTTATCCGTTCGATTGGAAGACCGTAAGGACGTGAACTGGAAATGTACACGGTTGAGACAACGATTTTCACTTTATTAGCTACCTGAATATCTGGAAGATGCGGGCATTTCATGGAAAGAATTTCAGGCTTTCGACAAGTGCGTATCCAAAATAATATTCACGTTCTTCGCCTAATATATATCATTCTACAGTTTCGGCGATAATCCTCTACCTGATTTTGTCTTCTGGCAGAATTTGGCTGACAACAACGCAACCTCAGAGCTTGCTCAGCGTGGTACGTCCCGTTCGGTTCAGTCTACGATCCCTGGTAAATTGATACGCAACTATGCAGGTTTGGCCATGAATGGAGGTGGAAATTGGCAAGGTGGACTGGATTTGTTAAAGAAGCAAGCCGCAGAGTACGCCGGGCTAAATCGTGACCGTGAAAGTAGCTCACTGTGTGTTCAAGGGGAACTCTACCAGCCGTCTCTTTCTATATCGGTGAGCCTAATATCCCTCTTGCTGTTCTCGGCGGCTCAGTGGGATAAATCTATCCAGGCCCGGCAGAGCTCTCCGAGCATCCTCCATACCGTCCCATAGATGGTGGATGGTTGCAAAAGGAAGTCGTCAACGCGATCGTCAATTCTCCCAAATACAACAAAACGATTCTCGTTATCTCCTTCGATGAGACCGGAGGATGGGGTGACCAGTACGTCCATTATCTGTATGTTTCATTCCGAAACTAAGGTTAATGCTCTATACATAGCGTTATCCCTTTCACTTCGTATGCCTAATCAGTCAACATACCTCACTATGCAGTACTAATTACCCACTGTTATCTCCAACTAGACCAGAGAACACCCCAGGCGAATGGATTATCGTGAGCGTTTTTTAATTACCCCCTCGTTTCCTATTACTCAAGATTTAATTTTCCTCCAGAACCCCTTTACAGGACAGCCCGCACCAACTGGACCTGGATTTCGGTTACCGTTTACTGTTATCTCACCATGGACCCGCGGAGGCATTGTATTCACCGAGCCTTCAGATCACATCTCGCAAACACTGTTTTTAGAGCAGTGGGCAGCTGCCAGGGTATGATTTTCTTTATCGCTTCTTGATATCGCCGGAGACTCATTCCCTTAAGGGTACACCGTTCATTAATACACAAATCAACGATTGGAGAAGAGAGCATATGTCCAACCTGACGAATATGTTCGATTTTGAGAACGTACACCAGTCTACTTTCGTTTTGCTCTGATGGTTCAACGAAAATTTATTGTGTTGTATTCTAGCCTGATTACTCTGCCGCACCGCTCCCAGATACTCCGCCGCCTCATACAGATCCTCTTACCTCGTTACTTGACGGCGTACGTTTCGCATTAGGCTTTAATGATTACAGCCATTGAGGCTGATACTTTTTCTTTTGCTCCATAGGACGTATTCTGTGAGAATACCTTTTCAGGCCACGTTCAGCCACCTATCCCATACGGGCAACAAACCCCAATAGATTCCCTGTTCACCGAAACGGGCTATAAAATTGTGCGAGGTATGTTCAACAGCTTTTTTTAGCACTCTGACTCGTTTCCCTCACTTACGTATAAATACCACGCGCTAGGCTCATTGACTGAAGGTCGTTACCTCGTCATCGAATCTAGTACGAAAAATCTCGCACTATCTTCGAATGACTCCTCCCTCGGTACCTCTGCGGCCACCAACGACAAGATCAACACGCCATCGCAACGTTTTGTGATTCATGCCACAGATCCCAAAATCGCCACAGGAAAAAGCTTTAGAATCTCCTCTGCCGCATCCATAACGGACGCTACTGCTATCTCTAACGCCACCACCCCATTCCTCAATGTGAATCTGCAGTTCGGGTCTGTTAACTCGAGTGCTGTGTTCAACATTACTTACCAAGGCTCGGGTGTCTACAACTTTTTGGAAAGCGGGAGCAACAAGTTCTTGAGCTTGGGAGATAACGGGGCTCCAGTTTTGGGTAGCGAGGCAGAAAGCTTCAAGATCTTTTCGATTTCTTTCTAATGATGATTAGCATGAAATCTGTGATGTAGGACAACTGAATAGTCATCGACATCATCCGTGCGTTATCTGGGTGCTGTCCATATACCGTAAGACAAAGCGTGTGGCAAGAGACCTCTTCATTACTCCGTTTGCCTTTTCTTTGGATCTTTGGGGTGCGCGAGAACCATTACCTCTTAAGTGAGCTTATGTGACCTGAAAAGCGCCCATCTCTTGTAAAGCGGGCTTGTTTGGTGTTGAACATTATAAAACGGTATCGTCTCTCTTCTTTTTTAATCGCCACATTCGATATTTGTCTCTCATCGCAACACTATGATCATTGCTGCAGATATCTACTGCACAAAGTGCAAGCGTCAGTCGGGTTCCGGCGATAAGTGGATGAAGTGTTCGAACTGTAGGACAGTGGCCTACTGCGTGAGGTCATTCTATAATCATCTATAAGTGTCGCTGATATGACTTCTTCTAGTCGAAAAAATGTCAGAAAGATCATTGGACCGTGCACAGACCAATGTGCAAGATCTACAGCCCAGACGAGGTTTGGGGAATTAGAATTTTATCAAACAACGGTGCTACGGCAACAACTGGAGACCTATCCCAATATTTTCGGCATGAATTGATTAGGGTGTCTAGTACCCAGTCGATATTTACTCAAGGAGAACTGTGTCCAGTCACTAGGCGTATCGGAATACCGCTGATAATTTACAGCACTGGTGTATGTTGCGCTCATGCGACTGGGTTGAATGAGATTGCTGTGAAATTAAGGGTAGAGGCGACTGACGGGTTTGCCCCCGATATGTAAGTTCGATGTTCACCCTCCAGAGTGCAATAAAGCCCGGGCCCTGACCAATTCTTCAATTGGCAGGTGGCTGCACAAGCCAGGCGAGGTAACTAGTGTTAATTTGTTCAAAGCCCTCATTGCTGATCTCAATGCTCCAGTGCCTGGTTGTGCGGGAGGATCGAAAGCCGCTGACAAGGGAGTTACTTGAAGCACTGTACAGATTCATTAGCAGTCTCATGAGCTACCCCATCTCAGATAAAGGATGGGCATCCTGGCATGGATTGTTGAACCCCTCTGTATGGCAGATGTTTGCAAAGAAGTACTACGAGGACCAAGAGAACGCTGGTCGTGAGGGATTTGATTGTTTTTTCCCTCTGGTTGACTAGTTATAATATATCTTTTCTTCAATCAACTCATCGCCCCCGTTGTCTAATGGTTATGACGTCAGACTTCTATCTTACGTAATCCAGATTACGTAATGAATCTGGAGGTTATGGGTTCGAGTCCCATCGGGGGTTGCTCGGAGTTTATTACTCTTAACTTTTTTGTGAATCTGGATTCTTTGCATAGTATATAACATGTAGGTATCGTATACGGGCACAGAAGATAATATAAGTTGTGAGTATGAGGGGGATTCAACTCCCTTCTGTTAGGTCGAGTTGACCTATGATTACAGCTCATTCAATTCCGGCCGGTCATCACTTATTTGATCAACGGGGACTGTCATTTACAAGACTGCGTACTACTAAAAACATGTGCAATAATGAGCGTCCGTCTAGCTGGACTGTATTGGTATAGTGAGTGGTAGTGAATCAAGGCAATACCGGAGCAGTCCAAAGCTGGACAGGACCACGTTCACCGTTAGCAATGACAGAGTACTTCCCAATCCGAGCGCATTCCCTTGCTTTCTCACTGTTTTGCGGCCTTTGCAGATGTTTGTTGATGTCGTTGACCTCGCTAGAACACCCAATACACCAGAAGCCCTCTGATTTCTTCCTCCTCTTATATTTCACTACCTCCATGTCGGGCGACGGAAGGAGAAGACGTTTGACCTTGTAATGCTTACCTGTACTTGCTAGTGGCATACGATGAAATTTGATGAAATGAATCACAAGTTCTTGTTTGGTGAAACGGTGGTGACCGCAGGAGGGGACAGGACATAGATTTTCGGATTCGGTAAAAAGCGGCCGATGAATGTTATTGAAATGCTCCATAAAATGGAAGACGTTGCTGAATCTAATGTCACAGATGAGAAATGAGCAAACGGCAAATAAAAGGGTATAACTAACTGATGCATCCGCATGTACATAGGCAATTTTTCGTCAAACACACAACTTGGGCAGAAAGCAGGGACCAGAGCGATGCCATCGGAGAAATTCCCATGGAATTCAGGCAATTCCCCGTCGAATCCCGATCCAGGAGTGTATTCAATATATTTTTCGGTTTCGATGATCCCAATAGGTGAGAGAGAGACACTAGCGCCCTCTGGAGGCCGTGAACTGAACGAGTCGAATAGATCCTGGTAATGAGCAAGATGGTGATTGCTGAACACTTGTCGGTCACCAAGGATGTCGTAGAGCCTGAAAAGGCAGGTAAGGACTTCAAACAAGCTGTGTATTGATATGGTTCATACCATACTCCACAGATCGTACAATACTCTGTGAAGATGCATTGATCAAGGTTAATACCATGAATCTCAGCAAAGTGTTCTCTCCAATCCTTGATGTCCTCTGCACCGCAAGAGACCCCCGGGGCAATTTGCCATTTACAATGGTTTGACTTCTTTCGAGCGAACTTGATATGTGTCTAGAATGTGATATGTAGTCAGAAGAATCAACCGATGAGAGTGAGAGATGCTGACCATTAGATGACTTATAAACTCTGAGCGCTGATCGAACTGTTCGAGACATTTTCCATATTTGCATTCTTGGGAGGAAAAATTTGCTTGAATTTGAGCGGTAGCCTTCTCTGAAAGAATCCTTCTGGTGCAGAGGTGGACGTGTTCACCTGGTTTAGTACTTGACATTGTGCTGATAATACATCAATAAATGAACGTAGATAGTATTGAAAGCTCTTACAAGAGCTCTTGTGAGCAATGAGGACATCTGTTTTCCTCATCAGGTCTTTCACCGGGATAGAATTTCTGAAAAAGTATCCGTTCTGGCTGCGCAATAAGAATGTTGACAAGTGTGCAACAATCCGTAACAGGATCACCACTGTCAAGATCGTTGACAAGACTTAGGAATGAAGATTCGACCCTATATTTCTTGTCATCTGAGCCACCAGCACTCATGCGCGAAACTGGCTCAGCCTAATGTATAGGCAACTTCAATAGTGGTTATATGTTAGGTATTGCAGATTACGCACTGGATTGAGCATTTGGCGGACAGCAGCGTTGTCAAAGAATTCTTGACGAGCTTGTTTGATACGCAGACACGACTCTCGCAAGTACAGGAAACGATGGCCATTTGAGGCTTTGGCCGCAATTTGACGCAACTCAATGATTTGTTTTTCGACTTCTTCGGACTGTTCATTAGCTAGCAATTGCTGAATTTTGTTCGTGGCCTGAATGGATTGGCTCAAATATTGTCAGCTATCCGAGGCAAAAGTTTATATACGTACCTCATCCTTTTCGTTTTGTAGCTTGACAAGTTCCGGCTCATTCAAAAGTTTCGCCCTCTCCTCCAAAGACAGATGTTGAGGTGCATTAGTATCTCGACCTGATGAGGCAGCAATAACTGTCTAAAGGTTTTGTCAGAGAAGGGGATTTCAACCAAACGTAAAATCAAAGCCTACCCGAAAGAGTGTTATTCTATTTTCATCCTGACCTCTACGATTAGATACAGCGGATAGGTCAGCAGTCATTGTCTTCGATTTGTATTTATTCTGACATTTCTGGTCAGCATCTAAATCAAGAGACGGAATAAATTTACTTGCGAAATAAACTTTGGAATTTGGGTCATGTAACATCAACGTCTTTCTTGCCGTTTCTCCAAGATCCACATCTGCTTTGTTTCCCTGAGACGCACGGAAGTCATAAGGAGTGATGGATTCTAAAGGTATTGTGATGTCAGCACACAAAAGAGAGAGCGGTCAAACATACCTGGGAATCCTGCAGCAATAGACAGTAGCTTCAGACAACGATTCAATCCATCATAGTGGAATGCGTCAGTCCTCGATACTTTGCCACCCCCTCCTTTTTCCTCCTTTCGCAACACAGGAAGAGTCAACACTTCGTTTCGAAGAAAAATCTTGACTCGCGTGGTGGGTGGTTTTTCAGGGCAAAGGAGACTCTCAATAGAGTGAAAATGAGCGAAGACTGAATCATGGAACGCGAGACCTAGAAGAGGCAGAACAATACATGTCATGCGATGCTCCTTGCGAAGTTCGAGGGTGAACAGCAGTTTTTGATATCGGTGGTCCACGTTGCGATAACCCTTGACAAGGTTGAGTTGAATGTCGACGACAAGGGAGGGATGAGCCGGATCCTCATCATCAGGAATAAGATAAAAATCGATGTCACCCCAGGTGAGAGCCTCGTTGGAACCTCGATAACAAGCCGATTCAACGACGGAACCAGGACGAGCAGCAGAAGCAGCAGAGAAGAGAATGAGGAATGCCATTTGCAGGCGAGTTCGGTTAGAGCGAAAGATATTTGTGGATGAATGAAGAGTCTCCATGATGATTTGAAGACATTGAGGTTCGATGTGCTTCAATGTCCTGATCTTGGTGGACAGTTTCACAGAGGCCTGCAGTTCCTCGGATAACAGATAGGAGCGCACTTGGTAGCGCATTTCCAAAGTTGGATGGACGTTTGCGTAGCGAGGCCACAGTGCAAGGAAGGTGTACATATAGCCCCTCAGGGTTTCCAAACGGATGAAAGTGGAGGCATCTCTACCGAGGAGGGCAGATGCTAAATAGCAGACAAAGTCCTTCACATATTCTGTAAAACATGAGTGAGATGACCGCATACAATCAGATGTAGACGGACCTAATGGAGGCAAGGGTGTTCCTATAACAATTTCTGCAGGCTGGGCTTGTTTCTCGGACCTGCCTTCTTCGAAACATTCTTGAGTGTAAGCCGCAAAGTCTCTATAATGACTTTTGACGATATCATGATTACGAATAGTCGGACGTGTCAGCTTCTTGTAGTGGTGAACATCGCGACTAGACTGGAAGTGATCTCGGAGAGCTGAATTGTTCTGGAGGCGCTCCCGTAGGACCTCTCGGTTAGAACGCTTTGCTTTGTAGGTGATCCCGGAGGGCGCGGCCATGGTAGTAGAAGGAGAGAAAGAGGCGGAGAGAGAGTTGGAACGCGAACGGTGATTACTTCAGCAAATTCCCTGCTCGAGTGATGACATCACGGCGAGAAGGAATAACCAAAGGCAACGTCCAGTTATAGCCCAAGAACTTCTCTGAAAATGGAACCGGACGCGCCGCGCCATATTTCAGGCCGTACCCAGCTTTGAGGTGGGTAGTTCATTTTCGGAGCAAGTCTAGGGCTACAGCTTGAAATCGACTTTGGATCCTGAGCGCGCATGACATTGGGAGCAGTGGTCGAGGGTTCTGCTCCCAGGCAAGTAGCGTCTTTGTATGACGAAACGTCCAATTACTGTATACAGGAGCAAGCGCAGACAAATTTAGTGACGGGTGACGTTGAAGTAAGAAGATACGCACTGGTTAATTCTCGCGTGTAGGAAGGCATCTTCGGTTTCGTCGATGGCTTCGGGTACGAGAGTCAATGGACGAGGGATTGCTAGTGGTAATTATTGGAGCGCGTCGGCGTGGGTGTAGAGGGAGGTTGCGGAGAGGAGGATGCTGAATTGTTGGGAGGTGGAAGAGGTGGAAAGGGGGTGGAGTGTGGAGAGGTGCGAGGACGGGGTGGAGGTGGTGATGTAGAGCGGTTATTGGGATGGGAGAGGGGCTCGTGCTTTGGATTGAACATAGGGATCCGCGGAGGTAGGTAGAGAAGATAACGCGAGAGGGGTTTTCGTCGTCATTGTCGTTGTCGTCCTCGTGTGTAGTTTGGTGGTACTTGTTTTCCCTGGGCCAATTTGTATCGAGTGACCGCGGTGAAGCAAAAAATTGGAACGTGTGAAAGCACGTGAGGGCCACATGTGGATGCTCAATTAGGAAAGGTAGGGAGTTTGGACAGGTTTGCCTTTTTGGGCTTCCACCGAAGATCGAACCCAATGCGGACACGGACCCTGGTGGAAAAGGAGGTTGCGGGTTCGAGTCCCGCCGGGGGTTGTTCGGAGTTGTTCCTCTTGAATAGTGCTTTTTTTCTTTTTTTTGCGTTGTACGTCCCTAGAAAAAATTCTGCCATGCAATCTAGTAGGATCATGTGACTGCGGATAGACTATATCAGGCATATCTCCAGTCACATGATGCTATACCCCTGCGGGACACGATGAACCTTTCAATTTTCTCACGGCCACTGTACGGAAGAACAATTGGAGCCAGATCAAACAAACAGAGATTCAGAATTAAATCTGTTGAAATAAGTCATTAAGTAGTACAAAAGAAATAGCATGAAGTTTAACGCAAGATCAGGTCCATAAACTTTCACTCTCGTCTTTACCCTGAGTGTCCAAGTTGATCCCTGTTAGCCCAGTACAAGACGTCGCATTGATCTGATAAAAGTGCCTAACGTATGAAAAAATTGGTAAAGACGGCTTAAGTGAATTACTAGCGGACCCCTGCGGGGCACGATAAACCTTGCTTGATTTTAATTTTCACATGGATACTTTAAGTACTGAGACCATCAAAGGATGGAAAAACAAGCAAGGATATGAGCCAGATTATAGAAACAGAGAATAGAATCTGTTGAAATGGCTGAAAACAACATTAAAGCGCCTAACGTGTGCAAAAAAATGCACGGGCGCTTGGCAAAGACGGGGTGGCAAAGGACCTAGCAAGCAAGGTGATGTGTATATTTGCGAAAAAGGATGCTGTGTGTTTATTACCGCTTGCGGGATGCTCTACATTATACCGAAGACCTTGTCTTTGACATGAGAAGCCTTCTCATTTGCCTGATCTCGAATACGGGAAACCTTCTCCTTCGCCTTATCTCCAACATCAGAGACCTTAGCCTGAACCTTGGTCTTGACCTCAGTCCCCGTCGTCTTTACCTTGTCCAGAGCAGCCTTGGTGATTTGTTTGGCCTTCTGTTGCACTTTTTTACCGTACTCGCTGAGGCATGCCATGCAACCTGGGGGCTGAAATCCATGTTATATATTTGTGACTGTTGGAATATATGCGTCGAATGTTGCTCACGATGTCAGTTGTCACAACTGCCCGAGCACACGACAAGTCCGCGAAGGGATCTACCCAAGGGGTTCAGCGACTTGGACGTTGGTCGATTCTCAGGCAAGTAGCGCGCTTACTGGCTCCCAGTTCGCCTCCCGCAAGCAAACAAGTGGCACCTAAGTGGAGATCAATCAACAACGACCTGATAATGACTATCGATCGCGATGGTACCAGTTCGCCCAAATTCCAGTGTACATTCTAGGATGTGTGAGATGACAGAAACTTGGCAATTCTCTCGTCTGCGCACCTGTTTTGACCGAATTGGTGCATGAAGAAGCAACATCGCGATAATTGAGGTTCACGTAGCCATTTTCGAGTTTGTCGAGTCCGAGTCCCTGATGCAGGGGGAAGGCATTCACCCATGCAATGAAAACAAGCAAAGAGATAAAGAGAATGTTATGGGGACACATCCTCGAAACAATAATCAACAGCCGTAAGTCGAACGAGTGTCCAGCGCCACGTCGAGCTGGTATCTAGCAGTAGTTGAACAACCGTCGAGGTTCACTGCAAATAACCTGAAACCAAAAAGGCAATGCGCCTTGGCTCCCTGGGCCTTGGCAATAACATAGCTTCCTCTTGCCGGCGGCCGCGACTTTACGCGAACTCCAATCTACGGTTCTCTACACCCAACGGGTGAAAATTCCAAAAAAATACAGAACCATGTTTGTTTCTACTTATGACATCGATATCTGTCGGTAGGAAACGAGCTGAAATTTTTAGCCTCCAAAAAGGCTTGCCGCTCAACTATCGGAGAATGAGAATGAAATCGATAACCAGGGAATCCAAATAGAATTACATGCATGCCTAATGATATCGGGTCTCATGGGCAGGTTTATTTATGCATTTACAGTAAGATAGCCGTGTCTCGTAAGTCTGAGGCAGACAAGGATAGCTTGTTCAATCTGCTATGTCCAAAACGAAACAAACCCGAACGAGAAGAAATTAAACCATATCAAACTTTCTCCAAAGTCCCAACATGATGCTCCACCTCGTCGACTGACCCGGAATGCTTGCCTTCGTGTTTGCCTGCTGCATGTAATCCTTGGCCGAGAATCTCGTTTGTCGCATGTTCTCCATCGAAAATGGCAGCGGTTTCTTCCAACGTGAGGCCCTTGGTCTCAACAACGTCTAAATAAATGGACAAATGAGTGAGAGTAGGTAGAAATCAAATCGCGAGGTCGACGTACACAAATAGAGGAAGACACATTCGAAGGCGATCCAGCAGCAGTAGATGATGTAGTACTTCCAAGTGATGGCAGCTAGTTGTTCGTATGAGAGAGCAGATTCAGTTGTGCTAATAATATATACTTACCTAGAGCAATAGGGTTGGCGTATTGATTGAAGATTAATGCCAACGAGATAACGAAGTTGAATACGTTGAAACCCTTGGCTCGGAGAGGATAGGGCAGAATTTCAACAGTGTAGGCAACAATCAATGGCGTGAAGGCGACACTGGGAGCACGTCAGTAAAAAAATCACATACTTAGGCTATTCGATTTGGACACGTACTCGTAACAGGCGTAAAAGAGGAAAATGAAAGCGATAACACTGTGGGCAGCAGCTGGTTGGGCGTTTATTTGGAATTGGGCAAATACGATCGTTTGCGAGGTGAAGAACACGAGCATCCCGATACCGGAAAACAAGAACATGAAGCGACGACCCAATCTTTCCACCATGCTAGAAGCGATCAGTGCACATATTAAATTCCAAATGGCCAGAATTCCGTTAATGAGAAGCTGACAGAAAATGTAAACCCTGACTTCGCAGTAGGTGACTGAGGAAAGACATACCTGAGTAGTCGAGTCTTTGATATTGATATCGTTGAGAATCTGGTTCAAGTAGTAAGATGCTAGACCATTTCCAGACCACTGCGAGAAGAAGGCGATTGCAATGATGATCCTCATTCGCTTTCGGTTTCCGGGGGTATTGAACAACGACTTCCAGCCAACATTTGCGGCAACTACAAAGTACATTAGACCATCTTTTCAGTATTGCGGATGTCGACGCCGTTACCTGTTCGATCATAATCAATCGCAGTCTTGATTTCATTAAATTCGTATTGTACCAGGGGATCGTCACTGTCAATTGTCAATCATTCAAGAGACTGAAAGAAGACTATAGGTGGGGATTTAAGCGCACCGATTGCCGTCAGCATGGTAGTAAGCAAGAACATTGAGTGCTTCTTCTTCTTTGCCTTTATGGACGAGATAACGAGGTGACTCCGGGACAAACCAAATTAGCAGCACTTGGAGCACTGACGGGAGTCCTTGAAGAACTGAGGGTATCCGCCATGCCCATGTACTATTAATCTTGAATGTACCAAACGTAGTCCATGCCGCACTGTAGGAATGCGGGAGAATTATATAGAAAGATCTTTCCAACTGAGAGCAGTACCCACATGATAGCGCCAGCGTACCACAAGGAATTGTACGTGGCAGTTAATTGTGCGCGGTATAGAGGATATGAAAGTTCGGAAACCAACATCGGGGCAGCATTGGCTGAGGGCTTTTGTAAGGTCATTGACATCGAAGAAGACGAAGGGAGACATACCAGCAAAGGTAAGCCCAAACCCGATTAGAAAACTTTGCGACGGTTCAGCATCACCAGAAACGGTCCCATTCGATTAAACTTACCGGGCTCCGACAAACATTCCTTCCGATTGTGAAGCACCTTGAAGAGCTGTAGCTATACACATAATGATAGCGCCGATGAAGACAGTGGGACGACGTCCAATGCCATCGGAAAGGTAAGGAGCAAAAGGGTAAGCGGCTAAAGCACCGATGTTCTGCGAATTATTGAGGTTTCGCTACAAATAACGAAAGAACGACAAGCCCACCTGGATAGCATTGAGTAGGCCGAGTTCATGAGTACTGGGATGGTTGAAGTAATTTTGCCATTGGCTCCTGCGTTGTATTAGAATCCGGGTGGCTCGAATATTGAGGGATTGTTCCTCACAGAGATTGCAGACCATTCATCATACTTCCATCGTATCCATTGGTCGAGGATGTGATGAGCCTAAGTAATGTGAACATCAGAAGAAAGCTGTTGAGTTGAAAAAAGACGACTCACAGTAACACAATCCATCCATTCAAAGCAAGGATGCTGGTCGAACCTTTGAACGTGCAGTTACGGGTCCGAAGAACATGGTGCTTACCGCCTATTATTATACCACTTCTTTCTTGGGTCGAGAAGATGGTTAATCCCAGAATCAGCTGCAGCGGAGGCGACTACACCAGGAGCCATGGTGGTAAACTGTTTCGAGTGAGAACAGTGAAGTATTTGGCGTGCGTAAACCCGTAATATATACTACTCCGCCCTTGTTGGATCTTGAAGGGCTGTATTCGACAGGTGACCTAATCGCCAATTTCTCCAGAGGTACCCCGGAAAGTGGCCGCGTCCCGCGCCATCTAAGACTAACCCCGGATATTGGAACAGGAATAGATTGGAATTTGGACCTAGGGATAGGGTTCTGTCCAAATCGGGTCATTTCGAGGAAAGGCTGGAAGCCTTCTTACCGTTTCGCAAGGATATCAATCTCTTGGTGTCATTTCCTGTCTTTAACAATTTAGCGCTTGCGAGCCCGGTTGGCAAGTCCCGAACATTCTCCGTCAATGTAGCACAAGTTTAATGTTGAATGGATTTCTGGTATGTATGCAAAGCAGGGAACAACAAGTGAGCAACAGGATCGTCGCATGACTGTTCATCGACTCGAGATTCCGACGGGTACAGATCAAAGTATAATAATATTCAAAAAAATCAGATTGCGGGGAGGCGGGGAGTAAGTAAGGGGAGGTAATGGGGTAGTGGGATATGTAGTGTATGAACCTCCTGGGGTGAAAGGGAGCAAACGAAAGCGATCGACGGTACCGTAACACCCGCCACAGGTTAGAAAGGGAAACGCTTCAGTATATCACTGGCGGCAGAGTCTGACGGACGGATGGAACCTGCTGCAGAAGAGTTATCTAGCGTTGTCGGATGTGCGGTGTCAGCCTTCTTCCTGCTGAACCAGGACGAGTTCCAGTACGATGCTGATGTTCTGGTAGGAGCATGAGAGGAGGCAGCAGTTGTCTCCATGTTTGTCAAAGGAGAGCCCTTCGGAATATGCATCGAGGTCGGGCGCGAATTTTGATAGCTAGTAGTCCTATTCCGGAAATGTTTTTTTAACGTACCTGCCATGTCTGATGGAGAACCCCCTGGTGAAGGAAAGGTAGCGTCGTTTCGTTTGATACTTATACTAGCAGAAGAAGGGGAAGAAACCAAATTTTGGTCCGACAGAGCCGTGGTCGGATTGGCTTTATTCGTTGATGATCCGGAAGAGACGCTTCCGAACGGCGCAATACGACCGCCAGAGAATCTGGACGTGGTCGAGAGGCGAGAAGCACGAGAACCTGGACGCAAGGGCGATTGCGGACTGTTAACCTGGGGTGAGCTGATAAGTTTGGGAAGTTGAGGTGAGGGCGGAGGTGGAGGCGAGGAAGTGGGAGAGTTCGGGCGGTTCTCTGAAGTAGGGAACGGTTGGGGAGTCATTTCCGTTGCTGGTATTTCCGGAGATGCTTGGGCTAGTAGTCGTGATAATGAAGACGGTCGAGCATTAGTAGGCGAAGAATTTGAACGAGTACGGGAGGCGGAAAGATGGGAAGATGTTGTGGGTGCTACTTGGAATGTATCTTCTACTTCTGGCTCAGGGGGACCTGAAGGCAATGCTGGTGTGCTACTAGCTAGAGACGGCTTCGGGTCAGAATTGCGCTTCTTTGAAACCTTACGCTTATCATGGGCCGGTTGGGTCCAGTCTTCAACTTCCAACATATAGTATTTCACGCCGTCTCCTAGAGAATAAGGATTGCTCGTGGGATCCTGATGATCCTATGAGAAACGCACAAGATGATTAAATCAACAAGACTCACGTCGCGGTCAACTACGCGCTCGGTTATCGATGTTATACGGGCTACAATCCATTCCCGTGTTTTTAATTGTTCCGCGAGATGACCGGTGGCTTGCAAAAAGTAGTGTGGAAATGAGACTATAGAGTCGGTAAATATTCGGGGCACAGATGTTATGCGGGAACAAAGGGACTTACCATTGAATGCAGCCCAAGGTTTACTGACAGAGTTTCGAGTTGGGAGAAATAGGGCTAGATCTCCTTTGGCGAAATTCCTAAATGATATCTTGCCCTTGGCACGTTCGCGATACTCTTTACATTGCTTTTGCCATTTTCGAACGGTCGAACCAGTTTTTGCGATGGCTTCCAGAAAAATGTCGTGATCAAATGCCCTGAGAGCATCCAAGGTCATTACAGGGTCGGAAGGATCGAGTGGTGGAGGTTCGTCAACATTTAGGATAATATTCTGGCGCATTCCCGAGGAAAATAATGAGTCGGCCATGGAAGAGGATTGACCCATCTTGAATGAGTTGGGATGAGCGGAGAGTGCGATGGCTTGAGCGATCGACATGGCCTTGATGTGCGAAGTGCGGAATGCCAACGCAACATTCAAAATTTGAGCGATCAACCGTTCGCTATCCTCCAGTCGCAGTTCATACTCGCTTTGCGACGATTTGCCCGATTTCAGGTCCCCTCGAAGGAGACTTTCGGTGCGGTTCGCCTCTCGTAGTTCGTGTTCCACGCGTTGAAGTTCTTCTTTCAGACCAACGGCGTCTGCATGAGCAACATCGAGTTGGGACCTCGCGTCGCGGAGTTGCCGCTCCGCATGGTCCTTCTGAACCTTTACTTCAAAGAATTGTCGCTCCAACACTGCGCGGTCCCCATCTGCCTCTGCAATATGGTCTCGCATTATCCGATCGTGTTCCGAGGCTTGTGCTTTGAGTAGATGCGCTTTATCTTCTGCAGCCTCCCGTAATGCATCTTTCACTTCTTGGCTTTCTTTCCTCGCCATCCGAATTTGTTCCTCCAAATTGTCTCCACGAGCCTGCGATTCTCCCAATCTCCGTAGATTCGCCTCTTGCTCCTCTAATAACATTTTTATCTTGTCGGAGTTACGCTCCTCCAAAGCCTTCACATCTGCAAACCCGGATCGAACTTGAGCAAGTTCTGAACGCAGAACCTCGGAAATTCGAGTTTGCTCTGTAACATCAGCTAAGGCCTTTTCAAGTTGAGCGCGCTGTTCATCGGCATCGGCCGTATGATCCTGCAGGCGGGTCTCTAATATTCGTCGGGCAGAAGACTCGCTTTCAAGTTGCGCCCTTACTTGGTGCAGTTCCCGCTCCAGCCGATCTGCTCGGTCCCGCTCACCGGCGGTTTCCGCACCCGATTCCCTCACATCTGCCTGTAAACGATGTATTTCCCCCTTCAATTCTGTACGCTCTTCCTGGAACTGAGCTTCCTGATGTGTTTTGGCATCCTGGGTATTTCGAAGCTGATCTACTACTTCCTGGTACATTTGTTCATCAGCCTCATAAGCTGCGTCATTGAAGATAATAATATCAGCGGCAATAATGCTGACCGGGGGAAATACTCACAACGGCGTCTGGATTGTGATACTCGAGAAGCAGATAGAACTGATAACCAAAGAATAAGAATAACACATCGATTGAATTTACTTGAAGAAATGAACTGACGCGAACGTTCAGCAATTCGGTCGAATCCGGATTCCAACCCATCCATTTTTGCTACCAATTTATCTAACGACGCTTTGCACTCTCGAACAGCGGTCAGAGCCGCACCGTCATTGCTCGTGCGAGAAAGTTCTTCCAGGTCGTCGAGAACGTGTAACAGACCTGAGAAACGGTAAGCAATGTCCGGAAAATCAGAGAATAGTGACTTACCGTCTACATCGGCTCTTTCTAAAGAGTAAGCAGAATCTGAATCATCACCCAGTGAAGAGGAAAAATCTATGGTCGGGACAGGATCAACCTCCATCCCTCGGGTCTCAAACGGTAACTGGCCATGGATATCACTGCGATAAACCTGGCGCCGTTTCCGTTCACTTGAACTGTACCAGAAGTCAAGATAGCTCATGAAAATAACTATACAGATTGACTCACGAAAGTTTCGCCATTACATCAAGGATATTTTGTGCTCTCTGATAGAAGAATCTTGCTACAACAGATTATTCATCAAGTAAGTAGATCGAAGATGCAGCTCACCAAACTCTTTCCTTCTAACAATTTCAACGACAGTGGCTCCATAAGCGTACAACATGTTATGGAGTCTTTGAATATGGGAGAAACTGTTCTTGCCACGAAAACTAGCCTGTAGGGCGGCTAATACAGGTGGGATTTGGACAATGTCGTTATTGAGGACGCTTATGTGCCTAAGTGCGGTCACGACTTGTCGTGTAAAATTATTTTTGACTTCGACCATTGACTGAAGCTCATCACGAAGATTGGCGTCAAGTTGCTTGAGTTCTATGTAAAACGAAGAATGAGTGGCGATTAGAGGGGTTTTATATCGAAAATAACCTTTCAAAATCAAATCTGACTCAGGATTTGGATCTGTGAGATGATTAGCTGGGAATTCAGATTGAAAAAGATTGTTGTACAACTTTCGAGAGAATGAGTGGCGTCGGCAACCTCATTGAAGATATCCCGAGCACGATGGATTATTTTGTCAGTATCATCTAATGGTCTATGCCAGATCAGAAGCAGTATTATAATCAAGACGAAATAGTCACTTGGTGCCTTCGACAGTCACTCGAATTACATCACTTCCTTCTTTCAGTCGAGACACGGCTTGTTCCACCTCCTCAAAACGGCTTTGCAGATCGTCTACAAAAATAACTAAACTCTGCTAGAAAGTGAACGAACAACCAAGCCACATACCATGTGTTTTGGCACAAGTCTCTGCAACCTGCTTCATTTTCACGTTCGAGACATAGTCGCCTAGAGTTCGTTGCTTCTCCCCTGCCTCAATGGCTTTCCTTACAGCAGGGCTCACGAACTCTGTGTTGATACTAACACGGCTAATGATTTCCAAGTCGGCCTCGAGGCCTGCTAGCAAAGATGCCTGCCTGGCCAGTTCTTTTCTGGAAGCAGTCGCAATTCCTTCAAAGGTATCGAGAATTGCGAGTACATTCATATCAAGAGCTCTTGACGCTATACGAGCCGCTTCGAATTGAAATTGGAGAGAGATGGCCAGATGGTTGAGCTGTTCGTGATGTGCATGCGCAGTGCGGAGGTAGGAAGTTGCTAGTTGGGATGGCCGGAATGGAGGGGTGGCAGCGATACTTTCTGCAGACATGTTACCGCTAGTACGTTTCGTTATTACTGAGAGATGAACCTTCTATGGGAGGTTGAAATGCGGCCTCCACCAAAAGCCTTCGCAACACTTCTTCAAGATCATAATCCAAATAATACTTATTGAAGACAAATATTGACTGAGACAGAGTGAGAAATGTCCTGCTGTATAAGTGGATTTACACGCACTTGGTCCTGAGACCCTGCCAACTCGCGAACATTGTGGCTCGTTAACCGTCGGCCGTCTGTCAAATAAGCAAGGACGGCCTCCGCCTCAACGCCAGTCTCTTGCTGAACAAAAGCTTCAAGGCTTCCGGTCCTGGCGAAATATAAATTTCCAGAGCGACTTCAAGTAGAAAGTACGTTGAGCTTGCCGTTCGATATCGCGTACAGTGGCGTTTCTCTACTCCAATCTCAGTTGTGACTCTCGAATGAAATTAAAAGAGGGGAAGGCACCTGAAATATTTGCCCATCTTCAGCACGGCATATCTGTATCATGAGGGAAGTTGAAATTCTAGATATCGTACTTGAGAAGGTAGTAGAGCGTAAGGTCAATGATCCTAAACAAGCGATGCGCGCTTATTCACGAACTGACAAGACTTAGACTAAATTATGTACACTTTCAAATCTTGTAAATCTTAGACCAGAGCTTGAGTCTTAGCCTCGGAACCATGTCGTTTACAACAAACAGTCACAGTATTTGAAGTCCTTCGAAAGCAGCCTCGATAACTTTCTGCTGCTGCTCCCTATAAAGTTTCCCCACTCCAGGGGCAGGTAGTGCGCTCTCCTTCCTACCCTTAAATAGAACCCTCGCATCAACACCCAAATCCAAGTCCTTGAGGACCCAATTAAGCCGATCCTTCACATGCGTCCAAGCACCCTGGTTGCGCGGTTCCTCTTGAAGATAAACTACCTCTTTCGTCGCCTCCTGAGGGTATGTCTTCAAAACACTGCGAAGTTCCTGAAAAGGGAAGGGCGCCAATTCCTCTAATCTCACGAAAGATACAAGATTGTCGAGTCCGCGCTCCTTTCGCTCTTTGATCAGGTCGTAGTAAATCTTGCCTGAAAGAACGATGACTCGCTGTGCGGTACCCTGATTCTCAACCAGATCAGGAAGCACGGGCTTGAACGTTGTTCCAGGTTCGAAGTCTGAAAGAGATGATGCAGCAGCCTATTGATCATGGAAGTATCAGCACCAAGAGAAATTCGAAAGTGAAAGGACTCGAGAGAACTGTACTTACAGAAAGCCGTAAAAGTCCTTTAGGAGCTGCAACTACTAAAGGTTTGCGGTAATTCCGCTTCATCTGGCGGCGAAGAAGGTGGAAATACTGTGCTGGGGTAGTGGGGAACACTACATGCATGTTGATGTTGACGGGGGTAACGCCATCATACCTATCATTTGTTAGCTAAAAAGAAGTCAGTTTCTTGAATAGTGTACATACGTGAAAGCTCACCTGCAGGAACCGCTCTAATCTCGAGGAAGAATGTTCTGGACCTGCCCCGTCGAGGCCGTGCGGCAAGAGCATGACGATACCACTCTGCCTCAACCATTTCGCTATGAATGAACAGCATTAAAACGGAACTCTCCAAGTAAATCCATATAATACACTCACTCTCTGATGAGCTGACAAAAGTGTCTATGATGATCTATAGGTCTTGATGTAAACGCACAACACTCGGTGAAAGGTAAGTTCCACTAACTTGTGCACCATTGAAGAAATCTCCGAACTGCGCTTCCCAAATAGGGAGCAATGTCGGTCGTTCCCAACTTGTGCCATACTCGAATCCAAGGACAGCCATCTCGCTCAAAGAACCTACCAGAATCATTGATCAGCCCATACTGATTCCGAATCACCGTAGAACGCACTATTAGCTAATTCAATTTTCCCTTCTCCATCCAACATGTCATTCAGCGGGACTAGAGTCCGTTCATCTCTTTGATCAACCAACATCGCATGACGCTGGCTGAATGTTCCCCGCCCAACATCCTGACCCGAAATCCGTACATCGTAACCCTCCAATAACAATGTCCCGAACGCCATAGCCTGTTTACCCTAATCAGTTACTGAATCGAATGTAAACTGTATAACAAACCTCGGCATTAGCCCAATCAACTCCTAATCCACTCTCAAGACTGCTTAGTCGACTCTTCACATGGCGCTGCAACTTTGGATGCAATTCGAATCCTTCCGGCACATATACACTCGCTTTCCCGACCCTCTCCAACACGTCTCGTTCTACACCAGTATCCGGGTTGCTTATTGCTTCGGTATTCTCAGGCCAAACCATTCCTGTCCATTGTGCCTCGAGCATGGATGCTTTTTGTGGAGCGTATGATGGAACTTGGGAAAGCGCGGCGTCGAGCTGAGATCGATATTGAGTTCGAATGGCATTGATGTCCTCAGGAGTAAGTGTTTCATCGGCCTACGATGAATAAGTTAGTAGAGTAGAAGAAGAGTGAATAAATACTATGAACGTACGATGAGATTCTCCTCATACAGCTGTGGCACAGACCTGCGGGCAGATATCTTCTCATACATGAGAGGGCTAGTAAGACTAGGTAGATCGAGCTCGTTGTGTCTGAAGAGATGTCAGCAAGTATCGAATTTGTTTGGATTGAACCATTACCCCCTGCGGAAGAATTAGTTGAGCTTATTCTAGGTTAAGCGCAAGTCACAATGTGCACACACCAACGTCTATACACGAGAAGGTCCACAATGATGTCCTGATCATAGTGAAAGCGTCAGGATTTGGACACTTGGTGACGTAGTCGACAAACCTTGCGGAAATATTGGCGGTATTTGAAGGCGATGTCCATGGCTTTTACGACGTCTAAGCAGGTTCAGTCTCGCAAAGTACAGTAACGGCTCAACTAGGTGACCCACAAACCTTCCGGATGGTCGCCATTGACATGAAGGATGGGCGCGTTGATCATTTTGCCAACATCCGAGCAGTATAGCGATGATCGTGCTTGCGATGCAGGAGTCGTGTAACCAATACTAATTTACGAGCGTTCAGCGATTTTGGTTAGTATTCAAATCCTGAACTCACTTATTACTGCAGAGAAAAGTTAATCGACGGTCGTCATTAAATGACTTCGGACTCACTCAACGACCAGATGCACCGTTCCTCCGCTAGTAAAGTGTGGCAAGTTACTCAAACCAAGTGACTCCATGACAACTCCTTGCCCAGAAAAACTAGCGTCTCCGTGCAATTGTACACACATGACCTTGTCTCCGAGTTGACAGTCATCCGGGTGTGTTTTCAACAAGGAGTACTGCTTGGCCCGAGTCTTGCCTAATGCAACAGCATTGACGGCCTCTGAAAGATACGTATAAAAACCAAGGCAAATAGAAAGATATTCAAAGCACACCAAGATGCGACGGATTCGGTAACAGCGAGACCTTCAAAGGCTCTTCGGAGCCGTCATATTCCAAATGAGCAGAAGAAACCAGATGACTGATTACATCGCCCTCTACGTCCATTCCTTCCGGGTATTCAGCACCTCCGCGGATCTTGTGAAAAAGGGCAATAGAGGGGTATTGGAGTAGTTGGGGGTCTGTGAGAAAGTTGAGACGTCCGCGATGAGGCATTCCGACGATAATGCGTGATACGGAGCCTGCTGTACCATCAGCAAGGATTGAGAGCTGGACGAGAGACGATGACACACCTCGCGCAGCTGAAGAGAAGAGTGCATCTAAAGCGGGAAGCATAGATTCCCCACCTTCCAACGCGTACTACAACGAAGAAATTTAGCAGAAGCACGATTTGTGATACGTATTTGACAAACGCGTTTGAGATTGGGAAACTTGAGCTGAAGGAAATTATCAAACACTTCACTACGTGCAAGCAAGCCATGAATCCGCCGTTTCAGCTGCTTATCGATGGGTTGCGGCATTGTATTAGATTCAAGCAGGTGAGAGAACCAAAGACGCTCCGTCTTTGATTGTGAGTGCATGTACTGAGAGAAAACCAATAAGAGCATGAATGTAGAAAGCTAATCATTCGCACCTCATAAGCAATCTTTCCAACATACACCTCACGCAGATGCCTAGTAATTTCGTCCAGGGTCCACCATTCCTCCGTATCATTTCGTTGGGCCTCAACCTTTGGATTTGTCCAGATGATACCGTTCACGTTGTACCGTTTGTTACCGTCTTTCAATCCATACCGACTCGGGTTGAGTGCTGCAACTTCAGAATCGCGTGGAATAAGGTCCAGAGGGTCTATCCTTGCTGCTCGGTGGCCATGAGTTCGCACGGAGTCTACATATCGAAGCAATGCAGCGTTGTGGTGCCGGTTCTCCAATTGAGCATTGTTGTCTATGAGATAGTAGTAGAGCACTTTAGACGTGAGAGGTCAGTACTACTCACAATCTGGAAACACAAAAGAAGGAGGTTTTCTAAAGCCAAAGGACTCATCGTGATAGCACCTTCGCGAAGATTTGAAGGACTTTCTGAGCAATTTCCGTTGTAGCATTTACTGCTCAGAATATGCAGGAAACAAGTTCCAATTCGGACCCAGGTCTGAGGCTTGAGGAGCGGATCTCGGATAGGCACGTGAGAGCGCGCTGATGAGGATTATCATTATGCTGGATTATCATTATGGCGGTTAGAACGCAAGCCTTCTCTAAGTGTACTGGAATTATCTTTCTTTTAACGACCACCGACAACTTTTAGGAACGTGTTCGCCACACTTATGAATGTGGTTTCTTTACGAAAACGCGTCTGTCACAGGAATCTCCCCATTGCCGAAGTGTTCTCTCCGAGAACTTTGGTTCAAATTATGGAAGGAGAAAGGAATAAGTTGGTACGTGCTCAATTTACTGTTTGCCCTCAAAATATCTTCTGTAACGTTGATGGTATATAGCCTCATATAGCTCCATTGGCAGGAGAAGCTCACCAAGCTATACAACAATTCAATGAGACTACTCCAAACTTCTTGGCTGGCGCTCCGTATATCAAGGGCCGATACATACATAAGCAGTAAGGACAATGTTTCTACGGATACCTCTCTTCATCCCCTTTTGACGTTTTGTGCTCACCGACTAGGTTGTTGCAACGCAAAACTACGACAGCATTGACAGTAAACCACAACCGATGTCTGATACCAATTTACTCGAGGTATCAGAGAAGGGTCTACCTCGTAGACGAAGCACCAGCTTTCTGCGACAGATGGGCTCCAAGGATATCAGCATCGATTTCGACACCCGCAGGGATATACGATTGGACATCTTGAATCAAGAGCGTCAGGAATTTGCCGCGGAAGAAGGTCATCACAGCGCCTCTCCCTCTTCTCCACCCAGCGCTCGTCCACAAATGCGTCCGTTCACGACAATAGACGGTTCTGATTGGTTCAAAAGTCGATTTGTGAGGGAAGGAAAGAGACAAATCGGGGTTCTGGAGAGCTTGAAAGCTATCGCGACGTCATCGTGTGAATATCCATTTGCTTAAAACATCGCTGCAGAACTAAAGATAATTTCCAGGGTTGAATCTTTTCTACATCTTCATCCCAATCTCATGGGCCTTCCACTTTACGAACCACCAGAATGCAGAAGAGCCTGAGGAAATTTGGCCGTTCACAGTCACATTTACTAGTCAGCACGGATCTCGTACTATCATGAAACCCAATAAATCAGGATCTTTTTCTTTAGTGTCCCTCATTGCTCTTGTGCCTCTAGAGAGATCCCTCGAATATGGAGGCGACCAGATCAGTCTGTATTGCGGAAAAGAAATCGGTGACCTGATCATCGTTACACTAAACAAGTGCGTGTCCTCTCCCCCTTCATTACAGCTCACAAACAAATTGCAGTGCAGTTGAAGCGACTCTTGCCATCATCCTTCTAGTAAAATGCGAGTGAGTGCCGCCTACAATTTCTGATGAGGTCCAGCTCACGAACAGACAGACTACGCCTTCTCCAAGCAACAATCATCGGTGTGGTTCTCCTTCATCTTCTTTTCGTCCCGGGGATCGCGTTCATCATCGGCGGAGCCAAGCTGATCTATCAATCATTAAATCCACACTCGGCTCAGCTCAACCACATTCTCCTTCTCATGGGGTACGAAATACGTCTGTTTTTCAGTAATGTATCCTGATTACCGCGTACAGCGTCCTCACATTGCTTCTCCCAACTGCGCTATTTACCACGGTGGGAACAGCCTCCGCAAATAGTACAACCGATTCCATCCGGGAAATAGTTCTTATGATCAGCCATGGTTCAGCCGTCATACTTCTCGTAGTGTAAGTCGAATCAAATTCCTCTTTCACAGGCACCTCATATCTCTCATACAGGTATGCCTACTCCCGCGTATTCTTATATAACCCCCCAGGCGATGGAAACGCCTTTCGCCCACTCCCGGATGCTCCTACTGCGTTTCTCGAAGAAGAACGAGCTTTGCTAAATGAAGAACCTGAAGTCAACCAATGGGTATGCATTGTTTTTTTGTTGGCTACAATCGCAATTATGGCTCCAACTGCTGAGTGGGTACGTGATCACTGCACAAGTCAAAAAGCTAATCTGACTCCACCAAAAAAATCTAGCTAGTCGATGGCGTCGAGATTGTCAGATCTAGTTCTGAAATCCAAGAAGAGTTAGTAGTCAACTAGCTTTTTCCCCTGAAACTGTACCTACATGAGGACTAGATGGTTTGGCCTTATCCTCCTGCCCTTGTCATCCTTTGCTGCCGATGCAATCCTCGCCCTAGGATACTTCATCCGAACCACAGTGCAATATATCTTAGGATGGAAGCGCCCACCGACGCGTGTCGCCAAAGCGCGTTCGATAGATGTAGCGATACAGTTCAACCTCTTTTGGCTCCCATTCATCATATTACTGGGATGGTGGTCAAATCGCCCTATGACGCTGCTCTTTGGTGAGTACCCGGTCGTGTAAATGAATTTGCAGAAATAGTGAACATTGGTACGCACACAGATACGTTCGAGGTATCCATCCTCATTGGCGCCTGTTTCCTTGTCAACTTCGTGACTGCTGATGCAAAAACGAACTGGGCTGAAGGAGCCACGATGGTTTCGTTTTATGTTATGATTGTGAGTTTTCTCTGGTGTGCTTTATTGAACGTCTGAAAACCTCGACTTAATGGTGCTCGTTCAGGCCCTGACTGCATGGTTTTACACTGGGGACGAAAGGATCACCGCAATCCTTAGTTCGGGCCAATGTTCGGAGTAATAATCCGACTTTCTGCGAAGCAATAAATTACTTTCTACCCGATACTGTACTGTCACTACTCATGCCTCAATTAAGAGATTATTTTGGTGTAGTCAGGCCACTTTTCGTTGGCTACATTCGTTCACCAACACTTTATTGGGTCGATCTCCGAGCTATTACTTTGAAATTTTATTAACGATCTCTCAAAAAACACTACGACATCTTTGCCGCTCTAGCATTTGCAGCCTAGGATCTCGGAGGTAACCCAAACTTAATGCTACCTTTTGGACAGAAGAGAATCAGAATGTGAGTCTCTGTCTCTATGTCTGGGAACTCCTGAATCCGCGCATCTTTTAAAATTATGTATATGCTTCCATTCCTACAAGATCAAGCCCTTGCCGGTTCCACAATTTCTTCAATGGGCCAAGTACTAGCTTGCCGGCGGACTCCACACCTCCTCTACGTCAATGGTTCTATGAGATTCCATGCAACATCGGTATTGCCTAGCAATTTAAATTTTGTTTTCTTCTCGTCAAAAGCAGGTCCGGCAGGAGCAAGTCGCAATTAATCAAAACCTGAAGCATCTGCCACAGCCGTACCAACCACTCATCAACCCCGAGATGTCGCCTGGTTTTAAACGTGTGCTTCTTCGATATAGTTTGCGACACCACTGGCTTTCTTTTTTGTGTTCTTTATCTACGACAGGAGCAAACTACTAGCAAATTTCGCCACTTCAGATGAAATCTTGACATTAATCCAGGTCCATGTGTTTTTACTAGCACAAGAGTTCCCTACAACCGCATAGGTCGCCATGAGTGTATCATTCACGTCAAGAGCAAGAGAAGCTGCTAAATAATTTCGCCACACCCGCAACCACCTCATCTAGATTTTATTATCATCATGGGATGCAGATGGCGAGTGGAAAGGATTTCACCTATGACAAAGTCAAGCCGTATGAGGCTCCCATTCAAGAACGAAGAATGGTATAAAAAGGAGCCCTAATTTTCAATGTTCCTCCAACCCTCTAAGCTAATTCTGCCATGCACTTCATCACCAAAGCTCTTGCATTTGCTTCGATTGTCTCCGTTGCTTCAGCGTCGCTGCTCGTGCAGCGCCAGTGCATTGGAATCGGCCTTTCCTGTGGCCCCAGTATCGGCAGTTGCTGCCCAGGATTCACATGTACTGATGTTATTCTGGGTGTATGTTTATCCAGAATCTCTATTGGGGCTGAATACTGACTCTTGTCTTTTGAAGGAATCGATATGCACACCAAATTTATGTGGTGCTGTAGGCGACCCGTGTATCACCTTGCCCACGGGCAATAGTACCTGTTGTGAAGGCCTCAGCTGCTCGGCAGAATTGGTTGGACTCGAATTTCCATTCATCGATGGCTGAGTCTCACAATCTTTTCTAGAATTGCCAAGCGTGAAAGAAAGACTAGCTTCGATGTTGTATGGTGTTCAAATTTGACCTCGGTATTCTTAGGGAATTCAACTTCCCATTCATGTCTCGGGATTCAACTCCCACATTTACCTGTTCATCCATCGTAATGTATTATTCAGACAAACTTTGAATTATTGAACAACTTCAAGCAATTCTGTTGCTGAGGATCGGAAATAGTGAGAGCACCACCCACCTTCTACACACAATCGTGGTCGTACTTAGCGAGACATAAGGCGGAAGGCCCTTTTTCAAGAGGAAGGGATGGCGTTGTGACAGATTGGAGGCATCTAAAAGCCAGAAAAGGCTCTATATAATGTGACTATATGCATTTAACTAAACGACATCATTATCTGTATCTATAGTACAACGCACATTACAATTTCAGAACTCGGAACTTTCTGGATAATACAGTCAGTCAAGCTACATGTCCAATCACACGAGCTATAGCAAGCTTCCAGTCACGGAGGGTATTAGGCCCAGTATTCAAAACTGGCATATTTGGGTAATACCCAGCAAAATAGGCATATGATTGGTCATACGTGAGATTGTCAATCGATGCCTGATTATCGAGTCTTGGGAGGATCACATTTGGCTGTAGGAATGAGATCAGTGGAAGAGTTGACATACAAGGAATGAGCTGCTAACATGTCCTGGTCTGTCAACGCTAAGGCCCCATGGCTTCCTACCATCTGAAAAGGGAATCTCATAGAAAGGACCACTATTGTTCACATTCCGCTGTCCATTACAGTCCTATATACTGCATGAATAGATGGACAACTTGAAAGTAGGCAGCAAACATACCTTCCCATCCCGAATTAGAAGCGTCGATGTATCCAACCTCAAAGTATTCACACTATCCTTGATGGTGCTGACATCATCCTTGAGGGTGTTGACATCGTCCTTGATGGTGTTGACATTTTCCTTGATGTTGTTGACATCGTCCTTGATGTTGTTGACATCGTCCTTGATGTTGTTGACATCGTCCTTGATGTTGTTGACATTGTCCTTGATGTTGTTGACATCGTCCTTGATGTTGTTGACATCGTTCACTAAAGGAACAAAATTGGCTTGGTTCCATTGTTGGAACCAAAGCGCTATCAAGAATCAAAATACTTAGTTGCAGAAAAGTATAGCAAGAAAATATGAACATACGTGCACCCGCAACACCAGTTCCTGACTTTATCACAGCCTCTTTATAACAAAAACATGCAGCAACTGCTTCATCACTGACATATTCATTGGATGTAGGTGGGGCAGCATCATCTGTAGAGCGATAGATTTGACATCAGTGGCACTTTGGTGGCTGTTGACTTACCACGATACCTCAGAGCACGATTGGCAAGACGGACAGCTTCAATTACCTCAGCCGGTGTAGGAGGATTCTGGGGAGGATTTTGAGGGAGACCTATCCGTCCGTACTGATGGTTGGGGCCCTGCGCGAGTAAAGCAATTGGGTTTGCTGCCATGGATGTTGTATTGAAGAAACAAACGCGTCGAATCACGAAATGTCACGCAGCAATCATGTCACATGACTTCTGAATTGTAAATCCAATTCAGTTGTTCTTCATTCCGAGCAGATATGAGTGCCCCTTTGATTTTTTTCTTTTCATTTTATTGCGCGCGGGGGCGAACCTCATGATGCGCATAGTCTAATTACAAGGTCCCTGGCCTGCTCTAAGTCCTCCAGGCAACGAAAGCCCCCAGATGGATCTACATCCCCCTGTGGTCCAACTCGTCCTAGAGTTGTTAAATATTCGTGCTTCACCCCGTAACCCTCTACAAGCAGCCCATTTCGCTTTCAGCAAGTCTCTATCAACTTTGCTTCAATACTACCATTCCATAACACAACAAGCATCGACTAATTTGCCCATTGGGCTCGCCGACCTCATCAATGACCCTTTTTCGTTTCCTCAACGTCTCCGCGCTGTACACTGTGTAGTCATTCTCAATTTCGATGCTTTATGCGCCCAAAAATATCTATAAGCAGATGTACCTCAGCATCGTTGCCCCCACAAAAGAGATCTGAACCGTGTCGCTGATAAGACTACAACGTATATGATTCCTTTTCGCGGACCTCCTGTACTTATGTACGTTATATCAGATTGTGCTTGGTCAATCCAATGTCGACAGATACGCGTATGTTTGTGACAATAGTGCAAAGGTATAAATTGTTGAATACTTTCATTCAACTCCCTGCCTCCTTCATGGATCACATCTTCGGTTGAAGATTTCGCCCAACCGCTCGACAACATTCTTCACGACTTACGACTCACGCCGTCCGCTTGGCAACCTCGCTCGATGGTAGCTGTAAGTTTGGTCTCTGACCACAGTTTCCCTTGAATATGTAGATTGATCGATAACACGAAAAAATTCAAAAATTTGTTCGTGAATGACAATGAGATGTTCCCCAATGAAGGAAATTCGCCTTGGTGTAGAGGGATATATCGAAGTAATAATAAGCCCCCATATTCCCACTCGGTCTGATGCTTACTCAGAGTTTTCTGCCAAACACATCACCTCATCTCCCTCGCACCTTCCATACCTTTCCTGAGCATATCTAGGACCTGTAGGTTCTGCCGTCTCTGCTGCTCGACAGCACCACCCATCGCCTCTTGCCACCATCGTTCGTCCTCTGGAAGCTCTTTCCATCCTCCACGGAAGAATGCTTGCAGTTTCTTGATACTTCCACCGTGAAGTGTTGATGCAATTGGCTTGACTTTGTCCCAGTGAGGCGGCGGGTTGGTCAAAGAATATGGCTCGGGGGTAGGCGTATCGGAAGTAGAGACAGGAGGGACACAAAGCCCGTTTGCGGCAAAAACCACAGCAGGAGGAACCGTGATACGACCCATTTTGAAACACATTTGTGAGATAGTTATCGTGTGGAGTGTAGCCCCATCAGGTTCCCCGGTTGATAGCAGTTTCGATGCCAACTTATCCATATCTGTGGGTGGCACTGGCGTTGTACTATTCACTGGCGTGCTGGACATGGAAACTCCACTTGAGTTGACCGGAGCGTGAAAAAAGGATGGGGAGATTTCTGCGTCATTTTTCTTAGCCGTAGAGGAGCCTTTGTTTTTGCCCTGGCTTTTCGTGACAAAACGACACACGATATATATCTGACGATTGGTGTAGTCAGAAGAGTGTAGACAAACAAATGTTCGAGGTCGTACCCATTTTTCGTCCCAAGCTCCAAGAGTAACCCTCACTTCATATTTGGCCAGAATCGGTATTTCGCGCACAAAGTGAAAATGAGTTCCAGCCAGCGGGATGACACCACCAGCGATGATAAATTTCGGCAGCAAATGGCAAGCGAGTTTAAATCTAGCAGCGTCAAGAGCCTGCTAAATGCGTTAGATGTAGAAGTTGTCTTAATGTCCATTATGTAACCTTTGCGTAGCTTGAATTGCTAAGGTGAAAGTTGTAGTCGCTCTCATCGATACCTGGTCAAGTTATTATTAACGTTCGCTTGTCAAACATCTCGACAACTTACTGGCCCAAGAGCGAAACAATGTTGACTGAAACGGGCTTGCTCCAACCGGCGTCAGAGAATCGATCCAACGTTCGAACGCGTTTTCCTTGGCAGACTTGGACATAAAGATTGCCCTTATTTTGAAAAAGAAATGCGAGGACCAGATATAGATCAAAGGTCGGAAAATGCGAACTGAAAACAAATAGTTCAAAGTGGCTGTTCCTTGTAGTATGAGGTAGTATGATATGTTACTGACAGTGCCAGACCGTAGGGAAGGCGCGTATGTTGAGTAGGAGCAATAAACCAAGCAGCCATTTTCCGACTTGGCCCAAAAACATCTAGAACAGTAAGAGATGGAGGAGAAGAAGCGTTCATTCATTTGGGACTAATGATTAATCACCCCATATATTGACCAGCGCCTAATAGTAAATTTGGCAATTAATTACACGACATTTTACAAAGGTCATATCTATTGGAAGACCAATCTAGGGGTAGTTGCTGGGGAATGAGTTTGACGGTCAAGCATGACCAATGTTCAAGGCCTCCTGAACAGTCTTCTCGCCTTTCACTACAGACTGCACTATAGGAAGCGCATTAGAAAAATCCTTGAACAGGATATGCTTGATCCCCAGTTTAGTACAATACGCCGCGAGGTCGTTCTCTCCATATTCTTTCTCTTTGACAAACAGTACGTCGGCATGTTTTGCAGCAGACATGTCTGAACAGCATCAGCCCCATATCACGGAATCCGGCGATAGCGATCATCATACTAACCTGATACGCCATCTCCAAAGAAAAATAATGTTGGAGGGTGTTCCAAATCGCGATAGGGTAAAATGGCTTGAGATTTGTCATGGCCGAAACCACTAGATACGCGAAAGACTGTTCAGCAAGGTATGTGATCAATAGCATTTTGACTCGCCTGGTGGGGTGTCTGAACTTGATCCCCCAAGTACCATCGGGCCTAAGTTCGACATCATTCGAGATGATTTCAATCTCATTGGCAGACTCCTCTCCGACGAGATTGGTAAGTACCGCACGGATAGTAGGGGTCATTCCACTGCAAAAGCATCTCAATCCATGCCATGGGCGTCAAGTTGGCAGAGCAAACCTTGAGACGATTATGACGGGGATGTCATTGGCCTTGCACCAGGCGTAAAATTCTTTGAATCCTGGGTCTAATTTGATGTCTGGCGTACGTCCTTAATTCATGTATCTTGCAAAGCGTTCGGATGCACCTACTCTTTCGCAAAATTTCTTTGCATTCTTCAAACGAGTGTCCATTGGCAACGACGCTAGCCAGCATTTCACGAAAACCATCTCTATTCCAAATGTTAAGATCCAGTAAACAGCAAGTCAATCTCGTTTATTCACCTAAAAGTTGTCTTCTCATGCAAAATTTCCATGTTCAGATCTCGCCTTCTATCCCGCCCAAATCCCAAATTATCCGTCATGTCTTTTCAAGTTGCATCGACAAAGTTCGCGGATGACGGACAGCCGGAAGCGCATCGTTAATCGCTAATACACGTCCGTGATCCAAAAAACCCACAATCGTTGGAATCGTACGTGGTTATTGTGCCATCCCTGGTGTCGTTGGACTGTGAGTACAAAATTTAACATAACTTGAAGGTGTTCTACCAACCAGTCAGAAAGTACGACGAATTTCTTGTCGTTGTGGATCGGTGGATACGGCAGTGTGCTTTCAGGTGCAGCCTCGTTCATCGTGGTGGATGTCGATGAAGAGAAATGAAGTTTTCAATATCAAAACGCACTTTGGACCGATACGTGACTAAATTTTATTTTTAATCTTATCAAAACGCGTCCCTAAAGCATTGCAAAATTTCGATATATATGCAAATCATAGGTATAGATACGTAGCACATTACAAAAATTGATTATACGTAGGGAGAAATAGATACACCGATTACTTATTTCAACGAAGATTAGTTCGACAATCACTTTGTAAGATTAATTACCAAAAATGGTCCATACATATGTGTTTTGGACATCTACCAATCAAGGACTGTAGGGAAGAATTTTGCGATGAGACCTTCGTAGTACGGACGTAGCTTGGCAGGATCGCAGCTTCCATCGCTCTTGCTGTAAAGGTCATAAGGGTTGAATGCCTGCACGGCTTCGAGCGACTTTTGATCCTTCTCGTTCATTAAATGAGTATAGGCACCCTCACGGTGCCAAGGGTAGAAGCTGTGGTAACGAATCATAGCGAGAGCTTCTTCGGGAAGTGTGCTTTGATCTTTGAGGACATGATACAAGTACTGCGAAAAAAAAGCATGCGTGTTTAGAGGGAGACCGAGGTTCGCGGGAGGATTGTGAAACACGACTCTGCGTTCTTACTCACCTCATCATGGCCCCAAGATAGCATAACATTGTCTAGCCCACAATGTGGCTCGTAAATCCCATACTTGGTGCTGTACACGACGTCCTGAGAGTCCGGGTTACCCTCAAAAGTGTGGGGGTAAATGATTTTCTCGGAGAACTTGCAACCGACAACAAATGTATCCTTTGGTGGATAATGTCAGATCATTCGGCCGGGCGGGAAGACGTGTCAATAGCTTACCCCCACAACGTCCCATTGGCCTTGGGATCCGAACATGGACAGGAGCTTGCCTAGATCATGAACGAGACCTGTGACCTAGCATAAGAGTTATTCACTTGGTTCTGGACAACAAACATATTCACAAACTCACCTGCATCCATTCTGGTTTACCATCCCGACGGATAGCTTCCGCGGTCTGAAGTAAATGTTCGATTTGCGACAGATTCGTCTGTAACGCAGCGTCAATTATAGGCATCAAACCGAATACCAGAGGTACAGATAGACTCACGTCAGGATCTGATTCATCCACAAGGGTATTGAGCATCTCCATCGCTTCCCATACACCCATGCGAGCGCGTTTTTTGCTATTGAATTCAACCCGAGCCTTGATGTTGAACTCAACTGTCTGTTTCTCTGTGATAGACAAGGGACAGCGATGAACATTAGCAGAACGATGACGTACTCGACATGCGTACCATGTTGTTCCTTGTAAAAATTTTTCACCCGGTCACAAGCAGCGTCATAGTCCCGGAATTGCGTCTTGTCCTTCTCCTGGTCAAATTTGGACTCTTCGTTCCATTTCCCCTTGAGCACATTGACTGAAAGAACCACAGAATTAAGATTGAATTTGAGAATAAAATAAGTAGGAAAGATAAGCACCGTGGTCGATAGCGTCAGAAGTTTCGTCGAGAGCACGACCAGCGTTGTAAATAACGGCAATAGGCATATCGGTGGAAGCTGGAGTGGAACGATAGCTGGAGAGAGAAAGAAAGAAGGAAGGAAGGAATGATGCCAGTATGGAACTTTCAAGTGAAAGCTCTTTTGTACCTTGTCGGAATAAATCCAATGACTGTACTGTCAAGATACTGTTTTGGAGATTGGAGACGCCGGCAATCCTGTAAGGGCTGGTATGAATTGCATATGAAACTGGAATTGCCGTTCGCAGGAAAAATTTTTTTCTATCGCAACCCACAGCAAATGTCTAAGCAATTCATTTTTGAATAAGGCTGCAGTGCAGGGCGGAGAGATAGTAATTTGCGGAGTGAAGATGATGGGAGTAGATGGGAGTCCGGATATTCCGACGTAGTTGCCACGTGTTTTCGCTGAACCATTCAATCCGCCTTTTGCTTTGTACACAGGCGTACACCCCCTGTAGAACCCTAAAGAAGTGATAAACGTGCAAAACCCGAGGCAGCAATACTCTTGCATCATTGACCCAGAATTTAGATCACTTAGATATGAGCGTCGATAATGCCTTGTCCGCAATTAGACCTCGCAAAATGAATCAAAGTATGTCTAAAATGAAATGAACGTGGAATGAGATTTTAGCCTGGCATGATTTCTTATCCACTGAGATTTCCGAAGCCAGACCAATCCTGGTCCAATCTGCGTTTCATGTTCATCTGCACTGTGCAGTAAACTAGATGGTCCTTGCGGGCTCGGAATTGGAGGTCGGAATGCCCTTTGCCCTCAGCTGTTCCTGGTAGCTTCAAGCATGTCCCTCAATCATATATCCCTTGCAAGATACCATCGAAAGCCGAATGAATTGATCTGAAAGGTTGTCAGTCATTATGAGCGTTACTTACTGCAACGCAGACAAAATCGAACAGCGGTAGCCATTGTGAACTACAATTCCATATAGCGAGATATACATCACAGAGACCGAAGTCAAGGCACCCCTCATTGTCGGTGAAGGAGAGGTCTGAAAATGGTGGGTGCATTCTGGGCGTCACTTGAAAGATTACACACAAAAAGGATTACATGGTCTACAAATACTCATAAACATATTCACCTGGTTTTTCTTTCTCAAACTGAGAGAGTCTCCTATCAATGTTCCAACTAAGCCGTTGGTTGAGGTTGGGGCATCGGCGCAGTCCAGTTGTCAAATCCCAGGTCAACAGCTAAATTTATGGGTCAAGTACAAGTGAGAACGGAGCAGGAAGAACAAGTAATTTCACATACGCCACGGAGGCATGATGAGCCTACACAAATCACGCCAAAAATGATCAGTGACATGAAAACTCAAAAGAGGAAACTATATTTACTACCTCTTCTGCTTTCCTGAAGCCGCGAGTCCGTCGAGCTCCGCAATATCTTCCTTGTCAAGCTTTCCGATTGCATTTATGGTTCCAGTGAGGTTGGAAGTGATACGTGAAGGAGTGACGGATTTCGGAAGTGCAACAATATCATGGACCACTGAAGAAAAAAATAATCTAGTTAGCGAAAAGACCGATTGAGTGATTCGGACATACCAAGCCAGCCGAGTAGAACATCTGAAGGCTGCAAACTGTGCTTCTGTGCAATCTTTAGCACGACGTCATCTTTGAGCAGCGGCGAGTTCGTAGAACCCAGAGGTGAATATGCTTGCGGTACTATTCCTTTGGAACGGCAATATGCAAGCAACTCATGTTGAGGGTTGTAGGGGTGCAATTCCAGCTTCATTTCATTTTAGCGAATGTATATTGTGTGGAGATCTTTTACGCACTTGATTAACTGCAGGAATAACTTCTGCAGAAGGAAGAATTTCTTCGATCTTCTTCACGGAGAAGTTACTTATGCCAATAGTCTTGACCTTGCCTATATGATGGTCATGAGGCTTTGTTATAAAAATATAGAAAGACAGATTTACCCTTTTGAACCAGTGCTTCCATTTGCTTCCAAGTATCAGACAGCTTCCAGGAGTGTACGACATCGCGCAAACCGTTAGGGAGAGTAGGAAAAGCAGGATGATTGCCCTTTGGATTCAAGGCGATTGGCCAATGGATTAGATATACTGCATGAAAAATCCCGTGGAAACGATTACGCGTATATTTCGACACAAAAATTGACTGGAAGCTTACAATCCAGGTAATCAGTTCCAAGATTGGCTAGGGTTTCATCCAGAGCCTCCTCAACGCGGGAATGATATGTTCCCCAAACCTTGCTGGTAATCTGTGTGTATAGTAATAATCAAGCTTCTGTGGCAGCAATATGGAAATGCTACGAACGAAAACCTCCGACCTAGGCACACCAGACTGTCTGATACCCTCACCCACCTCCTTCTCATTATTGTAGCCCCTTGCCCAAGAGTGAATTCCCATACAACGAATGGAGATTCAAGAAGCAGGAATGCTTACCAAGCGCAATCGATATGTCTGTATCCAGCTTCTTTCAGCGCATAAGCGACGGCTGCAACAACTTCCGAAGGCTGAGATTGCCAGGTGCCTTTGGAAGTAACATGAGACAAATTCTGTGTGTCGGAGTAATGTGAATAGCTTACCGAGACCAATAGCTGGAATCTGTACGCCGTTATTGAGCTTAATGGTGGGAACGGACATGATGAGAGTGAAGTTTTGGCAACAACGTTGATTCATCGATTGTACTCATTTAATATGTACTGACGGCCCGCCTCTGGTCATACGGACCGAGGGCGACGGGCCGACTGGATCGCTTATTTCTCGTTCAAACTTCAAGCTCGAAGGCAGTTCTCCATCCATTCTCAATGTCAATTGAACAGTGGGAGGAATTGGAAGGAAGGCAACGAAGGATTTTAGATGTGTGACATGGTCCAAAGTACTCAGCGTCGGTTTCCAGTTGAATCCTACACTGGAAACCTGGATCACTGTGGGCAACCAACGACGTAACTACATGGAACAATCATTGGCAAGTCTACAGAAAGTGTAACGGAAAGTTATATCAAGTTCACATGGATGTTACATAACAACAGATAACTCACGCCAACATATCCAGAGCAACTTAGGCCGCTGCAACAGGAGTCAGTGGGAAGCACTGAACTGCACTGAGTTCCCGCAACACCGCATACACCTGGCGTGGGTAAACATTCCTTGGAAAATATCAAGAAAAATCAAACGGGATTCCGTGAACAGACATACCCCAAGGGGTACTCCAGCAGCGCAAGACAGTCCCTCGCAGCATGCATCACTGCCGTTAGTACAAGGCTGGTAAATTCCAGTACATCGAGGTTGAATGAGTGCAGAGGCCAAAGAAACGGAGGCAATCGAAACGAATACAAGGATTTCGCTGATGAAGCGCATTCTGGAAGGGTAATAGGAGGAGGATGGTGGAAGAAACTGGGGCTCTTTTTATACAGTACAGTAGCGGAGGAAAGGCTACTCCGAACGATGATGAGCGTTGAATGACAGGCTTGACGTTACCGTGAAGCACCTATACAGTGCAGAATATAGTCAAAAACCGGTGAATGCGATATAGACAGTCTGCTCACCAATTCCGCCAATTCTGAACCTCCAGAGCGGCAAGGATTGAAATAACATAATGTTCATTCTAGCGGCGCTCTGTCCATGTCTTCTCAAAAGAAGGGCTGCACGAATCAGAAGACTGTTGAAGGATCCTCCTGAATAAATGCATCGAATTACAGGCCAAATGTTTTGAGAATGTAGAGAATGCCAGATACACTTCAACTTGTGTATCTTTTGGCGTGACCTCGCAAGGTGCACAAGCTCATGAATTGTTGAAAGGCTTCCGTTGTTGCAAGCCCCGCCATGACCGTGAATTCGAAAGAAGAAAATCTCGACCCTGTGAATGTTGTTGGCATAATTTTGTGATCATAGTAGTACCAACCTGGGACGGGGAGGAGGACTACTTCTACAACACCAAAAGTGATCTGAAAAGCGGGTTCGCTTCGGAGTGCTGGTCAGGTGCTGGTATAACGGAGTGAACGGGTACTGGGCGGCCCGGTATCGGCTCAAGTTACGCTATTTATCCGCTATGACGTCCCGGTCGACATCGATTCCTCCTCGACTACCAAATACATTTCTGTATTTTATCGTCTTGAACCTTTATGATGACTGCCAGGTTGACTGATTTCAAGGTGCTCGTCTTCGACGTTTATGGCACACTAGCAGTACGTCGCTTTCATACAAACGCCTCCCCAGGCTGGATAATTATTATGTTGTGCTCCAGGACTGGGAAACAGGGATTCTCCTGGGGCTCAAACCGATGCTCTCTAGGTACTCCACATCCTCAGGCTGGTCGCGTAAACAGGTGCTCGAAGCTTTTAGCGCTGTCGAATCCGATCTTCAGGCCAAGTATCCTCATTTACTCTACAGCGATCTTCTTGCAAAAGTACACGAAGTCATGGAGGAAAGGCTCCAAGCAGGATCCGGTCTTCCTGTAGAGACTTCTACCGTTGACGGTGATCCATCATCTCTTCCTATCAGCTCATCTTCTTCGAATCAGTCAGTTCTTTCTGATGAACACGTCGAATTTGGGCAGTCAATCAAGGGTTGGCCGATTTTTCCTGATAGCTATGACGCTCTACACACACTTTCCAAACACTACAAGCTCGTTGTACTGTCTAACGTCGACCGCACCTCGTTCGCACACACGCTGGCCAAATTGTCTGAAGGGGATTCTACCGACTTTTCTCCGGAGACTTACTTGCCTCCCGAATCGGAAGAATATTGGTATCCTCAGCGTAACCCAAAATCAAAATCGCCTTTCACATTAGTGCTAACTGCTCAGGATGTCCAGAGCTACAAACCGGCATTACATGGGTTTGAGGTTGCTCTGGATGTCATACATCGGGAGGCAGCATTGCTTAACACTCCCAAGGATCAGGTCCTCTGGGTTGCCCAAAGCTTGTTCCATGATATCGAACCAGTTAGTCGTCTTGGAGTGACCAGCGTTTTCATAAATCGCGAAGGAGCCACCATGGGCTTTCGCCCAGGACCAGAGCCGATTCATGCATGGCAATTTGTAAGTCTTGGGAAGATGGCCGAAGCTGTAGCCAAGGTGTAGCATTTATCGGTAGCTCTATGATCGTTTTTTTGGTGAAAGAATGGACTTGCTGGCTGGTAGGACACAAGTGATTATTGTCACAACTAAAGGCTTACACTCTTTATCCTGATAAAAATTCAGAAAGCTGCCCTTAGGACGAAGCGAAATGGCGTACCGTCGCACTGAATGGTCGTGCTTAACAGGATAGGCTAAGCAAAGGCAGCCAGTGCCAATCATGAATCATAATCATAGAGGGCTGGATGCCTCTCGAATTGGGTGCAAGCAGAGAAATTGACTTACATACAAAATTGAATATTTCATGACAATAAGCAGGAGTAGTGAGCGATTAGCACGGCTGGCCGTGAAGAGCCGTCTTCACGGTCGTTCGACATTCGTGGACAGCGCGCGAAATTTGCCTATTTCGTCCGAATAACGGATCCAAACCCGAGGAGGAGAATGCATTTTTTGACCTTATTTATTTCTGGAAAATGGCGGTCTGGTCATCATACAGGGTTGAATTTTACCGTACAGAACGTCTGATTTGACCAAAATTTGACCGTAAGAGATCTCACCTGTATCTCACTTCACTGGATAGCTCCTAGAGGGCGACCTTGTTCTCTTACAGGCAAGCGAGTCCATATTTATACGAGCAGGTCATAAATGCCAACGACCAGCAACGAGCAGGCAACTCACGTCGATGTCATGACGAAGCAGAGGTTCAGAATCACTGATCTTAATCGTATGTATAAACGTGGCTATAACGTGGCAATGCGGCAAGAATGTCCAGATCAACGAACAATCTTGGACGCAAACTGTCACCAGTGCTTCATTGGTTCCGGGAGTGCTTCGCTTTCAAAATATCCTTTTTTGCTCTTTCAATACAGCCAGCGTTGAATTCTAATCCCAATTGTACATTCTGGGAACATACACAGCCCAAAAAACCAAATGTCCTTTTTGGTAAAATATACCGAGAACACCAACATCTTCAGCGCCTCAGCGATATAATCATCGTTGTTTCTGGCCAGCTGAAGGACTTTCCTGAGTCCAATCCCATCCTGGACATATGTCAATTCTTGATTAGGGCAATGAACCGGCACATCTTCACTCCATTCATACGCCGTCCTCGAGGTTACCGAAACTGATAGGAACATTGGAGATCGGTGATAAAAAGTCTAACGATGGGACTTCTATGTTCAATTTGTTCGCTAATCATGCCAATCCTCAATGGACCTTGAAAAGGCTGGCTGCTTCTCTCGTTTTCCTTCCAAAATCCTCTCTCTTATGCGCCCCGCATCCTCATATGACGGAAATACTACCGACCAGTATACATTATACGAACATCGTATAAGAGGGCTCTCGTCTGCCATCTGGCTGACGCAGATACAGCCCTTTCCTCTAGGAGTTCCCCCTAGAGAACCACGCATCCTTCGAGCCTACCGTGCAATTGCCACACTGCTGACAACCAACTCCATTGACGAAGGCCCTATCACAGTCACTGGTGCGCCCGAAGTCGATGCCTCCCTACGCGTGACGATAGTAGCTCCTCAGTTTCTCAATCCTGTCTCTGGGTCTGCGCGCGCGCATTTTCGGAAAATTGGCGACCAGAAACCTTCAATATCAGTTGAAAAAATATCAGTTGAAAATACCGAATCGCGTGCAATGCAGGACCTTCCCGAATTTGCCCAGTATGTTTCGTCTTATGATATTGGTCTAATTTTGACATTTTATATTATGTAGGCACGGTCCCGCACCTATTGATATAGTGAAGCACAGTGCGGATATTTTTCAAAACCTATTACACAGATCACAGACCCCAACTTCTAGCCCGGAGAGCTTGAGGGTCTTCCGCCTCATCTTGAGCCGCTGTTGCATGGAGGTGAAAGCCCGTCTAGATGCGGCCCAGTTTCTTCTCCATTTCTACGGCGCTATGACCCTCACCAGCGTTTTCAGAGGCTGGTCTCCTCGGCCTGAGGATGTGTTGGAGTCTCGTGATCCCTGGGAGGTAGTAGAAGATCCGTGTCTTGTGCATGAATTGCAACAAGAACGCATTCCGGTGCAGTTGTTCAATGGCCAAATGCGTTTCTATTTCGGAGTTAAAACCGCTACTCGTTGGATGGGAACTTTGCGCAAAACACTCGAGGAATTAGTGGACGCCACGAATCGGTATGCCTTGAAGGATTCATCAGGACCCCATCTCACTAGAATGGCCAAAGCGATGAGAACACTAGCACATCTTTTGAATACCCAGCCTATTCAAAAGATTTTCAATTCACGGTCTCTTCAAACACAATTGGACATGCTGCGTAAGAGGAGATCTCACTTTTCGATTGATGTAGTGCCAGCCGGCTCAGTTTTGAAGATTATTGGTAAGATGACTTCGGTCTATCACTGGGATTAGTAGAAGATGTTCTGCGAAACTGACACCATTCTGTAGAAGATGAACGTCAAATCGGCGAGACAGCAGGACATCATGTACTGCGTTATCTTTTTTCATTGGTTTCGTGGTATAAGGCAGCTACAGTAGATCTTCCCAGCCTCATGATGCGCTTGGCCAATAGTCCTCCAGTTCTATATATCGTACGGGTTCCAGTTCTACGCCCTCAGGCAAGGCCAAAAATGCACTCTCCTATCTTCATCGCTAGAGAGGAATTGAATCGGTTTCTTACCTCGGAAGATATTGAATATGCTTACACATCGAGGGAGCTGCAGAAATTTAATACCGCACTCGATGAGCTCTTCGCGAGGAGACCGGCAGTATCTTATCCTACTTCGTCCACATCACTAAATGGAACCCCTTCAGAGGATTTTCCCGGAAGCATGCATTCAGCAGGCGTTGCTCTCGCTGTGATGAACGGCGACTCATCTTCCAGCTCCCCTTATCCGACGTCTCCTCATTGGGTCCCAACGGAGACAAAACCTCGGAAAGCTCGAACGATTCTGTCTTCTGTCCACTCGAGTCAGATCTCTCCTGAGTACCTTGTTAGGCCCTCTCATGGGGGTTTCGCCACATCGTCTAAAAGGTGCTGCTATTGCTGCAGTCTTTTAGACGAGATTCTTTCTTCATCTGTTCACAATTCTTCCAGCCCTGATAGTTTTTCAGAACCAACTGCGCCGTTCAAAGACCACTATGGGATTGTCGTCCCTTGGACTCCACCTCCCCTCGGATACGGACTCGGCGTCAAGACCCTGGCGCTGTTAGAACGCGAACTGACTGCCCTACTATTAGGAGGCATTCTTAAAAATTTAGACCATGTGTTTTCGACAACTAATGAGGCTAGAGCACATCTTGACGACGACATGTTGGCCTCTTACTCTGGATCTTCTCACTCTCAAATACCCGGCCGCCTGCAACGTTCCTCTAGGCTACCGACAGTATTCGAGGTCTCAGAAAGTAATCGTCGCAATAATAACCACTCACGAACCAACGGAGAGCGCTCCTATCAATAACAACTTCGTTCCTCTCAATCTCATACTTTATGCTTCTTGATCCGGACGTTTGTTCGATGCTTCCTTGTTGTATATCGATCGCTTCATCACTGTAGCTCTATCTTGCGTCTTTGAACTTTCTTGTACATCGTTATGCAGTACTTCGATGTATCCAACATCTCTCGAACTTTTTGTTTAACCTTTCTACTTCAGTCATGTACAGTACTCATCGACATAATACTCGACATCGTTTCCCATGTAATAATTGGCGAAAAGACTTTCAGTTAATCATTTATGCCAGTGTGTAGTTCATTACTTACCTGTATTCTGGTATTAGCGTACATGTTTCACAGTTCTTTCTTTGGTTCAGTGTCAATCATGTCTTCTTCCGTTTTTAATCAGCTACCAGATTTACGGGCGGAGCTGTTGATCCCACCAAGTTGATTCATGCTGTGCCCACGGAAGCACACATGACAACCTCTCATAGGAGGAGGTCAATTTTCAAGGTTCATATTTCTAAACTCAGCTGTTATCAACATGCCTGCTCATCGCTGTCATCCTGTTCGATAGTTAGAACTCAGAGACAATCAGAAATCCAGGAAGTTATCCACCATTTCCAACTGTACGAGGCAGTTCAAATACGACTCTATCGCAGATTGCCAGTTGTACATAAATGCCTCGAGGGCCTTTGCCCTTTTTCGTCTCGTACTCAGGAAATTTGGAAGTAGTCGTTATCATGTCAGAGCGATAGGCACTGTCATGTCCTTGAATGTCAACATACCAATGACCAAAACGAGAAAGGTGAATAAATATTAGAGCATCGATTGATGACGGGAACGGTACTGACAGCTGTGCATTTTTGTCCCATCTCGTCCATGTACGTGATGAAAAGAGATGCAGTAAAAACATCATATAACGAGGGCATCGTCAAGGGTATTAAAAATTTATTCATCCCAATGGCTTTCGCGGAGTAAGAATATAGCTAAAAAAGCTGTGAGATATCATTGGAATTTCACTGAGCATCCTACTGTACTAAATGTAAGGTAATACATACCCAACATGTGTATGTTAGTCCAATGTGCACAGGGAATCTACCCAGCCTCATCCACTCCACAAAATTAAGAAAACACACGAGTCATGCCGCAACACCCACAGAGACCGATAGTAATTCACCATTGTTCCACAGAAGACTCTAGAGCCTAAGAAAACACCACCGAGCAGCCCGCAGTCCGAATGCGAACGCACTTGTCACTGGTGTGTTACATGGGTCAAAGGCTAAAGAGCAGGCTGTTTCCCTAGTTTAGGATATAACCTCTCCTTGATCTGCCAGGGAGTGTTGTAGTACATTCGCTTCTCAAAGACACAGTACTCTGTAAGTTGGCGTTTTTCAGCAGGTACGCGACGCCCTTTTTTTGAGGCGCCTGGTTCAGGAGTATGTAACGCATTTCCTTGAGCGTCGTATACTTCAAGGCTCTGTTCACGGGCGAATGATTGAGCTATTGTATCGCAGCGAGAATATCAAAACTATAGACAGACCTGCTCGGTCTCGAACCTGACTAGAGCGTTGACCAGCAGACGGTTTCCGTATGGAGGTGGCACCGGGCCGAGATGGCCCTCTGTGCTTCTAATGGAGATGATTTTCGTTGGAGAGACCTCGCGGTGAAGGGTCCAGATGTAGTTGTTTGCCTTGCCTTTCTTGACGAGTTTCTCTACCTCTTGATAGTAGGGTGGTTGTGTCAATCTTGAAAGTTCTTCTTTGTCGTGTCTGTTTATGATATCAGCAAGAAATGGCTGGATAGGTTATATCACGATACGAACTTTGCCAAAGCCTGCTGCACCGAGACATAGTTTTCGAGTAATATTTTTCGCAGTGGCGCTATCCAGGAGGTAGGTTTGGTTGACGACGAGGTGCAAAGATGTAAAGGCATGCGGAGCGCCCCCATAAAGCCCATACTTTGAGTGTCAATGCCCGGAAGGCTGTCGTAAGAGACTAAACGCATCATGCTAGAGATTGCGATGTTCGATTTATACGACTCAAAACATATCTGAGCATACCTGAACAAGCTCTTCCCTTTGTTCTTCTGGTTTGACAACCATTGCGAGAGCCGCTCTTTTACAGTTGAAAACTTGGATCTTGACCACGGCGCGGTAGCGTACGGAATTGCAACATCTGTATTGCACATTATTTCACTAGACATTGAAGGAAATTTGAGATGACGCGCACCAAGAGTATCGACAGGATGAGCCCATATATCAATCCCCTGATTTTGACCGACGATTTGTGCACGACGAATGAATTTGAGCTGGGCTTCTTCCGAATAACTGTCTAAATCTATACTGTCGTTGGCCGGTCTTCGCCTCCTCGTGGCTGTCGCATGCGCAGACCGAGCTTGAATAGCATGAGCATCAACGGGGAGGACACGCGAAAGGAGAGACAAAGACGTGTTATGACGAAAACATGATATTTTTCGGGAGACCACAGCTAGGTTCATGGAAAACTGTGAGATTTCGGCCGAAGCCTGTGAATGTTTTCGGCATCCGCTTTGTCAGCAAATTTCGGAACTGCCGGCTTGCGCAAGCCAATTGCAGAGAGCATCTTCTTTTTCTTCTACTACCACCACTAAATATGCCTGTAAGTCTTTTTTCTTCTCTGCTTTTCTCTGGCATGTCAAGCTCATCACAGAATTTTCTGCTCTCAGCGTCAATCTCGCGGTCGTTCATCTGTTTCTTCGCGTCCAGCTCCTGCGCCAGCCCAATCCAGAAGCGCACATACTGCAACTGCACCCGCAGGATACGGTTCACCTGCTCATCCCCCTGCTCCAGTTAGCCATGCCCCTTCTGCGCCTGCAGCCACTTCATCTGGACCTGGTATGCTCGCTCAAATGGCTGCAACTGCAGGATCCGTCGCCGTTGGATCAACCATTGGACATGGTCTCTCGAGTATGCTCTTTGGTGGCTCAAGCACCCCTGCGGCACCTACTTCGGAAGCTACGCAGGCTCCTCCTGCCCTTAGAAATCAGTCGGGGGTGAATTGCGAGGTTCAAGCAAAAGGTGTGTTACCTTATAGCCTCGTAAATGCTCAAGTTGTTTTTATCCACTGAATTTCTTCAGATTTCACTCAGTGCCTCGAGAAAGCTGATCTACCTTCGTGCACTTGGTATCTCGAGCAACTAAAGGCTGTAGGTCTACCCCATCTTTTGTGTCCGATTTACCTGACTCTTCTTTATAGTGCCAAGCTGCTGCTGCTCCCTATTGAGACTTTCCAAAGTCAGTCCCGTAGACGCCATTGTTTGTAAATTGCTATAATTGCACTTTGACAATAACAGTAACATGTGCCGTTGCCGTTGCACTCCTTTTTCTGCTCGTGTTCTCCCTGTGACAGACACTCGTGTACTGGAGATTGATACCGCATGTACTAAACATGGCCAAATTTTGCAAAGAGCAATTTTTAAAATACAAACTTTCAGGCTTTCAATTCAATTAACGCAAGTTATGGGGATTACGCATAAACTCAGAGCTATGTATATGTCCGAGCATGGGCCATCTTTGCTCTACGACAATCTGGTTCCATCCAAAAATCCAATTGTATGGCCAAACATTACATGAACAAGATACAGCAACGACTGACACTAGAGGTGAATTTTGCGGTGTACAGTTGCCAGTCCTAGAGAAATGCGACCTTGTTTCGCTATCAATACACAGTCCATTCAAGCCAGATAAAGGGGCGGGGGCCTGGCCATCATAGTGATCCAAATAACCAGCAGGTGGGGAACTGACGACATAAGGATTAAACATACTACACGAGCAATTTGACCTTTGCATACATCTTATATTCGTTCTCTTCGCAGAATGAATCTAAAAAGTGGAGAAGATTCAACAAAGACAATATAATCAAAATCAAGAAAACCTACTGTGTTCAGGAGGATTTCGACGTTGAAGATAACCCCTTCTGGTCCATGTACGTTAGATGATCGTAGTATTGCTCTAGCATTGATCGGGCTTTGGTATCCCTCGGGTTCTCCTTCAGCATTCCGATGATAAGTCTCAAGCCGGGTAGATCAATGTCATTTGTGTGGCCATTGCTCTCCAAGTAAGAAATCATCTTCTCGTCTTCTTCTACGAAACCGTGAGCATATTAATGATAGCTCAGGACTCAAAGCATACTAGACAAGGCCTGCTCCGCTCTTGGACGATGAACGTAGTCTATAACAGGAAATCAACCAAAGAGTTAGACAGTGGGTAGAATAGCAAAACTCCAAAGGTATGTTGAGAGAACCGCTTGCCTGATGGACTAGACTGCGCAGGAACGGGAGAGTAACCTTCGGCTATTCGGGCTGCGAGAGCGTTGCCCTCTAGAATAGGGACGGCGAGCACAGAAGCCATCCAAGTGGCAAAGAAAGCAGTGAGAACGGTACGTGAATGAACCATTGTACAACGAAGCTGTAGTATGAACTGGAATGAGGTGTACGGGCACTGGAATTGTTGATTTTCGTTTGGGTGTTGAAGTTTGAAGAGACCAGCTCTGGGGGATTCTGGATAGGGCCGCCCTCCCTTGATATACAAGTACGCCCTACGCTCAAACTGATTTGTAATGATGTGAGAAGAAGCGATGGGAATTGACTTTGGGGAAAAGTTCAGAAACCTGTTAGAAACCGCTTGGAAACCAGCGATGGCCCCGACGGACAGCGGCGGGTCCATTTTGTCTTGGAAAGGGTCCCAACCTGTCCCAACGGGAAGAAAAGGAGGGAAAAGGCTGGGAAAGGAAAGCGGCACGGTAGGGAAGGGTAGGGAACAGTACTAACAGTCAGGCCTAGGGCCTCCTAGGGCTGGGTTCTATTTTATACAGTTCAATGTTCCGTCGTGACTCGTGAGGCTTGATAGGGCTTGATCGATAATCATTTGATTGCGTTGTTATTCCGAGTCCTCAAGGTGGTGGTGGTGCAGGAGGTGGTGGTAAGGGAATTCGGGCGGGAGATTATATCCCCTCGAACACTAATTCGACATCGAAATTTTCTTCTATGGTTTGCAAAGGGAATTCAAACGTACCACGATATTCGATATACTACATAATATATGAATACACGATACTGCGAGTCCGCAATATAGACGTGGCTGTCGTATATACAGTGCGACAGTGGCAGAGAAAACATTCACAGAGCAGGGCAAATAATGTCCCACTCCCATATTGCACATCACCCAGAACACCAGAACGCTTCTGTCGATTCAACACCCCCTCAATCAAGGTCCTCGCCATAGTAGGAGTAAGGGGAGCGACGGTGTCGGTGACCTTGATTCTGTTGACCTTGTCCATGATTATCGTCATCGTGACTATGCTGGCTTTGTTGACTGTTCTGACCTTGAGGGTGAGGATGTTCATGAGCAGCACGACGAGCATGTCCGTTACTAGTGGGTCCGCCGGGTGGTCCACCTGGTGAGATATGTGCGTTAGATCTACTAAACCAGCGGGTAGGTGTGATCAAGAGAGATTTACCTCGATGTCCTTGTGGTCCTTGAGCGTCGTTTGAAGAACCTTTTTGTTGTTCACCTGTTCGAAGATAAGTGCATTGAGAAATGTGACATCGAACAACAGCAACGCGACAAAGAATTACCTCCTGGGGTCCCAAGTCCTTCGTCTTCCGGACCATGTTGGTGTCCATCGTGATGATTGTGAGGACCTTGAGACGAAACGATCAACAACGATAGATAAATCACAGAGTCGAGGAGAACACACCACGTTCATTTTCACCTCCTTGACTTTCCGGGCTTCCCTGCATCTGTGGCTTCATCCCACCATTTCCAGGAGGACCTGAGTCAAAACGAAAATTTATTCAAAAATCGGTAAAAGAATTAAACGAGAAAATCAAGTCAATTCCAAAAAGGGACCACAGGAAGAAAAGATAGTACCTTGTCCACCGTGACCTTCATGTCCGACTTGTTCACCTTGCTGCTTAATTATATGATCTTGAGGTGGTCCTTGAGGTGATTGCCGACGTCCAAAGGGTTGGTGAGCAGACTGAGGCCCACCCGGTCCGGCCCTGTCTGCGGGAGGCGCGCCTTGTTGCATGCCTTGGGGTCCACCAGCTGGATCTTGAGGGTGCTGACCCGCCGGGGGAGGGCCCTGAGGGCCCTGCTGTCCAGGCATCTGCCGACGCCCAAAGTGAGAAGGATGAGGTGACTGAAGTTCGCCAGATCCTCCCGGAGGGCCTTGTGGAGGAGGATGCGGCATGTCATCACGAGGCTTAAAGTGGTGCGGGGGCGGAGGACCTTGCGTACCTCCGGGTGGACCTGGCGGAAACATGTTTCCAGGAGGCGGATGAGGTCCAGGACCTCGCATGCCTTCAAGTCCACTGTGCGGAATTCCGAACTGTCCACCGAGGTGGGGAGGACCATGGAATCCAGGAGACCCAGCAGGTGACTGGGGACCTTGACTGAGAGCGCCAGGAGGACCACCTGGTAGACAAAGAGAGGATATAGGAAGATTAATCGGAGTAAAGGAAAAGAGCTGAAAATTCAAATACTGACCTTGAGGTTCTTGGCCACTGAAGCCGCTTGGAGGAGAATGAGAAACTGGATGGTAAATTTAAACATAAGGAGCAACGAGTCGAAAGATTCGGATATTGACCTTGTAGACCTTGAGGAGGTTGTTGACCAAAGGCACCTGGAGGAGGTTGGTCTTCCGGTCCTCGAGCAGCGAGAACGTTGGCAAAGCTTTCAGGAACAGGAGCTGCGAGCACAGATGCAGTTCCGACAGCGAGGAGAGTAGTGATAACGGCACGAGAATGAACCATTGTGAATTTCGAGTTTAGCGAGAGTAGGAGAGAAAATGCAAAGTTATGAGGGGCGCACGGCACCGAAGATGATGTTCGTTTTTGCGTAAAGTAAGTGATGAGACCAGCTCTGAGGGTTCGAAAGATGAAGTCAGGCTATCCTTTATACCTCTCAGGAGAAACGACGCGCCCCGAAACCTGCTTATCGGAATGATGCAGCCAGAAAAGCGATGTTACTGCGTATCGCAGGCCGAGCGAAAACCCTCTATCGATGCTGATTTTGGAAATTCGGAGCTGCACTGAGGTGGAGCTACGAGCTGCGGTCTGATGAAAAATTGAGGGGAACCGGACAAAAAAAGGTATTTGCGATACCTGTTTCTTTGGTTGGTAACTCGTACACTGCTACAGATTATACCAGTCAATACACTTACAGATCTCTTGTTATTCACAAATTACCTTCTTATTTGTTCATGGCGCTGGCCAAATGAATCGAGTGATATACAGCTCGTCCCAAGTGCAGGCGGCCGATGTTGCAATCTTTTTAACAGGCTGTGCCTCTCGGCTTACGACGAAAAGTAAGAGGGTGCTGCTGCGGAGAATAAGAGAGGACCGTTCACGTCCCCGGCTATTATCTCCATGACGAGGATTGCCTCCAAATTATAGTCCTCTAATATCTGGGTGAAAGGATTTGCTAACACGATGTCTTTATATCCAGCCTTATCCGTGCTATAATGCTTGAAAGAACGCTGGCCAACTGGCTAAACTGGCGAAGCACATTGAAACGGAAGGGGTTAATCAAGCTGACTAAACGGTGAAAATGTTGAGACGTACGCATAAATCTCAACGTACTCGTTCTAATTACCCTTTTCGCTTTCGCTGAAAGCCACTTAACTTGGCGAGCATATCGGCAAGCATACTAACCGCATCTAAAGTGCATAGAAGGAACAGATTACATACAATGGACATTAAATAATCATTGTAAAAATCTCTATCAATCCAAGTCATATCCGTAGGCGCGACGACGATATGTGCCGTCCGAATTCCCTCCGGCGAGACCTGACGCGAGGGGGAAACCCAATCAGAATTGAGGGAGGATACGTATGCACCCTAGGAATGAAGATCGACAATATTGACTCACCTTGTCGAACTTGTCGAATCTTAAAACCTGCGTCGCGTTCCCCACCAATGCCGCGTGCGTTATGATACCCAAGCGCTCCACGAGGTTGTTGTTCGTTCGCCTTATACGCAGATATCAACTTTCCCGTTTTTTGTTCTATTTTTTGCACGGAAAAGTCGAGCAAGTGGGGAAATCGTGGGTTGAGTGGGTGTTCCTTTATAGCGGAAACGTTCAGCAGAAATTTCGATTGTTCGTCCTGGGTAAGCGATTTCCAATTTTCCGCGTCCTTCACAAATTCAATTTTTTTCCGGAGAGTGTCATTCGCTATGCCTTCAAAATCGTTAGCGTAGTTAACTACTGAGATTCTAGATTAAGGGGAACATACCCTTCAACAAATCACTCAACGACCTTTCCTGTACGAATCCGACATAAATGTCGATCAGAGGCGGAACATGTGCATTGCTGGGGTAATTCTCTAAGAAGGAGACATTGATCACGAATTTCGACTTTTCTTGCACAGTCAGATGCTTCCAGTTTTCCGGATCCTTAACGAGTTCGATCTTTTTTCGCGTGGCTTCGTCTGTGATTCCTTCACAGTAGGTCAATATATTTGTCGAAAGTCGATTTTGAGGCAAGGGTAAAAAGATACCATTCAACAACTCCTCAACTTTCGGATCCTCGCTTCCCTGGCCAGTGGATCCTAGAAATAAATGAAGGACTTCATCTTTGAAACTACAAATAGAACAGCAATTCGGAGAATACCTTCTGTGCCTGTTCCTTGTGCGCTCTGCGAGTTAGTACGACGTTCGATGGACTCTTGAAAAGGAATTATCTTCCAGCCCAAAGAACCAGGAAGAGATACATGAACATACCTCGTTGACCTTGATCTCTGACAGAAATTTGAGGAACCCCAGATTCTGTGTTGTGTTCACCAGTAAGTCCTCGTGAGGTAGGATGTCCAGGCGCCGCACGAGGTTGTTGTTTGTCAGGCCCAAACATCCTGTTGTTTATTATAATCACAGAAAAATCGAGCATGGACGCGAAATATGGATTATTGTTGTTCTTGATAGTGCAGACGTTGATCAAGAACTTCCCCCGTTCTTCGCTGTTGAGAAACTTCCAATTGTTCGGATCCTTGACAAATGCGATCTTTTCTCGGTGAGAAGGATTTATGATTCCTTTTGAAAGTATCATCAGGACTTCATCTCGTTTCTTCAGAAATTTACTCAATACCTTCCAGCAACTTTTCCACTGGAACGTCCTCGCCCCCGCCGAAGCTGGGAGGTTTTTGTTTGCCAGACTCATTCATTCGTTCTTGTACGTCCTCTGCCCATTGATGGAGCAACATTACACTGGGGCCATTGGGAATTTCCTTGATGGTGCGAATGATATCCGCAACTGGTATGTCGAGGTATTCCTTATGTTCCCAGACGAATTCACCCATTTTTTGGTCGTCCTTGTCCTTTATTCCTTTGAAGCAGCATCAGAGTTCCTGGTTCTGCTCGAGGTGAGGATCTCCTACCTTTTAACATCTGTTCCATGTTCTGATTGCTTTGGCCGCCGCTGCCCGCACAGCCTGAAACAAATGAAGATTCAATGGCGAGAAAAAGGTGGAGTTGTCACGTTTCCGCTCACCTGGCTTGGACGCTTCTATGCTTTGTTGTATTCTTGTTGCCCAATTCCTGATCTTGCCCTGAAGCACTGGATCATTGGGCTTTGCATGCAACATGATCACGTCGGCTTTACAGTCCCATAATTCTCCAATATGGGCGAGACAGTTCTGGTTCTGCTCGATAAATTTGATATATACCAGGTGCTGTGGATTCGTTACTCCTTCAACACATTTAGTGTGATCTAAGCATCCTCGCTAAGCGTATGTACCTCCTACCTGCACGACGTCCGAGATTTTGATAGCCAGATCGGCTATGTTGTGGAGAAGGTAGAGGAAAACTCAAAGGGAAACTTGGGTTCTGGGTTGCGAGAGAATTTGCGAAGCCCTCGCGAACAGGCGCTCCGAACACAGAAGCGGTTCCTGCAGCGAGAAAAGTGATGAGGACAGAATTCGAATGAAGCATTGCTAAGCGCGCCAGCGGAGATAAAGAAGAGACAAGAGTGTGAGGGCGCTCAGCACCGAAGTTCGTTTTTGAGGAGGAATGTGGAAGTAACGAGGAGACCAGCTCTGAGGATCAAAAAACGAGCCGCCGGATGTGACCAGAAGTTATAAAATGGCGCTCCTGAAATCAATCAGCGATTGAGGATTTTGGGCAGCAGCTGATGTTAATCAACTAGGGGTTGCAGCTGGTTGCAGTTTTACCTTGAAGCCTGTGTGAGGTAGGAGAAAGTTAACTGGGACGGGGCTAGACTCTCTCGATATCTTATCCTATATCCTCGAGCGCATAGTCAGCCAAAGTTCGTCAACAGAGAAAGAGACCATACCTTTTTTAAATTTTCAGCTAATGCTTTTCACCGTCGGCCCACCCCTCGGGATCCATCACATCGCTTGCAAAATGGTCAATAACATCCATATTGCCTTATAGTGCCACAGTAGTGCAAAAGGCATCCAGATACAGCCAGATGCAGCCCTTTTACTTTTCCTTCATCTAACGGTGACTCCGACTCCTACTACCTGCCCCACAACGAATTCCCTCACTATATCGGCGGCCAGATGCAAGCAAGGCGTGTGTCCCCAACGGGGGTATGTTAATGATATCTGCATTTCACCAGTCTATCCTACCCCGGAATTGGACATTTTTGATGTGGTGCCTGCACTTGTTTTGTTTTGAAGGTTCTCACTCACCACCTATAGCATCTGGGATGCCCTGTACCCACTCGCGCCGTGTTTTAAATCTACGATGTACTAAGCAAGGTGCGGTCTGGTGTGGTCCACGACAGTCACTGCGTCGGGGGCGATAAATCCCTGCTGAGAAAGTGGCTGAAATTTTTTATGGGAAAACTTTCCTTTCTCGGTATCTTTTCTACCTAAAAAAGTACATAAATATCGAGGCAGAAATACACTGCGAATTATTTCCTTTCCCAGTAAATATCCTCCCTGAGATTGATAGTGGGATTAATTCCCTTTTACGACGAAGAAACGTCTCATTTTCCACCTTTTATCCAAAGGGAGAAAGGAACTGGGATTGTTCTCCCTTCCCGGACCATTTCCCTTTCAAACAACATTGCCTTTTCCGGGTCAGAAATATACTAGAATCCATTTGCTTTTACCTTTGTTATTAATCTACTTTCCCGGCCAAGAAACAAATTGGGCGAAGAGCGGACGATGTCTACCCGATGGAAACCCTGTAGACGGAAGCTGAGGGGTCGGCACCGACTCTCAGGTAACCTTCGGCAGATTTTATTCCGTAAAGCCGGCGATGGGCAATGTTATCTACAGCGTACGCATACAAAGATGATCGATATTCAGGTAATGACGCAAGGTTATGTACGTGTTAGGATTAGAGGTCAGCGTGATAAATAGACACGAGAAGAACATTCATGATAGTGTAGGTGAATAAGGGGTGGCGTCGTAATCGAGTGACAGAGACGTTGGGGCGTGGAGGGGAGTCGACAATATCGGTATGAGAACGCAGGGGTGGGATGGAGAGCCCAAGACAAAGTCCGAAAAAGCGTCTTCAATGCAACGTTTACATATCAGAATCAGGAAAAGCAAAGCGCTGATGAGAGACCGTAACACCGTACTGAGAAGATATCGGAAAAACATTCAAGTCCCATTGCCTGTCAGGGTGCGAACGACAAGTGGTGACTGTGGCGACATGTGTCAACTGGGAAGGAAACACGCGAGTAGGATCCAATCTCGATATTTGATGGTCTATAAGTCTGAAATTCGCCTCATAAAATGCATGTGGCATACTGGTTGTCCATTTGAAGGTGATGGTCTCAATCTCTGGTGCATGAATTATATCCAGTAGCCATCTTGAAGGGCATATTAAGAAAGTCAGCATGAGATGTTTCAGGGATGGTAACTGAATGGGGGATGCCCGGAAATCTTCTGCAGTGGACATGGATCAGGAATTGGATTGGTACTGAAATGGAGCATAAGTCGACCTACCATAGTGTGACCAAGATAAACGCGTGTCAAAAGCTTGGCATAATTCAAGCCTGCATAGACTAGTCGACACAATTGGGAGCACGATTTGGGCAGCGAAGGGACACCCGACCACAAGAACTCGAAGGCCATGGAGATCGAAAGGACAATGGGTTTCCTCCAACCATTTGTATTCCATTTCCTGAGGGCCCTTCGCACAGGCTGTAGTCGACAACTGAGGGGAGTCTCGTCCTTCCGCAGAGACAAGCTGAAGGTATTGAAGCTGGGGCCTGCCCTCGATTCTGGGCAACTCGTGTGCCAATTGTCGAAATGCATTATATGCATCATCGACATGACTTTGACGTGAACCTCCGCCCGGCTTAGCGGCGGGCGGCAACGACAATTTCCTGAGGTATTTGCATTGACCAAGTGATTCGAGAATGGTGCGGAAGGAACTGTACAACATCGGAATGGAATCGTGGAAGATAAACACCTCGAGGATAGGACTGAAAGTACAGATGGTTTCGTTGATATATTTTGAAGGCACCGGTGTGTCCAGGAGGAGATCTCCACGAAATTCAAGAACGCGAAGTCGCTCTGGCCCGGGGGCAATGTCAGAATGAATGAAAGAGTGGTAGGGGTCACCAATAAGTCGTCGAATGTACTTGATACGATGGGGATAGTCCCGTAATTCTGCAAGTTTTCTTCCATCTCTCCTGAGGTCCACCGTCTCGAAGATGAATGATTTCGCTTCCTCCCTCCATGACCGACAGACTCCTGTGCATGCTAAGAGATCCGCCTCCCTCATATGAGACAGGCATTCGCTGAACAACTCGGCACAAATGAGAGGGAGAAACATGTTATCGATTTGAGAGTCTTGAACGTAACAAGTAGTGGGGACTTCTTCGACTGAAGTTAGTCTCTTTAAAGAAGTAAGCCATATCCGCAAGACAAAGAAATGTCCGATGGGTTTAGTATCCATGAGGCGAACCATGATGTGATTATAGAAAGAGCACTAATACCAGATAAGATTCCTATTCACAGTCACACACCCTTCTAATATTGAACATCGGTATCCAAAGAGATCCTCAAGTGCCGAGTAGTCCCGTATATGGTGAGAAGGTAAGCATCACATATCAAATACCGAGCAAGAATTTTGAGATCCTTAGCTCCTTACGCCGAGTATGATCATCACTGACTGTATTCGATGGGTGGAATGAGCTGGTAGGCTTGTTTGAAACACAGAAAAGTGATAAGCACATATACAAACATAGGTACAACGTATCTTTAATCTACGATTATGACGGCTTTCTGTAAATGAACACTGGTATCTGTATGGTCTTTGCGTTCCCGGTTGCGAATCTTCGTTCTATAGACACCGTCGGTATGCCTTGCATAATTCTGCATGTTGTTCTTGGCATGATCCAGCTTCTGGCTTATATTACTGGGGCTAAACGGAGAGTTCTGTGTTACGGTCGTCAGCGTTGAACGGAAGTCTCGCCTAGAAAACCCAGACCTGATAGACAGTATAGTACCCAGCGAATGTGAGCAATGCCATGAGCCCGAGAATACGTGCCCAATCCCAGATCTGCTTTGACAGGTGAAAACCAATAAGAACTGAATCGGTCGAAGAATGATTTGGTGTAACGTCAGTACAGGAAGCACTCGATGGCAGCTGGGGAGAAGAGACATCTTCAAGCGGAATACGTTTCTCGAAAAGGATTACATCTGCAGATTGCTGAGCAGTTGATCCCGCAATTGCGATAAGGTGACGGTCAGGAAGTGTGATGGTCTACTCGAGTGACATTAGTGATAGAAGTTGAACCGTTTTGCAGCACTTACTGTAACTGGTTGTACCAGGCCTCCGCGAGGGTAGGTCAAGGTTTGTAGTAGCTCTTCCGTATTGACTTCATATATCAGAGCATGGCCACGATCAGTTCCACCGACAATAATGTTTTCGGATTCTCCAAATGCGACTGTTTTGGAAAACATAACAACTGGTGTCTCGGCGCTGTAGGTCTTCAAGAGCTCTAGGCTGGCAAGACGATAAAGATGGAAGTTCTTCCCAGTATAAGCAACGAATTTATTGCTCGTATTGCTCAAAGCGACAGATCCCCTGAAAAAATGTGAGACTCATAACAGAGAAGGCAAAGGCGCATGCCCGCACATTATTCCGGGGCCATGAGATTTACGGGACTTTATCGCTCCGGTTTTATAGTCTAGGCAAAGTCTAACAACTCAATGAGGGTCGATACAGAGGAATTGAGGTGTATAGATACGCACATTTCACCTCCGTAGAATGGAAACACGAAAATGTCTCTAGTAATCTTACACATTCGAACCGTTTTCGGATTGATGTTTTCATCGAGCGTAGTGGAGAAGATTTTGGAAAACTCCCCGGATGAAGACAAAGACCAGACGCTAATGTGTCGGTTAGCTGTGGCAGCGATGACTCTTCCAATCCTGCCCGAGGCAATATCTTGTTCATAAACATCCATGGAGAGAACCTCCTCTTCCTTGTTTTCCATTGGAGGCACCCGATAAAGTACCTGAAAGGACTATAATCGGGATCAGAGTTTTTCTATGAGTGAGGTGGCCTTCTGGCCCACCTTGATGTCGTCCTTGTAGTCCCAAAGTATCAAATCTCCCCGCATAGAGGCTAACAGTAGGACGTGGCGTTTGTTTTTTTGAAAATAGACCCAGATAGAAGAGGTGATCACATATTTCGGGTTTTGAGGAGCAAATAGCATATGCGGCAAAGTAATGGCAGCAGAAGTCGAGAGATCCCAAACGAATACGCCGCTGTACCCTGCACAGGAAATTCAAAGACTGGAAATACAAACAAGAGGAAATGAATGACCGGCAGCAGAGAGGAACTTGGCCTTCGCCGAAAAGGCGAGAGAGACGACAGCGTCGTGCGCACCCGACAAGGTGGCGAGTGGCTCATACTGAGGGACCATGACGATTATATCTGAAGAAGAAATATAGGCCAAATTAGCATCTGGGTAAGAAACGTGTTCCGGATCACGTAAATTTCCGTGCCACTGGGTGACGCTTGGTCCCTGCTTGATCAGGCTTGGTCCCGTTCTTCAATGCTCGTGTATGGAAAGCATTGTTGTTCCTCAAAGCCCTTTTATCGGATGCTCAAAGCAAAATCGGAAGTCACTTTGGAGCGGATATGCATTTTCAAACCCCTTTGCAGTTGCATCTACTTTCGCGCCTTTGTCGCCTCCGATATGCTCACCATATTTAATAGGCCACTGGTTACTCTGGACTTCCACATTCTCCTTCTGCACCATCATGAATCCTTATAGCAATTTCGACCATCGTCCTCTATGTGCTGATCACAAGGAAATCAATCTACCTTCTGAGACACTTAGTGCCGTCGACCACACCACTATTGCCCCATCGACTGGTCCAACACGGACACAGAAAACATCGAACAGAGCTTCGCCATACAGCAGCCCTTCCCCAGATCCTCAGCTACAGCAGCATCGTTCGCCTTTATCCCCTTCAGTATCCATCGAGTCTTTGTCCAGCGAGCTTGAATATGAATCTGACCGAGAGCGACTTGCACACTTGCAACGTGCTCGACAAGGATCATACGTATACGGCAACAATCATCACACTCCGCACAGTCCTAAACATTCTTCCGATTCCTCTACATCTGCCACCAATTCACTTGCCTCTCATTCACCTGCCTCTGTCTCAATGGCGGATGATTTAGCACAGGCGATTGATAGAAGCTCTAAAACTGTTTCCGCGGTACCTGCGAAGAGGCGTGGTCCGCCCGCACTTGTTTTCGAGAACGATTCTGATGACGACTTCTTGATACCGAAACCTCCTGGTGAGGTTGGAAGGCCGAATTGTGGTGGTTATTCACTTTTTGATGTTTTGTCATGGCCAAGAAAAAAATATGACCAAGTTAAAGTGCATATACATCATCTTCTGGAGCGTGCAATTACTCATGATCACTGACCCTACCAGAAATATATCAACAAACTTGTTGATGATCATCTAGATTGTGAGGTTCCTATGAGTGAACAAACGGCAGCAAAGGTGAAAAAGGTTCGAGAGCTGGTGAGCGCAATCATTTCTCGAAGAACCCCGAAACACTCTAAACTTGAACACAGGCTGTCGAAAAGTACCCCTTTTTGAAAGAATACAGCAGGCTTTGGGCTGTCGACGACTTCATTCGCAACCATTTAAAATACCAGAAATCCGTGCTTAGGAAGGAGAAGCTGGAGAAAATTGCAGCAGAGGCCAGCCGCGCGGCTGAGAAGCGAGTAGAGCGTAGTCATACTAGATCAACCTAATCTCAGAGTATCTAGCAAGTTATTCACGCGTAATTAACTCATGTCCTGCCTAAACCTATTTCTATTCGTTTGTCGTTCGTATGGCCTTGGTTGTGCTACACATTCAAAATTCACGCCTAACTAGATAATATTAATACATCTCATTGAGCTTTCAATGCGGACAAATTTCTTGTGATAGATGATAACCGATATTTCGATACTAGACAATTGGAAACGTTTGGCCCAAACCCGAAGGCTGAAATTTCTACCAAGGTGAACGCGATTGACAATATCAGGGTTCATGATTCAAAAGGGCTGGAACACTATTGAAAGAATGTAATTGACGACTACTCGATATAAGGTTCACATACCTCGGAATTGGGACTTCCTCAGCTGCTGTCGGAACATTGACGACAAGGCCCTTCTGCATTGCAGTCAAATATTCAGGGTGGTAGTATGACAAAGGAAGATGAGAAGGAGGAGACCGCTCGACCTGATGATGGCCACGCAATCGTGGGAGTCGTTTTCGTCCTACTTGAGCAAATAGACCTTTTTCAGTTTCACGGGTCGCATCGACTTGGTCAAAAACTGCATTGAAATGAGGGTGACGGAATGCAGGCTCATAGACAATGATCCCTTGTTGCCCTTGACTGTCCAAAACCTCTTCATCATCGGATGTTCCTGCAATCCCAAGACGATGAAGGGCAGTAACTATCTCAGACCAACAGTTATACTGTTCTTCATTACCCAGAACCTCTGCAATATGGATCATTGCTGCTGCAGTCTGAAGGCGCCGTTCCAATTTCTTAGCCCAGAAAAGTTAGCACATGCTATGGACAGATCGAAAGAAATATATACATACATACTGACGTGCCCTTCTTCTTCGACTTTCAATCTTCTTCCTCTCGTAGTCATAGTCTTTTACGCCAGCTCTGGCCTTGACAACTTCCAGAAAGATCCGATAAATACGCTCATTAAAGAGCGCAGTCCAATCAATTGTTCGTTCGTGAGTGCCATAGTAGTCAGGGTTTGGAGAAGCATGTTCTGCTGCTTGGCCTGCAAGGAGACCAACGACCATCTGATTCCACGGACTGTCTCGCATTCCGGCTGCAGTATGTAAAGAAGTGTCGAGTCTCATTGGAGAAACGGGTAAAATGTAAGCAGGAGGATCAGCTAGATATGATCCCAGCTCATCGGCCAAGACAGTGAAGGCTTTCCAGTTAGCTGGGTCATCAATACCTAAGAATTCATCGAGGATTTTCCGTGCAAGTTTCTGTTTAAGTAGATGAGTAAAAGACATTGTACACCTAGCAAATGTACAGACATTGATGTGGCGACGTATTTCACTTTCTAGGTATGGCCTGTACAAGAAGTTATTTCATGAGAGATATAACTTGCAATAATCATTGAAAACCCACATTCCGTTGACTTCAACGTCGGCGGATCGTGATGAAGTCGGAGGACCGGATTAGGAAAATAGGGTGGGAACCGATTAATCTGATGATCGGGAATCCGGCTCGGTCGCTGGGAGGACGATTACACCCAACGACAACAGTGATGGGCTCGTACAAGGATCTTCTGGCTGGCTTGAAGGACGAACCCGCGATTTCTAGACAGCCAGTATCGGTTTCTCCTTCTCCATCAGAAGCACGAGCGCGAGCATCTATGCAAAAGTATAAAAATCTTCCCTCTACTGACTCCGACTACGATCTGAGGATTATGGCGATTGGAGCATGTTCAAATCTTGACAAGGACAACTCTTCGCAACAGCAGTCACTAGAATCCCCATTTGCTGAATTTCAAGTAAAACTTGCTAAAGAAACTGTAAGTACCGGTTGTAATCTGATTATCGTATACTCATTGAATGCATGATCCTCAAGGTGAAGGATATGATCAAAAGTGCCATCCCAAGGAGTAGTTCGTCTATTGAAGCAGACTCGTTAGAATCAATCCTAGTTCCAGATGCCCAAGGTCGTCTGCAGTTTGGAGATCCAAAGACAAGGAACAAGTGCACAACCCGTGGTTTATATGCTATTTCAAGTTTCACTGAAGCAGCTCACACGCTACAGAACCAAATTCAAGCGATCTTGTCATCCCACACTCCGGAAGAGATACGGAACATCTTATGTACCGTAGAGGATAGCTCCGAAACCCTTCGTTATCAGCTCACTTCTGTGACCCAGACTGCCGTTGCCGAGGAGGTCAAAGAAGTGAGAGCAATATTGGAGTCGTTGGATCAGGTGGTCCGCATGTGGAGATTAGAGTATCCAGACTCATCTCCTGTAAAAATCAACAACCGTACGTGTTTAATTTCAATCTCAATCTTTAGTCTCATGTTATGTCAAGGGGAACATTTCTTTGATCCTGGTGAGGGCAAGAACACAGCTACAGTAATCGCATACTGCCTCGCCCTTGTCTCCCGGGTCTTTGAAGGAACAGCACAACGAGGCTCGAGCCTCATCTTGAAGTTATTGAAAATGTTCGGTTTTTCGTTTGCAACACTGGGTGGCCAGGAGCTTAATCCCGATCAAGAAGCTACACTCGCCAGTATCCCTGAATCCATCCAGACGCTAGAGCAAAAATTCAATCTGAATGTCAACTGTATCCCCTATGCTGTCTGTCCTAGCTGCAGCTACACACATCCTCCGTCCTATCCAAATGATGCTTCACATGCGGTATACCCTACTGTTTGCTCGGAAAGGAAGGCACCGCTAGAAGAGATCTGTGGTGCATCTTTACTGACGTATGGGAAGCCCTTGAAAATATATGAGTATTATCCTTTCTTCGACTGGTTCGGAAGGTTTCTCGCGCTCCCAGGCATTGAAGAATACGGTGACAGATTTTGCAAAACTGTCAATGGCCACCACTCCATTCCTATTGACAAGGTTGATGAGACAGATGGCCGGTTTGTCCACGAATTTCGAGCCAATGATGGCCAATTATTCATTGCGAATCGTGGATCTGAAGGTCGCTGGTTCTTCGTCTTGAATGCTGATTTCTTCAACGTCGAAGGAAATCGCATTCGCGGAAAGAAGTCTTCAACTGGTATGATAGCCATGAGCTGTTTGAATCTTCCGCTCGAGATCAGGAACGATCATGCATTCCTCTATATTCCTGGCATAATTCGGGGTCCACATGAACCGAATGCGAGTAATGCAGAACACCGCCATTACCTGAAGCCACTGGTTGATGACCTGGTGAAGGGGTACACAAGAGGGGTTCGACCCTATGCTACATTTCAATCTCGCAGTTCCAAATCACCTTACAGCCGTGTTTTTCGTATTGCTCTGGCCTTAGCTCTCATGGATTTCAAAGCTGCACGGCCATTTTGTGGCTTATTAGATGTTACGTCGCACCACTTTTGCTTCCTCTGTGATTGTTGGCATGTGGCACATCTGGGCAGAACAGATTACGAAAATTGGACTGCATTAGATGATGAACGTATCAGAAAGGGTGCTGAGATGTGGCGTGATGCCATGGTCAAGGAGCGCAAGGCTATCGAGGATCTCTATGGTACCCGGTTATCAGAGCTATTGCGGCTCCCATATTGGCGTCTTCGTCAAATTGGTATCGATCCTATGCACACACTCTTCCTCATTCTCCTTCAAAGGATGTTTCGGGATATCTTGGGCTTAGACAATCCTGAAGATATCAGTCGAAAGCCGAAAAATCCTAGGTTCAAGTTCGCATTCTATCATGATTTTGTGCCTCCTCCACCATTGTCATCGCTGGTAGAGGAGACCGAAGTGCCATTGCGCCGATGGAGCAGTGTCATTGGTTATGTATCTCAACCTATAGACGAAAACCGACTCTCATTGCTTAACTGGGGTCACCTCTCCTCCGAGCACCGCGCCCATCGGGAGACCAGACTGGCATCTCTGAAAGCTGAAATTTCCAATGATAGCCGTGCGTATCAGGCTGTCTTGGAAATACTGAGTGATTTGTCAGAGAAGGCCCCTGAAAACTCATCGAAGAAGAAATCATTATACGGGAGAATCCACAAGCAGAAGTGGATCGCAATTCTCTTTGTTTGCGACAATCTGGCCATATTCCCTGACCACAAATTCCCTCAATTCCAAATCTCTTCAAAGATAGTCAAAGGTAATGTGACGAAGGAGAATCTGACCAATATTCTAATTGATTGGGTGCGTTTTTATTTTCTCTGCTTCTTGTAAACTCTCAAATATATTCAAAGCGCGTCGATGGCATCAAAGAGACAGAGGATTTTGTATGGCCCTTTTTCACACCAGTAAATTCTCCACCTCCTACTGCTCCATGGGCTCCCGGGCATCCTTCAAGTACCACTGGAGACACGTCTGCTACCACTCGCACATTAACTCCTGAGGGACAAGCGGAACTGATGAGGGAGCTTGGCAAGTCCATGAGTTATTCTTCTGCATTGGGAGTTGGTGGCATTCATCGGCTTCTGCAACAACCGTTAGCCCGAGACGAGCCAGAAGACGAGCTTCGGAAAGCTCTGAAGAAATTTTCCGGGGATTCGTTGGCTTATGTTTGCACCGACCTCAAACGGCTTCCTGCAGGAAAATTTGCGAAAGATGACATGGTCAAGCAGTTAATGGCCTGGGTATGCATCAGATTTCCTGCTCATTGATGTGTTCTCAACACCTCATTATATAGAGAATGACAAAACCCATCGAACAGATGAAATCGACCTCAATTGACTCTCGAGATCTATTGCGGAGAGTGCAGCAAGTAGTACGCGAAGTTATTACACCTGCTTGGGTGACGAACCCACCTCCAAATGTCGGATTGTACGAAGCAGGAACCTTGAAAGCAGATCACTGGAGAACTTTATTTTCCATCCACCTTCCGTTAGCTATATTGAGCTTATGGAAAGAAGCGTCGCCTGTAGCCGCTGCAAATGCCCGTGATATGGCTTCTGTAGTGGATGTCATAAAGTACGCAGCCCCTATCATTTTCCTTTTCTCACCGTCTCGACGCCTTTACTTGTACGATACATCATCCCATCACTGTCAAACCCCCATCGATTACTGATCCATCGATTACCGATCCACCTGACCCATCTTCTCCTTCTACTGGCTTCCGCCACCTTCCTTGTTCCTAAACTGTACAGTATTACATCGTTGTTTCTCGCAGACCGGATTATGTATATATAGCCAACCCTCCACAGCCTGGTCCCTTATCTTGACCTCTCTGTCATTATCTGGGACCAGGTATGTGCTTACTTATTATTACCTATGACTACGATACTCAATATATCTCTGTCATTATCTGGGACCAGCTTGCCGCCGTTCTGCTTAGTCGCTCCGCCTTGTTGCCTTGTCCAGTTGCTCCGCCTCACCGTTCTGCTTAGTCGCTCCGCTTTCCCGCTCCGTTAGTCACTCCGCCTCTGCCGCTTCGTGACATTAGGTCAAGATCCATTACTGCACTGACAGCCTACCGATAAGGTTGTCCTTGCAGGGTCTATAGACACCACGTCTTCCCCAGTTCCGCCCGACTCTGAAACACCTGTTGCCAGTATAGACTGCTCCGCACTCCCGCACGCACTTGACCCCAGAGACCAAGCTCACGCCCATAACAACGACGATACTTGGCGCGATTGCCAGTCTCAACCTTGCCCCAACACCCTTTCGAACTCAATCCGAGAGCCACTCACTGTGAGCAATATAACCTTCCTGCCGATTCCCCAGCCCCGATTGCCTACTCCCATCATGTCGACTCCTATCCCGCCTGCCCCAAACACCTCTGCGGAGGATCTCATGGCTCAGCTCATCAGACAAGTAGCTAACCTTGCTACAGCTATGGAGGAACGCTCATCCTCTAAGTCAAGCATGAACAAGCCCGAGGTTTTCAAGGGTAAAGATGGCGCTGAAGCCCGTCGCTTCATGGCTCAGTTCCAGAATTGGGCGTCAGAACAACCGGATCTCGCCAAAAGCCAAGTAAAACTCATCAAGTCCGCCTTGGGCTTCTTCACAGAAAGTGCCGGAGATTGGGCAACTCCCCATCTGCTACATTTCAATGCGGAAAATCCCCCTTTCGGAGGAAATTGGGAGGCGTTTCTGAAGGAATTTAGCCAACGGTTTGAACCAATGGACCCAGGTATGGAAGCCCGTAGCGAGATCAAGAATCTCAGGCAAAGTAAAGGACAGACAGTTGCGGAATTCGCTCAGAAGTTCAAGGATATCGGAGATCGGACTGAAATGTCTGATATTGACTTGCGGGAACGTTTCTTCACTGCATTACTCCCAGAGATCCGACAACACCTCATCACCGTAAACATTGCCCAAGGAATTGCTCCGACTCTGAAGGAGGCAATCAAACGGGCCATATCGGTGGATGTCTACCTGCACGATCCCACCATGACTGGCCGGAACTCTGGATACCCTCCCATGCATACCGCTCATACTACCCCTGCTGACCCCCATGCTATGGACATTGATGCAACCCACACCAGTAATGGGAATACTAGGGAAGCATTCCTAGCTCGCATGCGAGGACGATGCTTCGGCTGCGGTGCCCAAGGTCATGTCAAGCAAAACTGCCCACACCGAGAAACCACCTGCCGCTACTGTGGACGTCGAGGACATCTGGAAGCAGTCTGCCAAGACAAATTCATGGGACTCGGACGAGACCGAGGCCGACGCCAGCAACCTCGACGCCAACAGATATCTGCTACGGGACCCGCGCCATTCTCCCTATTCCCAAACGAATCCGTCCAAATCGCATCCTCGACCCCAACATCTGCTCCTGCACCCGTAGCTGCTACTCCGAGCCCCCCTAACCAGGACTTTTCCAATCAGATTGGTCAAATAAGGGAATTACTTGATCGTGCTAACGCTATGTCCTCCTCGTCCTCTGGCTTTCAACAGGGTTTTTAAAGAGGGTACCCGCTTCGGCTGCACCGAGAGTACCCCGTAATCAGTTTGTTATGTTCGCTACTTCCTCGTATGACTCGCACCCATCATGTACAATATCGTCGATCCGGGAATTAAACTCTACTTCCCCACATTTCCGAATTCATGCGAGACTAAGAGGAAGGAATCACAGTATAACAACTGCAGCCATGGTAGACTGTGGAGCTACCGCCCTGTTTTTAAACCAAGATTTTGTCACCCGGAACCATGTAAGATGTGCACCCCTCCATAAACCAATCGACGTTTTTAATATCGATGGAACACCTAACCGAGCTGGACGGATAACCCATTTTGCACGTCTAGCACTCACAGTGGATAATCAAGAGCGATGGATGGACTTTCTGATCACCAACCTAGGAGGTGAAGACATCATCCTTGGACTCCCCTGGCTACGGAAGGTAAATCCGGAGATTGATTGGGAGAAAGGACGACTTTCAGTAAAGCCTCCTCGAGTAACGATAGAAGAAGTCCCAGACGAGGAGATCTTGTACTCTCATCTAGCCGCCACTCACACAGAAACCCCGATCCTCGAACTCCCGGAACTGGAACCTCCCACAGAAAACCCCCACATTGAGGTGCCACTAGAAGCGACCCTTGAACCAAGTGAATCAGCAGCGGTGGAAGAACCACCAATACACCGAATTCGAGCCAATCATAAAACTCGCCGGGCATGGGTAAAAGCAGGAATTCTAGAGGAACAGACGGAGGAAGTCTGGTGCGCCGCAGGATTCACTTACTCCCAGCAGCTAGCAGAGGAAGCCAACCGAGACAAACCCGTTAAAACCTTCGAAGAAATGGTCCCTGAGCAGTATCGTGATTTCAAGAAGGTTTTCTCAGAATCCGCCTCCGAACGATTACCTGCCCACCAACCTTGGGACCATGCGATTGATCTCGTACCTGGAGCACCAGCAACTATGCGTACCAAGATTTATCCCATGTCCCTAAACGAGCAGGAGGAGTTGGATCGTTTCCTAGAAGAAAACCTACGGAAAGGCTATATCGTTCCCTCAAAATCACCAATCTCATCACCGGTCTTCTTCGTAAAGAAGAAGGATGGGAAACTCCGTTTCGTACAAGACTACCGGAAACTGAACGAGTACACTGTGAAGAACCGATACCCGCTCCCATTAGTTGCTGACATCATTAGCCGACTTCAGGGAGCCAGATACTTCACGAAGTTTGATGTCCGCTGGGGTTACAATAACATACGGATTAAGAAGGGGCATGAATGGAAAGGCGCGTTCGCAACAACCCGAGGCTTGTTCGAGCCTAAGGTCATGTTCTTTGGTCTCACAAATTCCCCTGCCACGTTCCAAGCACTTATGAATGCTATATTTGCTGATCTCATTGCAGCCGGCAAGGTGGCAGTCTACCTAGATGACATCCTTATCTTCAGTAACGATCTCGAGGAACACCGATGAATGGTACGGGAAGTATTAACTCGGTTAGAAAAGCACGACCTCTACCTACGACCCGAAAAATGCGAATTTGAACAACAACAGATTGAATACCTCGGACTCATCATCTCAGAAGGGGAGGTGAGAATGGATCCGGTAAAAGTAGCGGCTGTTCGTGATTGGCCAGTCCCTACTAACCTTCGGGAACTACGAGGGTTCTTGGGATTTGCAAACTTCTACCGACGCTTTATCCGGAATTTTGCCAAAATAGCACGACCTCTGAACGACCTGACGAAGAAAGACACCAGCTTTACCTGGACCGACACTCGACAGAAAGCATTTGATACCCTTCGAGAAGCCTTCATCTCCGCACCGATCCTTGCTCTATGGACACCAGACAGGCCTACTCGAATCGAGGTAGACGCATCAGGCTTTGCCACGGGAGGCGCCCTTATGCAGAAGCAAGACGACGGCCAATGGCATCCGGTAGCCTTCAGATCGGCATCCATGCAGCCAGCGGAACGGAACTACGAAATCTACGATCGAGAAATGCTTGCTATCATTGAAGCACTGAAGGATTGGAGGAACTTTCTAGAAGGACTCCCTCAACCATTCGACATCATTACGGACCATTCGAACCTCGAATTCTGGCGCACTGCACAAGATCTCACCCGCCGACAAGCCCGATGGGCCCTCTATCTGTCACGGTTTGACTTTCATATGATCCACCGCCCTGGCAGAGTAAACACCCAAGCTGATGCTCTCTCCCGCATGGCAGTTCATCATGTATCGGACAGCGATGATAACCGACAACAGACAGTCCTTAAACCTGGCCACTTCGTAAAAATTGCAGCTTCGATCCTACAGAACCCCTTAGAGGATCGTATCCGGAAAGCCTCAGAACGGGAAGCACAGGTATTGGAGGGTCTCAAAACAGTCAAAGAGCACGGACTACAGCGCTTGGCCAATGGGATAGCCGAATGGGAAGAGGACAATGGGTTGGTCTACTACCGAGGTCGAGTATACGTACCAGCAAACGACGACCTACGCACTGAGGTACTCCGTCAATGCCATGACCATCCAACTGCAGGACACCCCGGACTACACGGGACACTCGACTTGGTCAGTACCCATTTCTGGTGGCCTACGTTGCGCTCTTTTGTGGAAAAATATGTTGAGGGATGCGAGGTTTGTGCCCGTAAGAAGATCCAGCGACACCCACGGGCCGTAACTCAACCATTAGATGTACCATCCGGTCTATGGGAAGAGGTAGGGGTTGACCTGATAACACAGCTACCTAACTCCCAAGGCTACGATGCTGTCTTGGTTTGCACAGACCTGTATGGAAAACAAATTCACGCTATTCCTTGCACCAGCTCCATCACAGCCGAAGGCGTTGCCGATATTTACTACCGAGAGATCTTCCGTCTCCATGGTCTTCCTCTTCACTTTAAATCCGACCGCGGACCCCAGTTTGCAGCTAAACTCATGCGATCCCTTCTCGCTAGGCTAGGAATTAAATCAGATCTAACCTCCGGATACCGTCCTCAGTCTAATGGCCAAACCGAACGAGCAAATCAGGAAGTAGAGAAATACATCCGCCTCTATGTAGGACGACGACAAGACGACTGGGCAGAGCACCTTCCCATGGCGGAGTTTGTGATTAACTCACGGACTCATTCTGCGCTAGGCATGTCCCCGTTCGAGCTAACCTACGGCTATCTTCCCCTGTTCAATATCCCAGTGGGCCAACGCAGCGGTATTCCAGCTGTGGATGACCGTATACGGATTCTTCGAGAAGCGCGACAAGATGCCGGAGCTGCCTTACACCTAGGAAAGAAACAACAGAAGGAGGGATACGAACGCGGGAAGCGGAAAGCTCATCAATTTAAAGTTGGAGACCTAGTCTGGCTCAGTGCAGAGGACATTAACCTTCAGCTTTCCAGTGAAAAGTTAGGAGATCGACAGCTTGGCCCTTATCGCATTCTGGAGAAAATTGGCCCTTTAGACTACCGCCTTGACCTTCCCCTATCCCTAGATCGCCTCCATCCCGTCTTCCATGTTGATAAACTATACCCCTGGAAAGGTAACTCCATTAATGGCGAAATACCAACACCACCAGAGCCGGTATACTTAGAGGATGAAGACGAACCGGAATACGAAGTAGAGGAGATCTTAGACAGCCGGGTTCGATGGAAGAAGTTGGAATATTTGGTTAAGTGGAAAGGTTACGACGCAGGGCACAACTCTTGGGAACCCGCAGCCAACCTCAGTCGAGCACCAAAAATTGTTCGGGCCTTTCATAAAAAACACCCAACAGCGGCAAAGCCTTGACCATCGAGGGCAATGGTCATAAGGAGGGGGGTAATGTCATAAAGTACGCAGCCCCTATCATTTTCCTTTTCTCACCGTCTCGACGCCTTTACTTGTACGATACATCATCCCATCACTGTCAAACCCCCATCGATTACTGATCCATCGATTACCGATCCACCTGACCCATCTTCTCCTTCTACTGGCTTCCGCCACCTTCCTTGTTCCTAAACTGTACAGTATTACATCGTTGTTTCTCGCAGACCGGATTATGTATATATAGCCAACCCTCCACAGCCTGGTCCCTTATCTTGACCTCTCTGTCATTATCTGGGACCAGGTATGTGCTTACTTATTATTACCTATGACTACGATACTCAATATATCTCTGTCATTATCTGGGACCAGCTTGCCGCCGTTCTGCTTAGTCGCTCCGCCTTGTTGCCTTGTCCAGTTGCTCCGCCTCACCGTTCTGCTTAGTCGCTCCGCTTTCCCGCTCCGTTAGTCACTCCGCCGTCACTCCGCCTCTGCCGCTTCGTGACAGTGGACACGACCTTGTATTTGACTTGTGCATCCCTGGTTATGACGAAGCGCAAACTTACCATGGACCGCCGTGAACAGTTCCGTCATCTACTACGACTGCATGTCTTGGGGCTGAAACAAAACTTCCCTGGATGGATATTTCCCTCTCACCATCTCGCATTCCACATTCACGAGTTTATGGACTTATTCAGCGGTGTTCGGCACTGGTGGCTCTTCCCCTTCGAGAAATTGATTGGAAAACTTCAGCGCATTCCGACAAATCACAAACCTGGTAGGTATCGTCCAATCTATTCGTGATATCAGTCATTTATTTCAAAGCATAGGTGAATTCGAACGTACAATCCACCATTCTTTCTGCACAGGCTCTTTCTTTCGCCAGTGGTTAATGCGATCTAATGCTCCACCCATCCTTCGGTATTGCCAAAAACTTCTAGATAAAGCCTACAACTATGATCGGAGGCCCTCTACTCATTCCGACGACGACGATGTTAGTGAACATCCTGATGTGGCATCGCGGTCGATCCGAAAGACCACCTTCACAAGTGCTCCAGAACTCACCAAATTACTTGGTAAAGAGCCTGTTGAGTATTTCAACCGCATTCCTGCATCTAAGGGTGATTACACAATCCCGGCTGAGGGTGCTTCAGGAAATAGCTACATCTGTTTCCAGCCAGAAGATGACTATCAACCTGGACGGAAGTGGGTGGCCGGTCAGATTCAGCATATTTTCAGGCAACAGAACAACGGTCCCATTCAACTTGCAGTTCTTCGTAGTCAGTCCGTTTTCCGACTCGATCCGTTCTCCGATTTTTGGGACAATGGCTTTGAAGCCAAGTTGGTTTCTTCGAAGTTCGGAGGCACTCTCGAGGTGATAGACATAAAACAGGTTGCGGCACACACTGCTAGATGGGCTATCTCTGATGATTTGGTTGTAGCTGTCAATCTCTGTGCAGTAAGTTTGGCTGTTGTACCCTGGTTAAGATTGTTAACGTGTCCATAGGATTAACTTTTGACTCGAGGATTGCTCTATGCTCACGCTCATTCGACTGTCTTGATTTATTTGCACATACACTTGATGTACACTTATGGTAAAACTGCGAATTGACTGATTATAAGTTTGTGATCGCAATACATTGAAGTTTATACAAGTTGATTAAATTGAGATGTACCGATACTGATATCTACTGAGTATGAAGAACGAGACGGACTGACAAACACGCGAAAAGATGAAAGGGGAATATTCCATTATTACATCGGCTGACTGACACCTAATCATCATCGACGAAAATGGGAAACGGAGCAGGCGCAAAGACGGGAGGAGAAACGGGATATGTTCCAGTACGAGAAACAAAAGGAAGTGATGGAGGCCTGGATTGGAATGCACGCGGCCATTGCAGCGGCTCACGCAAAGGAGTTGGAATGCCTTTCATCTCCAGCATGTCATCGACACTGCGTTGACAGGAATAGTTGGGGATAGGTGTGAAACGGCCTTGAATCGTGCGGCAATCGGGGCAGGCAAAATTATACCTGGCTTTGAAATAGATGTCGGACAACCTAAGGAGACAATTTTTGCAGAAAGTGTGGCCACAGGAAAGGCTGCGTCGAGGATGAAGTAAGTGTCTTATATACTAAGAAGGAACGACGACCGCGTACATAAAAGGCTGATACATTACTTCAAGGCAACATGTGCATTCATTGCGAACTTTCGCAGCATCGTTGAAAGATTGGATGTTCTTCTTTGCCACCTGCAGAATTGGTCATGGAAGAAAAGTGCATAGATACAGGAGCAACGTACCTTGAGAGCATTTGCTAGATCGGCGTCATTCTGGTGAGATTCGTCACTCAAACCAATATCCTGGGAGGACTGCGACTGAGAAGACTTCTAAATAATGATTACTGCATGAGCGGGATAAATAAATGGTTCACTCACCATTGAAACGAATACCACATCATCCTCTTCGTCGGATTCCAACACAAGCGCATCAACCTGCAAGCATAGAAGTTGGATGTTAATACTCAGTTGAAAGGGGCTGTGTTAAGATCATGTACACCGTGTAACCGTGCCAAGGCCACAGAGTGTCTAAGTGCGGAAGACGAATGGGACAGTAGTGAAGTTATTAACAACACCGCCGTTACGCCGTTAGTCCCCGGAGAGCGAGAGTAGAGAGAGAGGAGCTAAGTAGCAGCCAGGTCGGAGCGGCGGTATCGCCGATGACGAGGAGCGGACCAGAGAACGTCAAGTCCTAAGGTCGAGGAGAACGTACTTCGAGGCGTTGAGCCTGAAGACTTAGAGAAGAGTTTAAGTTGAGAAGGGAGATCTAGGTTGATCTAAGTTGATAATTAAACTGAGGAACTACAGTAGCGTACAGGCAGTATTTATATCTACGGAACGGCGCATCGGTGCGGAGCGCCAGACTAACTACTAGGAGCTGTACGAGTAGTACCTGCAGGGTAGAGTAAAAGACAATAAGAAGGGACTAGAACGAAAGGGTATGTGTAGCGAGAAAGAACAATAAGAGTGAGATTACAATAACGAGTGGATCTTCGGAGTACCGAGCGGCGGAATGGAGGCCCGCGGCATGGACTTGACAGTATCCCCCTCTTAGGCTTGAGCCCTCGAAAGCCATTAATACCGGTAGTTGATTGGTCAACAAGGAAAAATTTTAAAGGCCGTCAGCATCGGGAATTTGGCCCGTCAGTCAGCAGGAAAATTTTCAAAAGCCGTTGGTACCGGGGATTATCGTTAGTCATCCAAGAAAATTTTCGGTACACCGTAAACCGAGTACAACTCGAAGAAAATTTCTTGCTGGTCCGTGCGTAGTTTTGACCCTATAAAAAAGGGCCAGGTTTTGCCGCTATGGCCAAGTTCCCAAAACTCCAAGTACACATGTCCTCTAGTCGCACCACCACCCGAACCACCACTACCGTCGGCTCGATTTCGGTCACCGGCGCCCATCCAACTTCGCCCCCGGCCCCAACTCGCCCTTCAACGCCGGATCCTTCTGACGAGGAACGGGAGCTCGAGCTCCAATTGCAACTCACCAGGGAGAAGAACCGGAAGAGGAAGGAGGAAAAAAGGAAGGCGGAGGAAGAAGCTAGACAGAAAGCAGAGGAGGAGAGGCAGAGGCAAGAGGTCGCCGAGCGGGCCGCTAATGCCAGAAGATTGGAGGAAGAGGCAGCGGAGAAGAGAAGGAGGATTGCGGCAGCCGCGGCAGCGCAAAACCGCCGGGGCCCTTCCCCAGGGGAAGCATCTACTTCCGCTCGTCGAGTGGAAGTAGAAGTTCCTCGGGTGGTTAGGAAAGCCAAGGGCAAACAGAGGATGGAGGTGAGTGATTTCTGCCATATCCTCACCGACTTACTAACTCTAAGTTTTTTAGGCTAGCGGCGGAGATCCGGACGATGGCGGAGATGATGACGATGAAGACGACGATGAGCGAGTTCCCTGCGAACGATGCAGGAACAAGAAGATCCCTTGCCGGATGCAGGCTGGCAAGAGGAGTTCAATTATTTGTAAACCCTGTCACGACGCTAAGGTCAGATGCTCGTACTCCGGGCGGCCTTCGACGGTGAAGCGAGAGGGGGGAGGACAACCGATCGGCGAGCGCCTGGCGATCTTGGAGAGCCAGATGGCTCAGCTGCTGGCAGACAACCGGCAGCTTCGAGAGGGCCAGTTGAAGGACAACACCTACAACCGCCATATCAACCGCAAGTTGGACTGGTTGATGACGGACGCCGCGAGAAGGAGGAAAACGCCACCGGAGATGCCGGAACCAGGACCTTCGCGGCTGCCGAAGAAGAGGAGAAGGGTCGTGGATAGTGAGGAGGAAGAAGAGGATAGGAGGATGGGAGAAGAAGAGGATGGAGAAGGAGAGGAGGAGGTAGAGGAAGAGGGAGAACCGGCGCCGAAGAAGGCCCGGTCGGAGAAAGGGAAGGAGAGAGCGGAGTAGAGTAACATCGGACATCGAACATCGGCCTTTGGCCATCTTCTTGTACTCTTCTTGTTGCCCTGCCTTCGTTATATAATTTTGTTTTTTGGACTTTGTATATATAAAAAAAATGTTAACTCGATTTTGAAATCGGAAAGCGAATGGGCCGCGAAGCGGCGTAAGAAGTAATTAGTACGAAGTGTAATTAGTCTAAGTGTGAAAGAAATATAAGTGAAATAGTAGATAGAAGGAGAATGTAAGCAATTAAGAGAAAGAGATAAACACTCAATTTGCTATCATCGTGTTTACCCTCTAAACGCACAAAGTAAACTTCGGCGGAGCGCGGCGGAAAACGGGGGAAAGGAATAAAATGATTTTGTGTGATCAAGGTCCAGGTTTCAGAGGGTATCGAGCGTGGAATGCGGGTACCAGTTCATCAGCATGTAATTCATCAGCAGCAACCCAAGAGAATTCATCGTCGGTACCTTCATAACCGGCCCACCGAATATAGTAACGTAGAGGACAACGTTTATACCTTCTGTCCAGCTTGGAGTCCAGAATTTCGGCAACGTTGTACTCCTCTTCACCGTCAACTTCGATTGGAGGTGGAGGAGATTGAGTACGATTCGGGAAAGGATTCGGCGTAACCGGCTCCAGCTGTGAGACGTGGAAAACCGGATGAATGCGGCGAAGATAGTCCGGGAGCTTGAGCTCGTAAGATAAAGTACCAGGTCGACTGATGACCTTGAAAGGACCAAGATATTTTTCTGAGAATTTTTCAGTAGGACGAGTAGAGCGAATGTGCTTAGCAAGAACAAATACTTCGGAGCCGATCGGGAACTCCGGGTGCGAGATTCTTTTCCTGTCAGCTTGTTCCTTATAACGAGATTGGGCTAAAAGGATTTCCTCTCGAAGGAAAACGTGGAGTTCATCGAGGTTAACGACGAAGTCTCTAGCTAGGTCAGACTTCATATCGACCTCGGGCCGAACGGTGATATTTGGATGGTATCCTTTGTTAGCGAAGAATGGAGTAATACCTGTGGAAGCATTGGGAGCGTTGTTATAAGCGAATTCGGCGATCGGGAGTAAAGGCGACCAGTCATCTTGTTGGTAAGAGCAGTAGATCCTGATGTACTGTTCGAGAGTCTGATTGACACGCTCGGTCTGCCCGTCGGCTTCCGGATGATATCCAGAGGTATAATGAAGTTCCATGGAGAGCGCTTTACCGAGAGCCCGGAAAAACGCTGAAACAAATTCGGAACCACGATCGGAAGTAACATGATTAGGGACACCATGCTTAGAGAAGACGTGAATAACAAAAAGCTCAGCTAGTTGTTCGGAAGTAATGGTGTCGTGAGTTGGAATAAATATAGCTTGCTTGGAAGATCGATCCACAACGACTAGGATAGCAGTGTAACCATTCGACATTGGCAGTTGCTCAATGAAGTCCATGGAGATGGAATCCCATGGTCGGACCGGAACCGGCAGAGGTTTCAACAAGCCGTAAGGCCGATGACGGCGGGGCTTATTGCGACCACAGATAGTGCAGGAGGTAACGTAGTCACGAACAAAGTCTCTGACCTTAGGCCAGGTGTATTGACGACGTACAGCTTCTAAAGTGCGGTTCTGGCCGAAATGGCCGGAAAGTGGATGATCATGGAAGTAGCGGAGGACTTGAAGGCGAAGATCGCCGTGATTAGGGACATAAATACGGTCGTCAAGGCGTAGTAGCTTGTCACTACCTAAGCTCCAACGTTCATTGGAAGGATCTTTTGCAAGTTCCAAACCAACAACGGAGCTCGGGTCGGCGGGAAGGGCGAGAATGATAGCTTGGTGTAGAGCTTCGATATCCATGATAATCGAGGCTCGTAAAACGGGGCCTTCCAGGAAGGTAGCTCGAAGAGACGCAGTGAGTTGTTCGTTAGTAAAGATAGGACGGAAGTTGTGAGGGTTCACTTGGGCGTAGCCGATATCCCCCTCTTTAGGGTAGACGTCCCAGCGTCTAGTTATCGAATCGGGTTTCTCGCCGAGTTTCCCCGGTCGGAAGCGAATGACCATATTAAATTGATGTAAAAATTCTGACCATCGGACCTGTCGGCGTGTGAGAACCTTGGTAGTAGAGAAATACTCAAGATTCTTGTGATCGGTGACGACGTCCACCGGATCACCTGAGCCTTCCAGATAATGACGCCAAGCTTTAAAGGCCTCGAAGATGGCCAGTAGCTCTTTGTCGTGGGTATCGTAGTTGAGTTCCGCCGCGTGAAGCGTTCTGGAAAGGAAGGCTAGAGGATGAATTTCACCGTCAGCATATTGGATGGAAAGAATAGCCGCAATGGCGTAATCGGAAGCGTCGGTCTCCACGATAAGTGGGCGATTCGGCTCCCAATGGGCCAGTATTGGCGCAGAAGTGAAAGCGATTTTCAGATTTTCGAAGGCCTCTTGACAGCTGCTGTCCCAGATCCAGGACGCGCCTTTTCGGGTAAGCCGAGTCATCGGCACAACGATATCACTGTAATTATAAATAAAACGACGATAGAAGTTTGCAAAACCCAGGAAGGACTGAATGTCCTTAACCTTCCTCGGAACCGGCCACTCTAGAACGGTCTGAACTTTCTCCTTGGACATAGTCAATCCGTCGGGAGAAAGAATATAACCCAAATACTCAACAGTATCCATATTGAATTCGCACTTGTCGGGGTTGGCGTAAAGCCGATGTTTCCGTAACCGCCGAAGAACCTCCTTGACGTGTTCTCGGTGTTCTTCTGGCGTATCAGAGTAGATTAGAATATCGTCAAGATAGACAATAACACAGACATCGAGCATGTCAGAGAAGATGTCATTAACAAACCGCTGGAAAGCCGCAGGGGCGTTCGTAAGGCCGAACGGCATGACCTTCCATTCGTAAGAGCCGTAGCGGGTCCGAAAGGTGGTTTTCCATTCGTCACCTTCAGCGATTCTGACTAGATGATAAGCGTGAGCGAGATCCAATTTGGTGTATATTTTAGCTCTTTTCGGAGCGTCGAGAAGATCTGATATGAGTGGGAGTGGGTAACGATCCTTTTTGGTGATACGATTGAGTCCACGGAAATCGACGCAAAGGCGAAGTTTGCCGTCTTTCTTCGGGACAAAAAGGACCGGAGCGCCGTGAGGAGAGGATGATGGGGTGATGGCCCCAGTAGCCAGCTGTTTGTCAATAAAGTCTTTAAGGGCGATTAACTCCTTTTCAGACAAAGGATAAATACGGCCGAGGGGCGGCGAAGCGCCCTCTTCCAAGTCAATCTTCAGGTCGTAAGGTCTGTGTTCAGGAAGTGAATCTGCAGCAATCTCGTCGAAGACGTCTGCAAACTCTGCGTACTCTTCTGGAATAGAAGTATGGAGTGGAGGGACAGTAGGAGTGGTGGAAGAGCGGGCGGCGGCGCGGGCCGCGACCTCTGAGTGGATAGCACGAAGTAAAATAGGTTCCATACCAGCGTCCTTGCAAGCCCTGTTAAAGACTGCAGCACTGACAAGTGCAATGTCGACCTCGGGAGTTTCCAGTTGAGCAGCGAATTGAGAGACCGTAGGATAAGAATAGATGGGTTCAAAGGGGAATTTGGACGAAAGGGGCTTGGCCCGTAAAGTCCGAGAGCGGGAGCGAGAGCGAGAGCGAAGTGAGTCCCCCGGAGGGGTCTCCAGAATTGTCGGTGAAACCGACGGCGAGAGTTCCGGTAGCGGAACAGCGACCTTTGCAACAACGGGGTTGATAGCAGAAGGCACAGACGTCTGTGGAGAATCAAGGTGTGAAGTGTTACGGAACGTAATGTTTCGAGATGCCCAGTCAATCAACGGATTGTAGCGGGATAAGAAACTGTAACCTAGTACTGCTTTACAAGATGAATCTAAATGTGTAACATAAAAGGGTAAGAGAAGCAGCTTGCCGGAAGGGAACCGAACGGCGATATTCGCCATATCGGTAATGGGTTTAGAAGATAATGAACCATCAAAGAGACGAAGATTAACAGGAGAGATTTTGGTCGTAGGAATAGAATTTTGTGAAACATAACGAGTATCAATGAAAGAGTCAGTAGAACCAGAATCAACAAGAGTAGGAAATTTGAGAAGGGCAGAGATAGGTTCGGCCGGCGCGGCCGAATCGGACAAAGGAAATTCAGTAGTCAATGATATTACAAGAGATCGTTCAATGGAAGAAAGAGCGGACGCGTTGAGATATAACTCCCCAGGTGAGGTACGAACCTGATCAACGCAGCTCCCGTTTCGTACCGGGGAACAAGAGCTGCGGATTAGTTTTCCGAATCCTCTTCAACAACCGCAATGGTTGCTTCGGGGGTTTCTTCAACCTCGGCAGCGCGGCCCTTCGATTCCCGGGCCTTTCGCTTGTTGCAGTCAGCAATCTGATGCTTACCACCGCAGAAGAGACACAGGTTGTTCTTCATCCTTCTTTCCCGTTCGGAGGGAAGTACTTTACCATCTGCTCCTAGATGATTGAACGCGGGGCGCTGACCGCCGGATTGGCCGGAATTCGAAGAGTTCTGGGGCTTACCATTGTTGTTAGGCTTACCACCAGAGAAGGGTTTAGGTTTCGGCGTGAGCGGCGCCGAAGATCCCGAAGGCTGAGAATTGTTTTGCTGGTTAGTAGAACCAGTCTTGAAGTCCGAGGAACCCTTCTTCGGGTTCCGAGCAATAAAAGGCTTGCCAGCCTCACGCTTCTTGGTTTCTTCGCGCTTCCAATAACGATTGTCAATACGAAGAACTTCTAGACGATAAGCGGCGAGCGTCGCCGGTTCGGGCAACCGCGCCATTTCGTCCTTAATGCGTTCAGCCAAGCCTCGTCCATAAGCCCATTTCAGGGCAGCAGAATCCCAGTTGGTACTAGCAGCCAGAGTGTTGAACCGGATGTTGTACTTCCGGATGTTCTCGGTTTCCTTCATCTTAAGGTTACCAAGGGCGTCCTCGGCCTCGCCTTGGGCGTCGTAAACGCCGAAATTGTCCTGTAGCTCCTTTACAAGGGCCGTGAAGGACGACGTCCAGGCCGGCAGCGAGTCGAGATCCGGATCGAGGATATCAGGGACAAACCATTCTTTGGCTGACCCACTGAGATAAGAGAGAGTGTAGTTCACCTTCCGTTGGTCGGTGAAGTACTTGGGACGGTCATTGAAGACCAGGGCGAGATTGACGAAGAATGTTTTGAGTTTTCGGGGATCCGAACCGTCGAATACCTCTGGCTCCTTGACCTTGCTCTTGGATTCAGAGCTGTCAGAGGGGCGGCCGAGAGCGGCGAGGACGGTACCAAGGGTCTCAATGGAGCCCTTGAACCCCGAGAGGAGTTCCAACATAGCACGTTGCTCGTTGGGGATGTCAGGAGATATGGGAGTATGAGGTCCACCAGGTCCACCAGGACCGCCGGGACCGCCGGGACCACCAGGTCCACCAGGTCCACTGGGGTCACCAGGTTCACCACGCGGTAAACCGCCGGAGTCGTCATCCAGATCGTCATGATTGTTGTCGGCGCCCGGATCGTCGGGGTCGACAGGAGGGTCTTGATCATCGTGATCACCGGTGTCCAAATCGAAGTGAGGAGGTGGGTCACGAGGAGATTCAGAAGCAGCACGACGTTGGGGTTGTTTCCCCGTACGGCGGGCGATGGCTTGGAGAATTGGAGAATCAATTCGAGTAGTAGAGCGGCCCCGAGCCGGAGCGACCACGGGGGGTTGTCCACGGCGAGGGGTCAGGACTTGAACAGGTTGTCCGTCACCAGTGTACAAGGTACTGTACTCAAATTGTTGTTCCTCTTCCATGGCTTCAGGAAGAGTCGACGTAGTAGGGACTGTAGCTGGACCGAAACCGCGATTACGGCGACGTGGTTGACCAATTGCAGAGATAGAGTCGGAGAATGGGGCAAATGATTGGGCTGTAGTGAAGAAAGTGTTTTCTTCGGAGTTAGCTCTTGATTGAGCTCGAGTTTTCGGAGGCATAAAAAATGATATGTCAGTACGACGTTAACGGATTGAGTTTAATTATACTGTTAAGATCATGTACACCGTGTAACCGTGCCAAGGCCACAGAGTGTCTAAGTGCGGAAGACGAATGGGACAGTAGTGAAGTTATTAACAACACCGCCGTTACGCCGTTAGTCCCCGGAGAGCGAGAGTAGAGAGAGAGGAGCTAAGTAGCAGCCAGGTCGGAGCGGCGGTATCGCCGATGACGAGGAGCGGACCAGAGAACGTCAAGTCCTAAGGTCGAGGAGAACGTACTTCGAGGCGTTGAGCCTGAAGACTTAGAGAAGAGTTTAAGTTGAGAAGGGAGATCTAGGTTGATCTAAGTTGATAATTAAACTGAGGAACTACAGTAGCGTACAGGCAGTATTTATATCTACGGAACGGCGCATCGGTGCGGAGCGCCAGACTAACTACTAGGAGCTGTACGAGTAGTACCTGCAGGGTAGAGTAAAAGACAATAAGAAGGGACTAGAACGAAAGGGTATGTGTAGCGAGAAAGAACAATAAGAGTGAGATTACAATAACGAGTGGATCTTCGGAGTACCGAGCGGCGGAATGGAGGCCCGCGGCATGGACTTGACAGGCTGCAAGGGGGGAACGTACGACATTGTGAGCAATTGCACCTGAAGAGCCCGAGAAAGATGCGGCAGAGTTGAGAGAATGCGGAGGTGTAGCCGGAAGGAGAACTGGTTCTTCATAGTCTAACGCTAAGCTGGGAAGATGAAGACTGGGTGCAGTCGAAGTAGATGAGGCCGGAGCATTACGGCGTGAAGGCGTACTCGAAGATGAAGTAGTGCGGATTTGGGAGGGTGTACTGGGCTGCGAACGATTCCTCGATCTTCTTCCATAAGTTCGGACAGGAGGAGGAGGGGAGGAAGGTCCAAAAAGCTGAGACCTTGAAGAACGATTGGGGGTCGAGGGGACGGACTTTTTAGTGACTGCCGGGGAGTTGGTACGCATGCTAAGGAATTGAGTAAGCACAGGTGAAGACGAAGCAGAAAAGACGCTGACCTGACAGGAGATTGAGTGAGGAGGAATGATACCACCAGAGATTTGAGCTGTTCTTCAAATAGTTTGCTCATTGCTCAAATCACAAAGGCGTAGTGACATGGATGCTTTGTCTTCAAAGTAGAAAGCATCAGAATCGGTCAATAAGCGTTGAGTGTCCATATAATCGCCTTTGAAGCCTTTGTATGACAAAGCGCCAGAATGAATGCGGCGGCGTCTATTTACTGAAGGCCTTGTAATGATAATCCCCATTGTCGTTATCTTCTTTGGCATTGGCTGTCCCGCAAATTCTCGCCTCTAACCTCTAGCCTGGGACAAAGCAAGTAATACAGTAACCTTATCATGAATTCATAGATCGATTTCTCTCGACTCGATTGAACGTATATACAAATTTCGAAGAATATTAGACGTTCTCTTGAGCTGCATCAATAAGATTGGTCAACACAAGTGAAGCATCTGTAACGATGGTACGCCATTCGTGTCCCTTCGCGCCTTCCCTATCTGTTTGATCTCCCAATGCCGTCCCCCACCATTTGAGGCAAGCAAGCACACTGAGCCAGCCGTTCTTCCCGCTCCTATCGAGATTTCGCCATCCCTCCAGGTTACTGGCCAGCTCTCCGGCATCAGGAGCTTGTTGAAGCTGTTTCCACCAGCGCACAAAACACTCGCGAAACCGAATAAGAGCGTCGTCCGTCTTCAGTTCGGGTTCGTTACCCCGCCTGTCATACCTACAGTTGAGTATCCATTTGCTAAGTTCCTCGGGCCTATTTTGGCGTGCCAGACCTCTGGTTGAAGATGCCCAGCCTCTGGAACATTCGAACTCGACCCATTTCTTGAAAAGGTTGGCATATCCTTCACCTAGATTTCGATTGAGGTATTCAAATGCAGCCGGAAACCATTTCTGAGCGTTTTTCGATTTCAACGCATCTTCGGGGTAGGTCATAAGCTGGGAAGAGTTCATTTAAGATGGAAAGGAGATTGAGGTTGAAACGAGCATACATCGGATGTGGATTGGACGCTTATCGGAACCGCATCAACAGCGTACGCACCCTCTATGTTGAGGCCAAGACCCTGCATAACCAAACTTGCGTCGTTCCGAACTGGAGCTGTGGGATTCTTGGAATGCAAAGCGCGCTCAGCCTCCGTGAACAGACTGAAATACACCACATACCTGCTGGTCTCTTTTTGGGCCCTCGTTGTTGAGGGATGAACTTCCACAATCATTCGGGGGGAAAGCAGGCAGGATAGACTGCGACTGATATTGAATGAAAAATGACATCAACGACAGATAAGTTCTAACCTGGTCATCCGAAGGAGCCTCTTTGATGTCAACGGCATTTGTAGGCGACACCATGGTACGATCAACGCCTCTGTCGATGGGCTTCGATGATTTCAGAGTGTGCAGCTCTCCTTCGAGCTCGTTGATGCGGCGTTGCAATCTCTCTGCTCTGATTTCTGCGGCAGTCTTCTGTTGGAATAGCAGTCTCCTTTCGTCTTCAAGAAGTTGTATTTGTTCAGAGTCGCAGTTCTACAAAAAAAAGTGTATTCAAAGTGTTCATGGAAGAATATCCGAACTCACCATCAATTCATCCAATTCGACCTCCGCCTCTTCCAACAAACGATCTTTGTTGAGTAGCTGCTCCTCCAGTTCTCGTGCCTTTCTAGAGGGTTGTTCGACCAGTCGTACTTTCTAGTTTTGGGATCATCAATAAAAACTGGTTCAAATAGCAAATGACTTACCGGGTACCGTCCATTGCTGATAGACATGCTGTGGACTTGAGAGGCACTTCGTTTAAACATGAGACAAGGGAGTTCGAAGGAAAGATGAGTGAAGAAAGAAGGTGAATGGAAGAGGAAATTGGTCAAGAGCCGGACAACGTACCCGATACAAAGGTTGATGTAACAAAGGGATAAAGGGAATTCAGTCGTTTGAGCACATATAAAATGGTCTTTTTAGGCAGACTTCATACTTTCGTCTGGATCCTCCACTTTCTTCACCCACCGTCGACAGCGAAATGGGCATGCATCATGTTACGACCCCTGACAGACATGTAAGTACAAACATCATACGATAGAGTTCGAACACTGACCATTGCATAACCACGTAGACCAGCGTCAAGGGCATTCGCGCTCGATTGTATCCCGCCAACAGCTTGTCTCCCAAAACCGTCACAGCCCACCTTAGAGAAAATACTCGTCTACCCACCAAAGATCGATTTGTCTTTTCCGGAGATCTTCTTTCAGGCTCGAGACTTCAGCCTTACATCCATGACATCGTGGTGACTGTCCGTCATCGTGGTACATCCTTCAAATACTTGGTGTTCTTTAAGAGGCACAAGTTGCTTCCGCCGAACCAATGCATTCAGAACTTGCAAGGAGGACACATAAATGGCGATGTTCTACTAGTTGCTTGTGGTAAGAAGGTATCGGTTAGAAACTTGCGAAATCGATTGGAGGTGCAAGCGGCTGATAAAGCCATTAAAAGGTGAGTAGTTGATGATGACGGTCGAATATCAACTGGACTGATCGGCCTCATTAGACTTGCGGAAGCGCTGGATCCAATCGGAACCCGGCGTCGGTTCCCTTCCACCCTCTCCTTCGAATAATCGTGCATTCATCCCTTTAGTTTAATACTTTCAAAGATTTGTATACCCTTCACATAACTTGCATTTGCGTATACTTCGTATTCACACTCCATGTATTATTATCATACATACTGCGATCTTGAAAAGCTACTTACTATACGGTAACCATTTTACTACGAGGTGCTACTTATAATCTATGAGACATAATGTATTTTGTTATATTAGAAACAGCATACATATACTGGATCGCTGGATTTAGCGCTAGGACATTACGAGCAGTGTTTATTATGACAATCAAGGTGCTCCTGGGGTGTGTACAAAACACCAATGTCCCGACTTTTGCCTTCTAATACCATCGTCATCGACTTGAATGATAATCTATAGGCTCTATTACCAGTACAGAGCAATACATAGAAACATTAAGTACATTATCCTGAGCCTAGCTCGTGTCCATCGCCTGATCTTCGGGTGCATTAGGTTCATATCCGCTAAAGTCATACATCTCAATATTATAATCCGCAAGCTTGAGCTCCAACAAATCATGTGGCATAAGAGCAGACAAATATTCCTCACGATAGAAACATCGAGGAAGTCCAATAGGCGGAGCCCGGTGGTCGACTTTGTCGGTTCGTATTCGTGGAATGCGAGCGGCACCCGCTCGGTGGAAGAGTGATGTTTCCACCCCAGGAGCACTGTCCGCAATCTTGTACAGGTTCTCGATATTTGGTTCCCTCCAATAAAGCCTAGATACCTTTTTGACATTTTGTTTCATCATGACACCCTCGACCTCCAAATCAACTGTTCCATCTTCCTCTTCAGACTGACCCGCATCCTTGAGTGTCTCAGTAACCAAGAGAGCATGGGACCAGAACGCAACACCTGGTTGATCACCGCGCTTTCGGCATGCCTTAATCATGAGCGTTGCAACGTCTGAGCGAGAGGTCCGTTTCTAAGAACCGTTATCAGTAATATCAACAAAATCGTAAAAACCACGTACTGCATGACGAAGGCTGACTTTGGCGTTGCGTGCTTTACGGTCATTGTCAGCCAGAACAAGGCGCAAAACACGAGATTCATGAGTTTCTCCTGGCAGAAGTCGAGCTTTTATAACCTGCTTGAAGATATCATAGAATCGATCCGAAAATAGGTCAACCCAATCGATAGCCTCTGGCCCAAACCGGTTGTCTTTACAGTTCATAACAATTTCTTCTGCCTTGGCTGCGAATTTGTGAATCAATGCACGATTCCAGGGAGACTTCTTCATCGTCTTTGTGTCGGGTGCAAATTTATCTATGCGGGTGTTGCGTAGCTTGGGCCCGTACTTGACAGGATCCCTGATGTGTAGTTCCTGCCTTTCCTGAGAAATTCCATCTCTAGCAAATATGGCCCAGATCCGCCGAACATTGAAGCCTTCATACAACAGGTCTCGGGCAAGCATCTAGTGGAGGCATTAATTATAAATTGCTTGAGGTTTGTGTAGATCTTACATTGACATGGACTTTCACTTTCACTGGATCGTATTCCACGAAACCCTTCTTCTCCCACAAATCCTGAACCCTGCTCTCATCTGTCTCATGTGCATCTTCCTTATCTAGAGGATACCCCTGTTCCTCGTCCGATTCACCGTTGTCGTCCCCATCGTCGATGTTTATCTCGTTGGGTTGGGTTGTATTTCTGCTTCCGGAGGGTGTTGGCGTATCGCTTGGTTTGTCTGTATGAGCGGACTAGATACACAGGTCATGGTTGAAGGCAAGGCTTGATATAACAGTCCACATACAGAGCCCGAAGAGAATTCCCTTTGTTTGCCTTTGTCAGCGGACTAGAGAGGTACCAATTGTAAGGACATAATTTTGCAGTAGAAATCCACTGACCGAGCTTGAGCTTTCGGAAAAGACATTCGGCTGTTGCTCGTCGTTAGCATCCTCATCGAATTCATCATCAAGATAGGAGGTTCGTCGTCGTTCACTGCGCTTCTGAAAGGTTGTATTTGTCAACCTTTAACTTTAAACAGGAAAAGTTGCAGATGAACCTACCGACTTGAGGTAAGGTGATGGTCTAGGGTTCTGCCAGGGCTTCTTTTGCGGACTAGCATTTTTGGTGAGCGGAGTCATTTTCTTGGCAAAATATCAGAGAGGTTTTTCGCAGACAGTCCAATCAGCAATTACCGAAGATTTAGGCAGTGCCCAACGTGGATAGTCACTGTGAATTCGATGCAGTTCGGCTTGTACCGGGGCATTTGCTAATGTTCTTCCTAGTCCACCTAAAGCGCGAATGTCATGTATGATGGTTCCGTTCATTGGTTCCGCTCTTGGAATTGCGGAGCTGTGAGAGGGGGTTGATATACGGACAATTGGCACTGGAGGAGGAACCGTAGTTGCGTGATGACTTGATACACCAGTCGGAGATGCCGAACTTGATCCAGGAGAGAATAGGCGCTGGCCACCTGAGACTAATGACTAGGGTATTGTTCAATTGTTTCAGAGGTATACAATAAAGAGCGTAACGACACACCTGCAGCTCTCGTTGGAGCTTTCGAATCTCAAGACTCTTTGCCAGATTATCTTGTTGAAGAACAGTAACTTCGTCCGGCAATGTAGTAACCATGGTTGCCTTGTAATGGCTCGTCAGTACTAAACAGACATGGACAACATTCTCAAGAATACCTGCGCACTGTTCACCTCCAAGTTCTCAATCATAGCTTGTAGACGAGCATTTTTCGTGTTCAGACTTTCGACGTTTTGATCTTTTGCAGCAATCTGATCGCGCAGATTTTTTGATTCCGCTATGACCTCGGTCCTCTGTTGTAGTGCAGCTTCAAGTTGTCCTTGCACTTTTTGATGCGCTAACTGAAAATAAATGACTGTTTCAACTATTTGGTATGGCAATGGTATCTGATAACACACCTTTGCTTTATCCAACTGGCCAGTCAGAATATCGAAGCGGGGCTGCGGGAGAAAGAGTAAGACGATACCAACATCTAATGGGCAAGTGCATACCCTCGGGATCCAGAAATCTTCATTATGCTTTTCCTTATTCTAAACAGGATTCTCGATATATCAGGGTGAAAGCAATGATGATTTTATTCTCACCTTGAGGCTTTGAAGTTCGAGATTATGCTGCTCCACCTGTTGGACCAATATCGCCTTCTCGTCGATGTATTGTTGGATTTTCTGAGCACCTGCGGCCTGGTCCTCCACCATCTTTGCCTCGAGATCTTGTATCTTCTGCCTGGCCGCTGCGGACTCATCGACCAACTTTGCCTTGTCATGGTCAATATCTTGGATCCTTTGATTAGTTGCAACCGCATCATCCTTCGATTTTCTCTCCAGTTCCTGTATCTTCTGTTTGGCTGTTACTGCCGCTTCACCTAGTTCCTGTATCTTCCGACTGGCCACCGCTGCCGCGTCGCCTGATTGTTGGACAAGTTCTGCTTTCTCGTCGACAAGGTTTTGAATCATTTGGCTAGTCTTTGTTGCATCGTTCATCAGTTTTGTTTCAAGCTCCTGTATTTTCCCATGGGCCACCGTTGCAGCCTCCCCCAATCGTCGGACGAGTTCCGTTTTTTCATCGACAAGACCTTGCAGTGTTTGAGTAGCTGCGGCCACGTCGTTGGTCAACTTTGCCTCAAGCTCCTGTATCTTCCGACCAGTCACCAACGCCGTCACCTCTGACTGTCGGACCACCTCAGCTTTCCCATCGACCAGGGCTTGGATCAGTCCTTTGGTCGCTGCCGTGTCAGTTGCTAGCTTTTCTTCAAGATCCTTAATCTTTCGATGCGCCACGGCCGCCATATCCTTTGACTGCCGCTCTAGCTCCGCCTTTCCATTGACGAGACTCTGAATCGCTTGATTAGCTGCAGTTGCATCGTTCATCGATCTGGTCTCGAGCTCCTCGATGGTCTGCCTCAATACTGCTGCCGCCTCCTCGGAGTTTCGGACCAACTCTGCTTTTCCGTCAACAAGAACTTGAATCGTTCGACTGGATGATATTGTATCGTTCACCGATTTTTCCTCAAGCTCCTGGACCTTCTGATTGAGTTCAGCATTGTCCATGCAAGCTTTCTGTAACTGGCGAGTCAAATCCTCGCGATCCATTTGAGAAGAATGCTTCTCCGATTGCTAGAAGATATATGGTCATATACAATAGCTGACACGAAACGATTATATTCATTACCTGACAGGCATTGTTCTGTTTACAGACATCTTGAAGTTCTTGAATCTTCTTTGCTTGACTTTCGTTCTCATTGTTGAGGTTTGCAATGGAGGACTATCATATATAAGTATAAAAATCGCAATGAGCAAAAGCTTCACTAGTACCTTCAAAGCCTCGTGATCCTCCTTTAGAATATTGAAATCATTCTCTAGCTGTTGATTATCTTCCTCGACGGTGTTTCTTTCCCTCTCGGCTTCAGAAAGCTTCGATTGTGCGTTGGAAGCATTGGTGCTCAGCTTGCGATTATCCTCCATCAACGTTTTGATCTTTTCCGATGCCCTCGAAAGCTTCTCGCCTACATCTGTGTTCTGCTGCGTCAAGGTTCGTATATCGTCGCGTAATTGAGTGGTTTCAGTTCGAAGACCCGACAAGTCACTCTATATTTATATCATAAGCAGAAATATTGTTATAATCGCAATGGTGTATGACTTACACCCGAAGTTTCTAAGGATTCTTGGAGGGCTTGCTTGTCAGCCTGCGAGATTTCTTGTAAGCATTATCATGTTATACCCAAAGATATATGAGATATACCAGCACAACTTGAATCGAACTTTCCAAATCTTTGCAATTACTAAGACTAACATCCAGAGACGCCTTGCATGGACTTCAGCTAAAAATCTACACATCGGAACGTCAAATTACCTTCAGCTGAGTGATATCTTCATTCTTCAATTTGTGCGTTAGATTTTTGAGAGTTTCCTTGGTGTTCTTAGTGACAGTGTTAGTTAAAGAGGCACATAACCTCGCAACGTAACATAAAATATCATACCTGCAAATCCGTATTTGCGGTCGAAAGTACGGTGTTGGATTGCACTAAGGCTTCCATCTGCAGCTTGAGATTATGACATTCCAGCTATGGAAAGTTGAGCTTCTGCGATAATTTGAGCGGCCCTCGATCTACCTCTAGAGTTTCAACATTCGAAGTCTGTTTGAGTTCAAAATTTCAGGAGCTGTAGACTTTTTCAGAGAGGATACCGAAAATTACCTGAGAAGAGTTTCGTATCTTCTCAAGCTCAGTCTTCTGAGTAGACAAATGTTCTTGCAAATCTTCTATCTTATGGTCCTTGTCGAAAACACGATTGATCAACTCAATATTCTTCTGCAAAAGCTACGACCCAATGTACTAATCAGCCAGGTGTCACGAAAGATATAGCACAGTCCGAACCTCCTTATATTGGCTGTCCAAATCTTTCGCCTTCGCCCATACTCCTTCATTCTGCACTTCAAATTGCTTCTGAGCATCATCGTAATCTGCTCGTATATCCATGAGTTCTAATTCCAGAGCTGCGACAGCGGTTTCCTTTGATTCAACTTTTGAAGCAAGTGACTGTATCTCCCGATTCCTGGAGCTGATTGTGTTCTCTAAATCATGGATCCTCTGTCTATACTGAGGATCCATTTCAAAGGTAGACAAGAATCGTATCTTTTCTCCTCTCGAGGTAGTTCCCTGAAAAGTCCATCTCTTGGCAAGTTTGCGGGTGATAAACAAAGGAAACACACGTCGATTTCAGGCTCCTATTATTGACTAGTGGTTTAATATGTTTTGCATGTCAGGAACAAGACCACTTACATCGATACGCATTGACGATCCACCGGTAATTGTTGAACTTGATCCATGCATCGAGACATCGGACTATGGTAGGAATTTCAGATCCAAAGACTAGAGAGCAAGAATATAGATACGCACAGTGCTAGTGCTCTGCAACGTGTCAATATCCATCATGCTGGTAGGATGGCGCCGTTTCTTACGATGACTCTGAGAACTTGGCCCGTCCATTGTTTTCGAAGATGAATATGAAAGCAGGAACCAGGCAGGAACCGTCGACACTGGCGTCGAATCAGTCCCACGCTTGTCCCGGGCCGATCTGCCAGCTAGAGTATGCTGAAGTCACTGCTCCTGGTACCGTCTTCCTTGAACTTTCAATATGGTATTAAGGTAAAATCAACTACTCGTACGCTGTAGATAACATTGCCCATCGCCGGCTTTACGGAATAAAATCTGCCGAAGGTTACCTGAGAGTCGGTGCCGACCCCTCAGCTTCCGTCTACAGGGTTTCCATCGGGTAGACATCGTCCGCTCTTCGCCCAATTTGTTTCTTGGCCGGGAAAGTAGATTAATAACAAAGGTAAAAGCAAATGGATTCTAGTATATTTCTGACCCGGAAAAGGCAATGTTGTTTGAAAGGGAAATGGTCCGGGAAGGGAGAACAATCCCAGTTCCTTTCTCCCTTTGGATAAAAGGTGGAAAATGAGACGTTTCTTCGTCGTAAAAGGGAATTAATCCCACTATCAATCTCAGGGAGGATATTTACTGGGAAAGGAAATAATTCGCAGTGTATTTCTGCCTCGATATTTATGTACTTTTTTAGGTAGAAAAGATACCGAGAAAGGAAAGTTTTCCCATAAAAAATTTCAGCCACTTTCTCAGCAGGGATTTATCGCCCCCGACGCAGTGAGTGGAGCCTAGTCAGTATTTTCAACGACGGTATGTTCCTGAAGTGCCGCGGAATGGTGCATATTTATCCATTTCATCCATCCAAGGTGATGGGTTCCTTAAAATTATTGACAATTGATTCACTGGGACCTACTAGCGTACTCTTAGCCTCTTGCCGATAGTTTGGTGAAGCCAATTTTCTCATTGTACTTCGTCCAGGTCGTGTACCATTACAATGCATGATCAGTCATTCGCACCATAACCCAATTTCAGGACAATTTATCTAAGGGATCGATAACTGTACCCATCTGAAAGTAACAATAATTTCAGAACTCGCTCATCAAGAAACCATGAAAAACCATACCTTTTTCACAACCTTGGGCAACGTCCCCCTCTGGAACCCGACCCTCGTATTCCACTCCGGGCCTAATGGCTGTTGCATTCTACGATCGAATTGCGTTTTGCTAGTGTAAGGGTACGGAAGATCCGGTACAAGATACTTGGACGCTTTCTTATCCCGTTTTTCGGAAATGATGACATGCGCTTTGTGGTAATCAGCGCGAGACTTGGGGTCGACACCTGCGATCTTTTTGATGAGGTGGGGTTTGGGAGCGCCTTTGCGAACACCGATACCGCCCCAAGAACCCTAACAACAAAGGATTAGCAATCAGATAGCACTGAGAGATCATGAGAGCTTACCCAACCAGGAAGAGTTGTATCGACCTCTGTGGGGGCATCCATAGCTATTTCTCGGCGTTTAGCTTCTTCAAATTCCTTGAAAACGGAGTTTATCAGGAAGCTTGGAGAAGACAAGTGGGATACGGACCTTGACTACATTATCACCCGCAAAGGCGCGAGCGACAAGTTCCCTTTGCTCAAACGCTTTAGTTGCCTTTGACTTCTTCTTTCCCTTCATCCGTAACATCTTCTCCTGATCTTCGACCTCACTATCATTACTACCCGAATCGTCATCGGAGATCTGTGCTTTACCCTTCTCTTTTAACTTGATATTGTTCTTGGAAGCGGTGACTGCAGACGTTGCGGGGGCCTCTTCATGCCCTTTCGAGATCTTAGGAACTGCGAAAACGTTCTCCATCTCAATCTCAACAACAGCGTCATCTTTCACACGAGCCTTCTCTTCCTCAGTCTTCTTGTTCTGCTTTTTGAGCTTGTGCTTCGATTTTGTGGTCTGTGAGCTATCTTTGTCCACAACGATTTCGTTCGTTTTCTTTGGGCCAGCTTTGCCGGCACCGCTTGAGCTGGACGGGACGAGCCATGGATTTACAGAAGCTGAAGTACTTGTTGTCGCATTCGAAGAGAACGGCTGGGAAAGAGCAGGTCGGGACGAGTGCTTTTCTGATGTAGATATTAAAGGTGATGGCGGCGTGGGAGTTGGGAAGTCTGTGGATTTCAACGTCGAGCTTGAGGTTTCTTCTGAGGCCACAGAAAATGTTCGAGTCGGGTGTTCCTGTCATAAACACGTCAGCAATAACCCATGAGATATATGGAGGAGACATACTGATCCTTTGGCCGTAGGTTGCAATACCATCCTACCTCCTGTTCTGGAAACAATAACACCACTGTCAGGGTCATCCTCAGTGGATCCAACTTCGCCATCGCTGAAGTGACCCTCATCTCCGCCCATCTCCTTGACAAAGTCATCTACAATTCGACTCGTATCCGCTTGTTTGCGAGCCATTGCATCCTTCATAAACTTCATTTCGAAGACGCTATTTCCCTTCTTCCCTGCACTTTCAAGGGGATCCGCATCTGTCTTACTAAGAGCTCTCAGTTCGTTGAAGGCCGACTCTACACCAGCACCTGAGTCATCCTCGCCGTCATCTTCACTCTCGCTCTGACTGTCGTCGTCGTCGCTTCCTCTTCCTTGAATTTTCCTCCTCAGTTTCTCTCCTCTCGATAACATCTCCTCAATCTCCTGCCGACCACCCCTAATATCATCATCGTCACCCCCTTCCCCATATCCACCGCGACTCATCATCTTCTTGGCCCACTTGCCGGTATTCTTATGCTTCAACGTCGCCCTCTCCCTAGCTCTTTCCATCTCCAATTTTAGACGACGCTCCTCAGTAAGCTCCTCCTCACTACCATCATCGTTCCTATCGACAGCTTCCTTCTCTTTCCTTTTCAGCCGGCGGTAGACCTTGCTTTTGATCTTTTTCACGCGCTTTGCTTTGACTTCAGCGCGGAACATCAGCTCGCGCATTTGTCTAAGTTCTCGACGACGTTCGGCAACGTCTTCTACGGAGATAGCGTTGGTTTTGAGGATGTTTTCTTCGGTTTCAAGAACGGAGGCATCTGTAGCGAGGTTGGCAGAGGAAAGGAGGGATGAGATGGTGGTCTCGAGGGCGGTCGAGGGCTTGAATAATCGTTAGCTACATGTTACGTATAGAGTCCGGATGATTATACCTTGAATTTTGCTGCAAGCTCCAGATTGCTCACTTTGCCTTGCGGCTGAGCTTGCAGCGGGAAACTGAGATGGTCAGCTTCCGAGATACGCTTCATTGTTGCGCTCCATTTGTCTACCTCTTCCTTTGTCTGCTCGTATGCCGCTTCGCGGTCGAGACGTTCCTGGGTTCTCTGGGGCAGTGGTACAGAGAGCGTTTGCGGTTTTTTCTTCTTCCCCGCCGAAATGGCATTTCCTCCAGATTGCGATTGCAGAACCTTGACAGACTTTTCCAAAGAGCTTTGACCTAGCGGTGACAGGAGATCATTCAGCGACAGACCTATTCCGAGATGGGATCAGCTTGAGAGTGTTTGGGGGAGTTTGGAGCAAATTTTACCGGCACTCTGCGTCCTGAACTCGCTCTCTACTCCAGCTTCGGTGCGTTCTTTGATGACGCGACGTTTTCGTGAATGTTCAGGTTCTTCGCCGTCCGCTTTGCGTTTCCTAGAGCCAGACGAAGTAGGATCAAGGGAGGAGATGAATGTCTGCAGGTCGTCCAAGGTTCCATCAGCTTCGTCCTCGGCCTCTGAAAGAGAAATTGATATTCTGTCGTCTTCATCTACTTCGTCCTCGTCATCGACCTCTTTTTCATCTTCTTCATCCGCTTCATCTGCGCTATCTTCCATTCCCTCATCACCTTCTTTAGATGACACAAAATTTCCCCGAAATGACGCCGGAGGTGCATCGTTGTCCTCATCGTTGAGAGGTTCACCTCTTCCATCCAGGATGTCAAGGACATTGATGAATTCATCATCTTCGCCGGACTCTTCTCCGTCTTCGTTATCTGCATCTCCATTATCCCGCTCAGACTCCTGCGGCTCGGCATCATCTTCATCTTCATTGAGATCCACATCAGCGAAAGTAACGGATACTTGCTTGCTAGCCTTCTTCTTCAACACCTGGGCATTGGGTCAGGAGAAGTTGTGACAAGAAAACGTTTCGTGTACCTTTTTGGTGAAGAATCCAGCAAATCTCTCATCGTCGTCATCGTCAAACGCAGCATCGCTATTAATCTCTTCGTCATCCTCACTATCAATCTTCTCGTCCTCCTCGTTCTCTCCGATTAGCCGTGCCTTCATGCGTATATCCTCCATGTCATCTGCACCACCATTTCCGAGAGGACCAGCGTCCATTTCCTCATCCCGGTCAAGGTCCAAAGCAATCTTGGCCCTTCGAACCTTTTCAGGAGCGTATTCGTAAACATCTTCAAAACGACCAGCGGATTTGGCTGCTTTGCGTTCGTGTCGTTTCGCATAGCCGCTAGCGGCAGTAGCAGCTGAGCCTTTGCGTTTAGAGAAGCTTTGGTTCTTGAAGGTGGGTCGTGACTGGTTATTAGATGATGTACGACCTGAACGAGCCATGGCGCGAAAGTGGAGGAAAAGTTTTATAGACGCTTTTACTATATCAGGAAGTACATTCCGGCGCTTAATCCAGAGTCTCCTTTGGAGTTTGGATCTTTCCGCTTAGCCCCATGTTCTTAAAAGTGTGACAAGTCCCAAGTTCCTTCATTGACGTCTAGAAAAGCGGGGGAAAAATGCAAGCTACTATCCAGAACATTCAGATGCGGTTCTATGATATAATTCCGAATCACTCACAAGGTCGATACGTTCAATCGCCACAACAAAAAGCTAAATAATTTCTGTCTAGTCAGATAAAGGATACGTCTCATTCCGGTCCGCGCAATTCAATGTAGCGCAACAAAGGTAGTTCAGCATCTCTCAGCATGGCCGAGTTTCCGGAAAACATTGTTGGAGAAACTTCATCGACGGTATTCAACTCTTGATAAATACCCTTTCAGCATGCGTATCTGATTGATTTACAGAATGGCGAAATTATGCGTTATCCTTGAGGTTAAGCATCGTTGAAATCTAGTTAATTTCCAAGTACTGATTCACTCACACAAAAAAGTATGATAAGGTATCGTATGCTTGGATATACTCGGATGTTCTCAAGGTCAAGGAAAGTTATTATATTGAAAAAATGAAGACTATGATCTAACTCTAGATGAAATTTAGATATAGCAGCAGGCTTACGCGTATGGACCGAGGCTACCATAGGCTTCAGGTATTCAATCTCGAGAACAGTAAATAATGCGATGCCCCAAAACGTTGAGTCAAATGATTCACGTAAATTCGCAAGGAATGTCTGCCACTATACTCAAAGAACAATACCCTGATTCTCGAATCATCTGTATATGCGGAGATGAAAGTATGGAGGATATCACTCTCGGAATTAAACAACCATGACCCAAAGTGCCGCATGATTGTTCAAGTGACCGTATTTTCGTCGTCGGCCTACTCTTATCAAACCGTATAAGAAGAGCCATGAATCTCAGTTACAGCTTATAGTCACTTCACTCAAGAGTCGCCTATACAAATTTCGCGCATACTAACATGTCTACCAACAGCAAAAAGGGATCTTTGATCATTGCCGGGTCTGGCATTGCGTCCATCCGACACATTACTCTCGAAACCCTCTCTTACATCGAAAACGCGGACAAGGTCTATTACATCGTCACCGACCCTGCTACGGAAGCCTTCATTCAAGAGAAAAGCAGAGGCAACTTTGCTGACTTGACCATTTATTATGATAAGGACAAGTCTCGCTATGAAAGCTACGTCCAAATGAGCGAGGTGAATGTTGGCTTTCTTTTCTGGATCGTGAATGAGTTCTGAACTCAGCATTGCTTCTAGGTTATGCTACATGATGTTCGGGCAGGTATCCAAGTCGTCGGAGTCTTTTATGGCCACCCTGGTGTCTTTGTTTCTCCCTCGCACAGGGCCATTGCGATCGCTCTTGACGAAGGATTCCATGCTAAAATGCTTCCAGGCATTTCGGCCGAGGACTACATGTTCTCTGACCTCGGGTTTGATCCTGCCATCCCAGGATGCATGACCCAGGAGGCAACTAGCATTGTGATTCACAACAAGGTGCTGGACCCTACTATTCACAACATTATCTGGCAAGTTGGGAGCGTTGGCGTTGACACAATGGTGTTCGATGTGAGTGGACTATACAACTATTTGCAATTGTTATCTGAAGGACTCACCGCTACTCAGAACGGTCTATTCCACCTTCTTGTAGACCATCTCGAGAAGTATTTTGGCCCGAATGACAAAGTCATCCACTACATTGGAGCTGTTCTACCCCAGTCCGTGACAGTCAAGGACGAATTCACAATTGCAGAGCTACGCAAAGAGCGCATCATCAAACAGATCACGACTGTCTCTACATTCTATGTGCCACCCCGTGAAAAAGCACCAGTTGTACAGAGTCTTCCGGAGGTACTCAAATCCAGATTCACTACATCTATAGTCTCCCCCATCGCCTACGGAGAATTTGAGCATAACGCGGTCAGCCGCATCGCGAACCATAATATCCCTGTTGATCATGTAGAACTTCGGGCGTCTGCTGCGGTACGGAAGTTCATGATCGATCTTGCACTGAAGCCAGATCTCCAGGATCGCTACAAGAAGGACCCAGTTGCTGTGACTAATGCCATTCCAGAGTTGACCGCCGAAGAGAGGTTTGCTCTTGGACTTGGAAAACCTGGACCTGTCAGTGTCATTATGCGTGCAACTAAATCAGACCTTGCAGCTGGAAATTTCCCTACCTCTGAAACGATTGCTGATTCTGTTGGATCGGATGGGCTGAACGCTGTTACGTCTCTTACTGTTGTTGTTGTGACACTTTGACACACTTTGATCAGGCCTTTTTGAGGTATTAGACTTCCACAGTAAATTTGTAATTACGCCTCGAAATTTTCCCTTTTTGTTCCTGTTAGTTTGCGCTATGGCTCGCAGAAAACATGTCCATTCTCTTACCGCTGCTACAATTCCTTCTCATTTATCTATCTGTGTAATGAAACTTTCGTTCCAATTCGCGCTCCGAATACAACGCCAATGCATATTTCGGCTCAGCATATTTCAGCATGGTAAGGTATTCCTTTTCTCCCCAAACCACCATGGAGTACACCTCTCCAAAATATGAGGTTCAAACACTTCTTTTCTCCATCATATATATCTTTGTTCCCGCTATTCTCTTAGCATGCGTGATAGCATTCAGATGCCCTACCTGGGTTCGTTTGCTGTTCTTTGTGTGGTACACAAGTCACTTGCTACAGGGAATGTCACTCAGAACAGGAAATTCTTGGGTCGACTATTCGAATGGCTCGACTCTGGGTGGAGAGCTCACAAAAACATTTTACTTGCTATTCCTTGTCAACCCGGCTCGGGATTGGTCTCATGGATCGGATGCAGGGAAAAGGATTGACGGTCGACCTTGGTGGAAAAGGGTATATTGGTGTCTCTGTGCTGCGTATACTATGCGTGGCGTTGGATGGAACTATCAGGTTAGTCGACACCCTCTCAGGCTAGTATCTATTTGATCTAATGATGTATATGCTGCAACAGGTTCCCGGTGTCCCTTCTCCTTCCAAGATGAACCGATACATGTTTCTAGGGTGTACAGCTCTGCGCGTGGTAACAGCTTATCTTCTTCTCGACTTCGCGCAATATTCCATGCAGGCTACTCCATTCTTCAATGACCCCCAAACTCGTACATCCATGCGATCATATAGTTATGCTCTTCAGGCTTTCTATATGCTCGTATGCTTTTCAGTCCCGTATGGGGCGCTGAGATTCTACTACTATACCGGGGCGTTTCTTGCCGTCTTAACTGGATACTCATCGCAGGAGGATTGGCCAGATCTTTTCGGAAACTGGTTCGATGCATACAGCGTAAGAAATATGTGGGGGTACGGATTATTTTCTAATGCTGCTTATTTTGGGGACTGATTCGACGCTCCCACCTTTCCTTTACAGGAAAACCTGGCACCAGATGCTGAGAAGGGTGAGGATATCCGCCGTTGTCCTCCATATTGTCATTTATCCCTTTTTCTTCATTTAGCACAGCACTTCTTTCGGAAAAGCCGCCACGAAACTTTTAGGAGCACGTCCTAGATCCGCTCTATCCCTCATCATCCAGCTCTTCACAGCCTTTCTCGTGTCAGGAGTCATGCACTCATTCGGGGACTACACCGTCGGTCTACAACACCTCGGAATCACCTTACCCTTCTTCGTGCTACAGCCGTTCGCCATCCTATTCGAAGAACTCTTCATCTTTGGCCTCGTACATCCAAAAGCACAGACTTATCATATCTGCTCGCTACCTTCCCCGATAAAGCGATTCCTTGGGTATATTTGGACGCTCTCGTGGTTCACATATTCATCTTCGTGGTATATTGATCCTATCGCTCAAGCGGGGTTCGGTAAAGATGACATTGTGCCCTTTTCCCTTGTTCGTTTCGTTGTTCGACTCGTTTATCAGCACGAGCGGACCAACCTACTATAACGATTTACAGGGTTGTTCTTCGATAGCTATTAGATGCCAGTTTCGGTGCTAGTAAATGTGTACGTCTCATTAGAGGGACATCTAAAGCTCAATGATGCTTTCTTCGGGGGGCGCACGAATCGAATCGTTGGAAATGCTGGGCAGCGGACTTTTTCCGGAAGGTACTTAGAAGGAGCGGCCTTTACGTGGAATTTGCAGCGCGCCCGAGTAGAAGTCAAGTAAAAGTAATATAACCTTAACTTTCACTCATTTTGGAGTACGGTAAACCTCGTAGCCATCCTCTCCCCAGATACCCCCACTAAATGGACTGGACAGGTTTTGACGACTTCAGGATGAATGCTGAACTCGACCGCATTCTCTTCCACCTCCACTTCATCGTCCTGCCCAGTTTCCTTCTATCTCTGATCCTAGCATCATATCGGACTGTTCTCCCTCGCCGTACACATTACGTCCTCTTCTCCACGTATCTGGGGTATCTGCTGTATTCAATCAGCACTCACACGTCGCAATACCGAACAGAATATGTCTGGATCGATTATTCTATGGGATCGGGGCTAGGGTTTTGTGTTTTCAATGCTTTGCATATGCTCGTGTTCGTTGATCCCCTGAACGAGTATCGGTATAGGAGTGATGATCCTCGAATAGGCCCATTCAGGCTTGAGTGGCCAAAGAGGGTGTATTGGGTTTGGCGCGCTGTAGTGTCCTTGCGTGGTATAGGGTGGAATTATCAGGCAAGTGCTTGTAACTTTGTTCTCGTTTCCTGTTCCTGACCCGATGGATAGGCACCTGGTCTTTCCACGCCTCGATATCGCACTAAGTTGAAATTTTGTCTCTACGCTCTGCAAAATCTATTCTTCAACTTCCTTCTTGCTGATCTAGTACAGATCATCCTACAGGAAGCACCTTTCCTCCGAAACTTCAACTCACCGTATGAAGCGAATGATTCGATTCGCTCCCTTCCGTATCTTCAACGGGTAGTCTGTGTAGCTACCTGGTTTCTCGGCGGATACGCTGGGATTCGTTTCTATTATTTTACTGTGGCGCTGGTTTGTGTGAGTCTCGGGGTCTCCGACCCACAAAATTGGCCGGAGGCTTTCGGGAGTTGGAAGCAGGCGTATAGCGTAAGGAATTTCTGGGGGTATGCGCCATTGCCATACAAACACTCAGCATCCGCCAGTGTCTTATCTACGATTTTACCTTAGGAAAACTTGGCATCAGTTTATCAGACGGGTGAGTTCTGACCGCAGTCTTTATGATCAACCCAGTTCATTTAAATCTCCGCCAGTTCTGCGTATCTCCAGGAAGAAAACTCGCCAAAATGCTCGGTGTAGCACCCAAATCCCTCACCGCAGCGTCAATCCAACTCTACGTCGCTTTCTTCGTCTCGGCTTTGTTGCATTCTCTAGGCGATTACATGGTCGGTCGAGATTACGTTGGGATATCATTTCAGTTCTTCTGTTTGCAACCTTTGGCCATCACGTTTGCAGAGCTTGTCAAGATTGCTGCACTGCGACTTGGATTGAAAAATAACTTGTCCAAGCCTTCCACTCTACCAGTTCGAGTATGTACTCCTGCTAATGCTAGGGCCACTGTGAAGAGAGTGTTTGGCTACATGTGGGTGGTGTGGTGGTTTACGACGACGGCGCCGTTCTTGATCGACCCTGCGATGCAAGCTGGACTTCATAGAGATCTGATATTTCCGCGTTCCCCTATACGATCTGTTGTCAAAATGTTGTTCAGTGAATGAATTAGGAATCTTCAATCAATCAACGTCTGTCAAAGCATGACTTTACCATGTCTGTTCCTCATTCCTCATCCTTTGCGAGCCTACTATTGGGCATCTATGAGCAGGAAAAGTCTATAAATGCGTGCACAAGGGGGTTTTGCGTTGGGAGAACTTCGTACCTGTGCTTCCCCATGCTCCTGCGGCGGGCCAGGGCGGGCCCTTGCATAATCCTCAGGTATTGCAAATTCATGACTGGTTCCAAACTGTTCAATCTAGGGAGGGGTAGGCTGGGGTAGGGAAGGGTAGGGAGGGGTCTATGTTTTGAGCACATAACGACCTATTAACGACACCACTGGCGATAGCTGGTGATACGCGACCGTACATCACCCAAATATGGACTTTACTCCATCTACTATGGTCCCTATGTAGTCGAGGATGTAAAGCATACAGAGGCTTGTAAAATTGTTCTTATCATTTTTCAACATTGAAAGCCATAGTGATGATAAAAGCTCTATCCTCCTGTCCTTCCCAAAGTCGTATCCACGGTGACCCGAGGCAGGGCTTTGGCATAAGCTGGGGACGAGTGAGGTAGAGACGGGGAGGGGTCTCTTCTTCATTTCTTAGTGTATTCATTGCCTAGTACACTCCTCCAACAAGTGCTGCAAGAAAGTTTCATATTGTGTTCATCGTCACGGTCATCATCTTCCTCTTGCTGTTGCTGCAAGAGATGAACGGCGTTGAACGACATTGATGCAGGCGGCACACTGTACACTTCGGTTAAACAATCTATACTATCTATACTACTTACGGGAAGTCATCTACGTTACGATGTAAGAGGATGTAAGTTACAGCCAGCAGTCATCGCTTCCACATTTTACTACTGGTATCCGACCGGTACGTACCTGTACGTATCAGCAGGTACTAGCATGTACAGGCATGTACAGTGCATGTACCCCTATGTACCCTCATGTGCCCAGTATATAGTTTTACCCCTAGCTAGGCTTTGGATGGTTATCAGCGGCGGGCAAATGTACAACTATATATACAACTGCTGATCCGTCGCTGTAGGTCGTTGCCCATTGCTGTGGCAATATTTTGCAATAATAATCTCAGGTTCTCTCAGGTTCAGATAGTTGCTATTGGCAGTTGCTATCCTCGCTTCCTCGCATCTTTCCGAAGTTTATGATCAGGTCTGAGGGTGCGCCATTTTCAGTTCTTATAAAGGATAGCCAAACCTCCCTTTTCAAATCCTCAGAGCTGGTCTCTTACTGCCTCCACGCACAACTTATCACAAACGACTTTGGTGTTGTGCACCTGGCAATCATATCAAACAATCTCTCACGCCGCTGAAAATCTAGGATGGTTCTGTCGCGTTCTGTTCTCATCGCCTTCCTCGTGCTTGGCACTGCTTTTGTGCTCGCTGCCCCCGTCCATGAGGGTTCTAAAACAGGAACAGTCCTAGCATCTCGATGTGCAGTCAACCAACCCTTGAAAGGTTGGCATTTTGTTTCAACCTTGTTCACAACTCAGAGTATGTTTTTTCAGGTCAGCATATCGCAGGTAGTAGACGTAGCCCGCCGGACCAAGGTACGTTGAGACCTGTTATTCACTACTGCAAATTTCCTCTTATTGCTTTAGATGAACACCTTCCGATTGATTTCCTTGCGGGTCTTCCACAATCGGCGCTTCAGAGCATGATTTCACACATCCAAAACACTCCAGGATATGTTGATTGTAAGATGATTGTGGACAAAATGATCACAGACTGGAGGGCAGATCCCAATAATACAGAGCTTAGGAGTGAGATTGCATACTACTGGGACAAGTTTGTACAAGGAGGCAAAGGTACTTACTTCTTTGCTTCTGAGTCTGTGTTTTTGTTGTAGCCGTTACTGACTAGGACTCTTCCTTTCAAAGGTTTCACGCAAGAAGTTGCTGAAATGAGACAGAAATCCGAGCATTATGGAGACTCAGCCAGATGTGCGTGTGTTCTTTTTCACGTCTTAGTATCATCATATGAACTACCTCGGTCTAGCTGGTTAATCCGGTCATCAAGCGCGCACATACGACGATCTCGATCATGCTCACAGGAGTTAAGATTGCTTTGAACGTAGCTTTCCAATGACCAATTTTTGTTGTAGCCTGCCAGTGTATGATATTACTTCGTTGGGTATTTCATCAGGAAAAAATGAACTCTATGGTGCATGTCACCTAACTGCCACTACCTGTGTACTAGCGTGGGAATATTACATAAGCGGCAAAATCGCCAGCTCATTATCAGACACGACGTGCGGGATCAGTGCGGGATACACTAGAATTACGCGTACACAGTCAGGAGTGAAATCCATCAAATTATCATCTGCGAAAATATGATCACTGAACCATGCTGAATATGGTAGGATGGTAAAAAGGTTGAGTGGTGTTCTCTGTTCAAATTCCATATTATGCACTGCAGTGCATCCATTTTTGATCTCCTTCCAGACACTCCAATCTAAATTATTTGCATGGTACGTCAGGTTATATCCTAGATCCGGCCAAAATCCGGCTTCGCTCTGTTTTTCTTTCCAAATTTTATACCAGTGCACTTTGTGATCATTGAAGAGAATGTCATTACAGCCCTTTCCGTAACCATATGGAATTTGATTTTTTGAAAACCTGTGAGGTTGTGTTTGGCAAGATCACATGTCAAGTTTTCACCCTCAGTTTACTTGCATGTACTATGCGTCGATTCTCTGAGGATATGCGGGTTCGGGTACCATTAATGTTTTGGGAACAGCAGGTTTCAGTGAAGAATATCTGCTACCACCTCGGGATGAAGAAATCTGTTGTTTATCATATCCTTGCGCAGTATCGGGACCATGGATGACTTCAACCTGCCTTGTGTCGACAGGGCCGACCCTCTCTTTTGAATGACACCGATACTCACTATCTCTCTGCTCTCATTGATCTCCAACCTTGCATTCACTTGGATGAAATACAAGCAGAGCTAGAAAGATGTCGCCGAGTTCGTGTCTCAGTGCAAGCACTTGTACGTGCACTTCGGAAATTAGACCTATCTCGGAAGACTGTCTCTGTACGGGCACTCGAGCGCAATGACCTTGAGCGGGCACATTTCATGCTGCAGATAGCTAAGCTGGTGCCACGACCAGACATGCTCATGTTCATTGATGAGGCTGCTCGTAATGCCAAGACATCTCTTCGGAAGTATGGGTGTGCAAAATGAGGTCATCGCTGTGTGCAATGGAGGCAGTTTGTCCATGGAGAACGTGTGTCTATACTGCCAGCAATAACTCTTGATGGCATTGGAGTCAATAGAAACGATGTCGACAATGCGCAAATATCAATGAAAGTGTAGATGCACGTCTAAGAGAAGGTGATGCCAAATACAACCTTACAACTTTTCAAAAAAATCGAATTCCATATAATTATGGTAATAGCTGTAAGCAGCTCGCGAACAGTCCGTATCGTTTCTATTGACTCCAATGCCATCAAGAGTTATTGCTGGCAGTATAGACACACGTTCTCCATGGACAAACTGCCTCCATTGCACACAGCGATGACCTCATTTTGCACACCCATACTTCCGAAGAGATGTCTTGGCATTACGAGCAGCCTCATCAATGAACATGAGCATGTCTGGTCGTGGCACCAGCTTAGCTATCTGCAGCATGAAATGTGCCCGCTCAAGGTCATTGCGCTCGAGTGCCCGTACAGAGACAGTCTTCCGAGATAGGTCTAATTTCCGAAGTGCACGTACAAGTGCTTGCACTGAGACACGAACTCGGCGACATCTTTCTAGCTCTGCTTGTATTTCATCCAAGTGAATGCAAGGTCGGAGATCAATGAGAGCAGAGAGATAGTGAGTATCGGTGTCATTCAAAAGAGAGGGTCGGCCCTGTCGACACAAGGCAGGTTGAAGTCATCCATGGTCCCGATACTGCGCAAGGATATGATAAACAACAGATTTCTTCATCCCGAGGTGGTAGCAGATATTCTTCACTGAAACCTGCTGTTCCCAAAACATTAATGGTACCCGAACCCGCATATCCTCAGAGAATCGACGCATAGTACATGCAAGTAAACTGAGGGTGAAAACTTGACATGTGATCTTGCCAAACACAACCTCACAGGTTTTCAAAAAATCAAATTCCATATGGTTACAGAAAGGGCTGTAAACACAATAACCTATACATAATACATACACAAAACTCAGTTATGCATTTGTAGAAGATGTATAATATACAAGTCATAAGTAGAGGTCAAGTAAGTGCCAGTGAAATCTTGAACAATGTTGACAGCAACCATCGACGTTAAGCTTGATGACTTGTATGCTTTTGTGCAATAACGCAACAACTTTGACAGCTATTGGTGATTGAAGGTAGCTTGAAGCTTTGAGACTTGAAGACTTGGCAAGGATGTCTGTCAAAAGTGGGGTGACACAACAGGTGGGCAAGGAAAAGCAACATGGGGGATGAAGAAAGAGGGAGGAAGAAAGAGGAAGGAACGACGCACTGAACCTTAAATAGAATTTCTGATGTTAAAAAATTGGGGTCCGATTGTCATGTGGTGCTCGCGCAGCCAGCAACTGCAGGTTGGAAGGAGAGCAAACAGAAGTGGATTTGGATGCAAGACCATCTAGATCTCTCAGATCATACGCAGGGCAAATTTACATAGATAGACACAAGAAAGACTGGTGATGGAAAAATATCATCTCTGTCATTTGGATCAACAACCATAAAACCATTTTGGTATTAATCCATTCTTAAGCCGTTGCCGTGTAGACAGGCATCGACTGAATAAATCAATGTAGAATTAATGTTCAAATCTTTACGCTACAAATGACATCCGCTAACTGTAACGCCAAGAAAGCTGCAGCAGCTCGTGCTCGTGCAGGCCATGCATGACAACATACCTTTCAGACCTTGCGTGAAAATATGCCAAAGGCCTTGGCTTCAATCAAGATTGAGTTGATTCGAAAGTGGGAGCATCGGGCTTGGAGATTTATTGATGCTTACAGTGATGGATTGGGGGCTAAAGATGCAGTGACCCAAGTAAAGAAGTTCAGCTCACGTCGCTATACTTCTCACCGTCGCATTCCTGAATCAATGGCTCGAGCAATGGATCAGTAGATAAATATTGCCATATTAGGGAATTACTATATTACATAAGATTACCATAAAGAGAAATGGCAAAAACGGCCCCATGATTTTTCTGAAATTCAACTTGTTCCAAAATCCCTCTATCTATTTAGTATCTTTTCACAAGAGGAACACAGGATTCGTCTACTCCTTAAGGCTGCTCCCACGCTTGTGCACAGGTAGTGGCAGTTAGGTGACGTGCACCATACATGTATAAATATCCAAACAATGCTGGCCAGCGGCAGGGCCTGCTACCACTTGTAAGTAAAATTCTCCTGCGAGGAGGTCAATATATAGAAAGATTTTGTCAACTACACTGCTGCACGGTTCTTTCAAAGAATTTTATCATTTTTTCTTTCGAAAAAATCTTAGTGTGCAATGAAAAATTTCCAAGAACGAGCAGGCACACATTTGGTCTGAATTTTTGAAAGTCAGCACTTTCAACAATCTATCCATATTCTTTCGAAATATTTGAATAAAATAATGGCATGTATGAGCCTGTACAATACTGAAAATCAGTAATTATTGGTTCTTTTCAATTCAACCAGCTCAAACCAGTTCATCCTTTTTTCCAATAATGCTATACATACATCAAAAATTTCATTGCAGAGTGTCTATATACTACACTAGGATCTACACTACCCACATGAATATTAGACTGATGTTAGAGAGAGTGCCAACATTTGACTTGAAGAATATAATAATATGGACTCATAGCGATGTAAGAGGAAAAGTAAATTCTTGAAGTCAATGTCAAGTCCTTGAAGTTGGTGAGGCCTTGAAGTTGATGCTGAGGTATTGAGGTTGTGTTAAGATCATGTACACCGTGTAACCGTGCCAGAGGCCACAAGGTGTCTAAGGGCGGAGGGTTGATTGGGACAGTAGTGAAGTTATTAACAACACCACCGTTAACGAGCTTGCCTCGTTTTTGTGTGAAAGAGAAAGGAAGGAATCTAATGGGCACTCCAACCAACCAATCCAATACACAATATGCGAGTTCACTGCTATCAAATTTATTTAATAGCAAGGGGTAGTGTTGGCAAAGGTTCTGCAAAGCTTTGAGAGCTAAGTAAGAAGCTTCGATCAATCAATTTGAATCGTTCTAAGGATTCGATATATTTCTTTGATTAAGGTAGATTCAGCACGATTTGTGCTTTGATTGTATTGATATGGGTATATCAAGAATTGGGGGTTTGAATCAAAGTAAATTAAAACTGAAACACACAGACCCCTACGGAGGGCTAGAACTATGTGCTGGCACAACCACACAGCGTGATTTGCCCTTAAGACCAACAACTGATCCTAAGTTTGAAGAATACCCAACAACTGGATATACTTCTCGCAGTCACAAGGAGCAGAACACGACGTTCCTATACTCACAAGTGCCGGGCCCGAATGGCTGCTAGTGAAGAGGTTTCAGTCTGGCGGGAGTGTGTCTTTCCTTTTTACGGATTAGCACTGCAACATCGTCCCAAAATCACTTGTATTCCAGATACATTGGATCGCTATCTCTTTCAATAGACACCCATTGTGCCTATACTCTATCAAGGGAGTTACGCATAGTATTCATTTAATTGCATTCTTCAATATTTTCTACTTCAGGACTCTTTGACATTCATTTGATATGTCTTCGGAGCCTCGCAGTACTTCGATCGTTCTTCTAGTCATTTTCTTCAACCATGCAACTTGATTGGTCTATTAGACTAAATCGCAGTCTTTTAGATTAATGCATGATCTCGTTCTAGAAGGAGTATTTGATAATTCCTGAGTTCTAGAAAGTCATTTTGAGTCAATCCTCGGCTCATGGTCACTTGAGTAAGTTCTTCCAAACTCCTGCCAGTGTAAGGTCCAATAAGAATACCCTTGGTATGTCATACGTGAATGGTCATCCTTCGGATGTAGTCCGAGTCTGGTATAATCCTGCTTGACAAACAGGTAGACTGCTATCCAAAGGTAGTATCGGGGATAGGTAAACTAACCAGCTTGTGGTAGTATGGGTATATGGTCCCTTCAACTTATTAGACTGATTCAGTATTGACTTTAACTGTCAATCTGGGTCTCAATTACAGTCCTCTCGATACAAATCTATGCGTGAAAATGTCACAATTCACAGCATAGACGT